GGGCTCTTCCCTGCCTCAGGTAAAAACACAAATTTGACCATAATGAAAAGGAATTTTGTGCAGATATTGATGGTAATTTCTCACTGAGAGCTCATGGTTTTTTTTGCAGAGCCTTGTCTTGTTTATGCCTGTAAAAACTGGAATAATTTCCCAGAGATTCAAAGGAGTTGCTGCAGAACTGGGTGAGTTTAAACAAAATCTGTTTGGACATCCGAATTTACACTAACTGGGTAAGTAAAGAGCAAAATTATTTTCAAATATTTATCCCTGGACACAATTACAATAAACCCATTTACCTATCCTTAATTAATATTTTTTTAATAACTCAAACCTTGTTTTAAATGATAGAATTATAATAATACAGTGATGGCAGATGAACTGAGTTCTCTAAAAATTTACCACACTCAGGTTAGAGATTTTCACTGAATTTTCAAATCACTATTTTTAAATAACTTTTAGAAATCTCATTAAATAATATTATGAGATTAATCCATATGCACTGAGTATATGAGTAAAAAATACTGAAGTTCTGATGGAAATGATTTAATTTATTGGATTATACACCTGACAATAGGTGTTTTCTACAAATCTTTTAGCAACAATAAATTTATGTGAGAATTAAGTAATATAAACTAAATAGTTGAATAAATTTAATGAAATTTCACAATGTCTGTAAGAAAAAGTCTCTTTAATGGTTGCTCTATGAATGTCTGTTCTTGAATTCCTCCCAAATGACACCAACTGTGATATTTCTATTTGTAGTGGATGTCAAAGAGATTCAATATTCAAAAATTCACCAGGCCTGGGATGAGAAAGCTGAAAATGGCATTTAATAAATTGTATATGTGCTGTCCAAGGTGTGAGGAAGGATTTGAGCAATCCTATATTGAAGGATAGAACCACATGAAAGTAGGATGAGGGAATTTGGGTTTCTTTTCTTTATTTTTCGTTTTCTTTTTTGTTTGTTTGTTTGTTTTTGGTGGGTTTTAAATTTTTTTCCTGTTGTTTTCCCCGAGAGGAAAATATTCTGCATCCATTTTTAGCATTTTTTTAGGATTTATCATTTCAACTTTTCAAGAGCATTTTAGGCAAACAGCTTTGCAAAGCAGGAGCCCCTGATAAGCAGGTTAAAAGCTGTAAGCATTAGGGACAGCCCAGACATCTCTTTGGTTAATAGATTAAAACATTGGCTTACAAGTGATGGAACACTGAGGATGAGTGAGTTCTCCTTGCTCTGGATGGATGGATGGATGGATGGATGGATGGATATTTGTGGCCTTTATTACAATTTTTAAGTCTCTTTTCTCCACTCACAGAAGCTTAAAACTTATTTTGCTGCTCAGTTCATGCTGACATGAACCAGAGGAGCACTGCTCTGTTTTCACCTCCTTCTGCTACACTTCGAGGCTAATCTGCAAAACCTGACAAGAACTGCTAAAACTAGTCCTAAAATGAGCAATTACTGCAATCACTGAGGTTGGAAAAGACCCTTAAGAACATTGAATCCAACTGCTAAACCAGCACTGCCACCTCAAATCCTGTCCCAAGTGCCACATCCACATGTCTCTGAAATCCCTACAGGGCTGGTGGCTCAACTCATGAATATAAGAGTTTTTTATGTTATATAAATGGGATCTCTATCAAAAATACCCCTCCAAAACCTAAACAAACAGACAAACATAACCCCCAATTCCAACCAACCAAAAGGCTCCACTCCTGCAGTGACTGACATGGCTGCAAAGGCAAATGGGGCTCTCTGAATTTGCACTGGAAACCCTGTGGCCTGGCCAAAAATGAGACGAAACCATGGTCATAAGAGAATAAAAATAATGAGGTAAATACCCTAATCATCACCCTAATCAGGGAATATCCCACAGGGGGCAAACTCCTGTTCCCTATTTCTTCAGGAACACTGAGAGATCTGATGCTCCTCTGTGTTTTAAATCTTCTTTGGGAGAACTTCAAAAGTATTTTGGTGATTTTTAACAAGGTGGCTGCTACAAGGTACCTGAAGAACCTGCCCAAGGCTCTGCATGAAATCTAAAAGTTGTGAAGGAATTATTGCTGCCTGGCTGTAGCTGCTTTGGGAATTTTTATTTATGGCTTTGTCTCCACTCCTGTATCTGATTCCTCCCCTTGTATTCATTCTAGGTCCTGACCTGCCCATCCATATGGAAATGCAGCACCTTTCCAAGGCCCTGGGCTTTGCTTTTCTTGACAAATAATCAAGTTAGTGAGCCTGGATGGATAAATCACACCAGAACATGCCAGAGCACATCAGCCCAGGTGTGCCGTGTGCAGGTTAAGCAGTGAGGTGCAAAGCAGACACAGTCAACTGGAAGTCAAAGAGAAGGATCTTCTTTCAGCTACACTTTTTTAAAGTGTCTCAAATTCTTCCAATATCCACAGAAAGAGGATTTTTTTTTAAGCAACCCTCCATTGAATTCAGTGCAGCGACCAGGTGTGGCTGAAGGCAGATCTCAGCTCACAAGGGATCCCTTAGTCCAGTGGTTTCCATCCTTTTTGGATTTGGTCCATCCAAGGGACCTGCAAACTCCCATAATGTGAATTTAAACCGAAGAATTTTTGTTTTGATACCCATGGTCTTGGACTGTGGTCCATCACCAGCTGCAGGTCAGGGGCTCGTTAACTACTGGACTAACAGTATCCCAAACCATGGGTTTGGTTCAGCAGAATAAACAGTACAGAAAGGCAGGAGGATAAAAACTAAAATAGTTGCCCTTTGGGTGCCTCATGAGACCCAGACAGTGGTGATTTCACAGGAACAGAGATAAATCAGGTAAAACTCAGACCCAGGGTGCAGTGAGCCAGGAAGCAGACACGGGATTTATTTCCTGATGTGAGAGCAGTAATGTTGTCCTCTTGGTGAAGCTACAAGTAATCCCATGTTCACAAATAGGAAGGGTTGTGAGGATGGAAAGAGCCTTCATGAGATCCACCTGTCCTCCAGGTCTTTGCCAGATGAACCTGATTTTCCCCCAGGCAGATCAAGGCTGGTTACTGATTCTCAAGAAAGCAACGAGTTCCCTCCTCGGTCAAGTGCATTATGCCAAATTCCTCCCTGGTGCCATTCTGCTCACAGCAATCCTCTTGCTCCATGGATGAGCCTATTTTCTCCACTGGCCTGAAGCAGCTCTCCCTCTGTTTCACCCTGGAGATGACTCAGGGATCTATTTTCTTCCCTATTACCGAGTTCAAGCAATTGCACACATCACAGAACAAATTTATTTCATGACATTTCTGAAGCTTCCAGGCAAACTCCAATTATATTTCTGTAACCAAACTCACAATGATTTTTGTTTATGATTACAGAATAACAGCAGATGAGAAATTTGGGGCTGAACATACACATTAGCAACCCCCGGAGCTGAAAATGCTCCTAAAATTTTATACAACCCTTGTTTGCTTTTATAACATCTGCCTGAAGTGAACTTCATCAACATACACCACCCTGACAGAGATTTATTTGTGTTCCTCTACATCCTGCACACAACTTATTTTTCTCTCTTTGGGGCATAGAAAACACAAAGATTTTAAGTACTTGAAGGTTTATTTGGCTGAAAAACTTCTAGCGTTTCTACACTTACACCATCCTCCCTGCAATGCTTTTTGATGGGACTCTGGGAAAGAACTAAAAGGAAAACTTGTTTAAAATGAAGTCAAGAAAGTTCAAAGATCAGGATGCTAATCTAAATAATTTATTGTGGATGAATCCTCTTAATGTAATAGCACAACATTTGTGTCTACAGAGGGCTCGCCCAAAGATCCAGCCGGACCAGGGTCCTGTCTCAAACAGGGCCAACAGCAGAGGACTGTAGAAAATGATGAAAAAATATGAGTAGAGAATCATTTATCCATTAATATTACTCCAGACTCCAGCATTTTCTGCCCAGAAGCTTCATGAGTCAGAATGTTGCCTCTTAATGGAAGTTGATAATGTCAATTATGCCCTTGAGCTGGGTTCAACACACTTGAACTCCTGTTATTATCACAAGACAGTGTGGGAACACCGAAGTTGAGGACAGAAGGTCCTAGAGCTGTTGGTAAAACTCTGGCTTTTGCTGACCATGCCTCCACCAACCACATCTAGGAGAAGCCTGTCCCTATCCCAGTCGTCTCTCTTGCCCTCCAAATCTGTCCCTTACCTATCAAAGGTGGTCCCTTGGCTGTATCAGCTCCTGAGCTGTCCAAGAGAGACAGGACTGGCTGGTTCACACTCAGCCACACAAGGACATTTATAAGATGTGCAAAGAACCAATTCCCTATGCCAGGAAATGCTCCCTAGGGAGATGTAGCCATGGATTTAAACTGGGCTGTGATGGGTTTGCAGCAAGCACTGACACACTCCATGTGGAAATCCCTGGGATAGGCAGTAATCCCTGGAACTTTAGGCAGTAATGACTAAAAGTTGTGAAGAAAGATGCGTTTTTGGATGGGTGCAAAATAAATTTTTATCGCCCTACCAGTCCAGGTGAAACTGGCAGGAAAAAAGGAACAGACTCTATGGTTATCCCTGGACAGTCCTAAATAATGGATGAACTAATAATTGCTCAGGACACACTGCTGTCAGTTCTGCTTTCGCAGTCACTCCCCAAGCCCTTCATTTCAGGAACAATCCCAACACACCTCCACCTTTACTCAGTGACCCCTGTAACATTTCTGCGAGGCTGACACACATTTCCAAGTTTTCCAACAACATACAACATTTCTTTTTGCACTAGTGGTGGCGTGACAAACCCTTCATCTGCTCCTCCTTTTCCATATAATGCATCCACATTATATGAAGTTGATTTGCCAGGCTTGGAAATCAACAGATGATGATGGGCACAGAGCCGAGCCGCCCTGTGCCCATGCACATCTCCAGAAGACGTACAGATACATGGACACCAACAACCAGTGTGGGTAAGATGGCAAAAAAAATACTGGAATTTTGTTGTTTTTAGGGCTGGTGTACGTACAGAGCTGGGCAAGGGTCGTACCTTCAATGGTGATGGCTTGGTCTCCTCTCCTCTCCTGGGTCAGGGCTGCAGCGCTGTGGTGGTAAAGCTCTGCTCCACTCTTGGCAGACCCTAACCTGTTCATCAGCTGGAGAAAAGGGTGCAGTGCCAAATGAAACACAGCATGGTTGGTTTTTTTGTCATGATAAAACCCTGCCTGTGCTACCCTTGGAAATTCAGTGCTGGCAGAAATGGGTGAAGGTGTGAGAAGAGTGCCAGGCTGGAGTTTCAAGGGACACTTTGGTGCTCCATGGAGTTCATTTTAACAAAATTTTAACAAATTTTAACAAAAAATTTAACAAATTTTAACAAATTTTTAACAAAAATTATTCACAGAGACAAGTTACAGCACATCTGCAAACTTATTTACCTAATTACTGGATATTAATCTGCAGCTGGGACTTGCTCCTGGGGTAACTCTGTCTCTACCTACAGGCTCAGATTCCTGCTGCACACACACTTAGGTGGCCATAAAGAGGATTTTTTTTTGGTTTATCATCCAATAGTTACTGAGTTTTACTCAGCCAAGGGAATACTGGACCTTAGGATCTCTGTCAATGGCAAATGCAAGGCAGTTTGGTTTTGCTAAAATTCCAGTAGAATTCTTTAAAGTATATCAAACTTCCTAAATATTTCTGTGAGCTGAACCATTTACCATGGAGCAATTTCCTAAACCAACACCATTTTTTTTATTGGCAAGCCCTCAGAACTTATTACAGAACTTGTTTTATTATAATGAAAGCATAGACTACGACTAATTTTCATAAAATCTTACATTTTATCAGCTACTTCCACATATACTTGCTAAAAAAACCAGGAATTTCAGTGCTTTATCCTTCTATTTAGACTTAATTTCTTTCTTTTGGCTCTGGAGAGTTTCTTAGTCATAATTTAAAGACAATCCAGAAACAAAATATCACATCAGAATAGTCACAAATTTTTTAAGTTTCCTCTAGAAATCTGGATCTGAGTTTAAGCTCCAGAACAAGCTCCATCAATTCTTACTTGTACCAACCGTCAGATCAGAATACTCTGAAGCTTTTGGACATTCACAATCCAGATCTAGCTCAAGACTGTCTATAACATTCTTATGAGCAATTCCTCAGCCATGGGTCTCTGCCAGTAAAATGAATTCTCCTGCCTGTGTCATTTCAGATGACAGATATTTAAATCTCTCTGAACTTACCTCACATTCATAGTGCCCCATGTCTTCATTGGAAGGGTTCTTGACCACCAGGACTGCGATGCCACTCCGTGGTTCACTGTAAGTCTGGTATTTACTGGTGTCCTTCAGCAGCACCCCATCCTTGTACCACCTGAGTGGGAAAACATAGAGTGTAAGTCAGGAAAAATTATGCAGCATCAAGAGGTCCCCAAGATCACTGATCCCTCCGTCAAACAACTCTGGAGTTGATCCTTAGACAAACATTTGGATCCCGGAAGGGAGGGGTGCAGGTGGGTAGATCACACCTGGGTGTGAACCTGCACACCTTTATGAGGTTCTTCCCAAGAGATCTCCTCAGTCAGTGCTGCAAAAGGGCTTTCAATGATGACAGGACAGGATTTGCTGAGCTCTTTGTCTGAATATCTGATAAAATCAAGTCAGGTCCAAGGCAGGGAGGATAAACAATGATAAAATATTTTCCAGGGCTTTGGATTGGACAGAGTCCTCCTCAGGGTCTATCTACAGGTGTTTCTTTTCAAATTCTAGCTAGAATTAACTCCTAAAAATCTCAGGAATGTCTGGATCATGAAGAGCCAGCACTGGGATGGGGTTAAGATGGAAGACACAGTAAAGAAAGGGTCATAAACTCAAAAATGACTTTTCTGACTATGCAAAATGGGAAACAAGGATTTGTTCCAATGTGAGGTGTAGGACTGACCTGATCTGAGGCCTGGGTGCTCCTTCCACAGTGCAGGTGAACTGGACATCTTCACCCTCGACAAGATAAGCATTTCTGACCTTGTTCACAAACCGTGGGGGCACTGCAAAAACCAAAGGTAAATGTGACTGCTAGCTGGAAATATGAACAGAGAGGAAGGGCATGTCCCTGACCAGGAAATTCTCACTGGGTATAAAGGGTACTAAAGACCAAATTTTTTGACCTAAAACAGTTGCCTGCACCTCTATATAATTTTATTTTTAAATATTATCCAGTATATGTTCTATAGAACCTCTGGAATGTCTTAATATTTGTAACATCATAGAAACATAGAATCATTTAGGTTGAAAAAGACCTCTGGGGTCATGGAGTCCAACTGTTAACACTGCTAAGGCCAATAGTCAACCACATCCCCAGGTGCCAAATCGAAACGTTTTCTGTGCTCTTCCAGGGATGGTGACTCCACCAGTTCCTTGAGAAGATTGTTCTGGTGGTTGACAACACTTTTGGTGATGAAATTTTCCCTAATCTCCAATCTAAACCTCTCCTGGCACACCTGAGGCCATTCCCTCTCCTTCTGTCCCTGTTCCCTGGGAGCAGAGCCTGATCCCCCTGGCTGTTCCCTCCTGTCAGGAGCTGTGCAGAGCCACAAGGGCCCCCCTGAGCCTCCTTTTCTCCAGGCTGAGCTGCTTCCCAGCTCCCTTCTTGTCCTCCAGCCCCTTCCCCAGCTCTTTTCCCTCCCCTGGACACGCTCCAGCCCCTCAATGTCCTTCTGGTCATGGCAATCTCAAAACTGACCCCAAGCCAGCACAGGGGACAGTCACTGCCCTGCTCCTGCTGGTCACACCACGGCTGGTACAGGTTTAAGGTATTTCATAGCAAACCCCCTTTAAAATACTGCACCTGGGCAGGACTTACCTTGCACAAGGATCTTTCCCAAGGTGCTGGCATTCCCAGCAGGACTGGAAGCAAAGCACATGTACTGCCCTGTGTCAGCCCCTGTCAGATTGTCCAAGATCAGCGTGCAGGAGCCATCAGGATCTTCTATGATAATGTGGTGGGGATCCACCTCCACGGGCTTCCCATCTGAAAGGCAAATTATTTCTTTTAAAATAGCTTGGTCAGAGTTTCCTCCTTAGGAATTTCATCTGGCTTTTTGTCCTGAGAGGGCTGAGAGCTGTATTATTGCAGCTGGTGTTGGTAGTTGAGGAATCAGCTCTTCCTCTTCATCCAGCTCTCTATAAAACATCATCCAGGGCAAAGTAGTGTTGAAGGACCTCATACATCACCATTCCTCATTTAAAAGTGAAATTATCCCAGAGTACATTGTGTGCAGTAATTATTCTGTTTTTCCAGCCAAAGGAGCACACCCAAAATGCCCAAAAACACGATCTATAGACTTGAGCACCTCTAGAGGATCAGCTCTTGGAAAATCCTGATACCTTAGATTTTTAAGTTTTTCTATTCTGTGTTGGTGTGCAGCTTTTAGCTTTATATTAAGTGTTACTAGGATCTTTTCACAGGGTGGTAAAAGACCAAAAAAGACCAAGCAATCCTATTCTAGCTGGAGACTCAAGGACAATCTCTTCAAACTTCAGGCCCAAAGCATGAACAATGAGAAAAGAGGAGGGTAGGCAAGCAAGCAGGGAGGGTGAAACTTCATAATTTAAAGCCATTAATTGGACAGTTAACTCCTAGATGGAAATAGACTAAAACTTATAAAAATGTGAGATCTCGTGACCAAGCCCTCTTTGGCTTCCATCTTGGAGCCATCCATGTACTACCAGGGTGTGGCCTTTGAAGGCTCCTCAATAAATCTCCACTTTATTCCCCTTAACTCTGTCTAGCCTCTGTTCCAGCTCCTTAAGGCATCAACCCACTGCCCAATTATGGACAGGGAGCACATTTGAAGGGTGTATTTTTTGCCCTGCTGCTCATACCTTTGTACCAGCTGATGGATGGCTTGGGAGCTCCTGTCACCTTGCAGGCCAGCTTGACCGTCTCTCCCAGCTCAGCTGTGCAGTCTGCCAGTTCTTCCTCAAAGTCTGGAGGGACTGAAATATCAGAGGAAACATCAGAGGAAATATCAGAGGAAGCGTGTTAGTCTGGAGGAAGGGGCTCTGTCCATGGCATGGCTGCTGCTAAGTGAAATAAGAATAATTTTTTGCAAATCTGTGAGGTTCAGAATGGAAAAAGTGAACAGGAAATTTTAGCAGCTCAAGACTTAATAGGTGATATGGTCTCCTTGATTGTTTGAGACTAAATTCAATCTGTAACATGTGTGTTGTTGGCTGTAAAGTTAGAGCATATGAAAAAAGGGAATTTGTTGCTGATCTGGAATTATTTTAGACCATGATTTTAATAAGCACATCCATTATTCAGACAACACACATCTGTCACCGTTAAGGCAATTCCTCAAATCAAGTGCAGCCTGGTATCCAAACCAACATTCTGCTGGCGTCCTTACAATAAAATCTATGCTTTTATTGAATCATAGACTCATAGAGTGGCTTGAGTTGGAAGAGACCTTAAAGATCTCCAACCTTAAAGATCACTCCAACCCCTGCCATGGGCAGGGACACCTTCCACTCTCCCAGGCTGCTCCAAGCCCCATCCAGCCTGGCCTTGGACACTTCCAGGGAGGGGGCAGCCACATCTTTGGGCAACCTGTTCCCTTATTAAGTGACATTTATTTTAACCCATTGCTACCATATGAAACCATACAAAATTGTTCTGATAGTCTTCACACTAAAACACTTAAGTAAGGGCACAGAAATGAAGCGCCCAGACTTGTTTTCAGTGTATATGGACTAAATCCAATGCTGTTCTGGTATTTTAAGATGCTAAATATCCTTACACTATAGTGGAAACCATTTGTAGCTGATGCCTGAAAAATAAAAATCTAATATCCTTACTGATAGATTTTGTGGATTAAAAAGTCATGGAATCTCAAATGACACTGAGACTGATGATGCCTTAATGACCAGACAAAATTCCAAAGCAAAACCAGGTGCAAAATTAGAGCAGTGTAAGCCAGGAGTCGAGTAAAGAGTCTGGAACCCAGTGAAGTCACAGGGTTATTACTACTGGGGTATGTAGGACTATGGATCAGGGTACAACACCAAGTCTCCCTGTCTTTCCTCCGAAGAGGTGTTTCAACCCTCAGGTTATCTTCTAGGCCTCTTCTGGACTCACTGCAGTAGCTCCACATCCATTTTATTTCGGAGACCCCACAGATGGACAGAGCACTGCAAGTAGGACCCCACAAGAGCAGAGCAGAGGGGCAGAATCCCCTCCCTGGACCTGCTCCCACATTTAATGACCGTAAACAGCTTCCTTCCCTCTTTTATAACTTCCTGAACCTGTCCCTCAGGTTTTAGATTTTATATTTTTCTGTGCTGCTTTAGTGTGTGGGTCTGAGCTCCATAACAGGGGATGCTGAGCTCTGTGCACAGAGCAGGGAGACAAAACAATTCCTGCTCCAGCTGGGCACCAAGGACAAATGATCCAAATCTCAGCCCCAGAGCACAAACACCGTGGGCTGGAGAGAGAAAAACAAGCAGGGTGGGACTGCCTGGGCTAAAGCTGGAATGGGACAATGAACTGCAAGGTGCAAATGGAGCAGAACTGATCCCAGGGAGAGACCCCGGGAGCGCTCGTGCATTTTGGGGCCATTTTGGTTCATCTTGGGTGCAGCCCTGGCTTTGCTCTTGTGCTGCCCAAGGTGGATCCACGGAGGCCTTTTCATAAATCCCTGCTTTATTCTTTAACTCTGTCTCGCCTCTAGTCTAGAATTCTGTTCTAGGTCAGCCTTCCCAAGGCATCAAACCAAGGAGACCATCCAAGAAGAAAACCCGTGAGGTTTGGGTTGTCTGATGCCACACTTACTCCAGATGGGCTCGCTGATCCTCTGCTGGATGCCCAAGATCTCCTTCACCCAGGAGTTCTTGATGTTCACGGTCCGCGCCTGCAGCAGGTACTTGCGCACCAAGTCCTCCCTCTCGTGCCAGATCTCAAAGGCCCGGTCATCCCCTTCCACCAGGTCGTTCACATCTATGTTGTTCAGCTGAGTGAGAAAAAGGGCAAGAAAGTCACCACAAATCCTGTGTTTTTTAACAATTACTAACAGCTAAAAGGGGTAATTTGCGTTTTCTTCAAAGATTTTTCGGATCGCGTGAACAAGGCAACGTTGCTTTGGATGAAGAGCAATCAAAGCTACTTTGAGAGTTATTTTCCCTGGTATATGTAACTTTCTGGTTACCAAACTGACATTTTCCTGGGGTTAGTTTTTCAGGAAAACAATGTCCAGCATTAAAAGTTATCCCAAGTGTGGAACACACTGGCCCTGAAGAGCTGGGCCCAGGCAACATGGAAAAAATAGAGAATAGGCAGTCTCTGGACAAAGCATGGAAATGCTTCCATTTTATTTTTCTTGGGAAAGAAAATCTGCCTATGAATATTGATGAGGACTTTCAGAAAGTCCTGGCTGGGCTTGGTCAAGAAGTCCATGTTTTTTTGTTTGGTTGGCTGGTTTTTATTGGAGTTGAGCATCTCCTGCCTTGTGAAAACTCTTTCCTCAATTTCTGGCAGTTTTAACCCTGAATGTCTGAAGATAAGTGGGTCAAATGCTCTGAATTTTTCCATTTCTGAACAAGAACTGGTGTCTGGAAAGGACATAACCAATAGAGAAAACCCAATGGAATTTAGCAAATAAGATTCCTTCTAATTTACTCCCAGTGTTACAGATTGCCAAAACCAGAGATGTACAAATGCAAGAAAATACTGTAGGCAGCAAAATCCACATCAATATAATATATTTACGCTGTTAATTAAATGAGGTAACAGAAATTAATAAATGTTTGTACTTGTAATCTCCTTGCTGCATGGTAAAAGTCCACCCTGATGGTTTTTGACATGTTTAAAATAGATATTTTGGGATAAATGTGGATTCTACTTGTGCTTCAAAGACTTTTTGAAGCAAAGGAGTAGCTCAGAAGGATTAGAAAAATGTTCAAGCTGGATATAAAAGTGAAGCTCAGATTGACAGAGAAATGCTTTATGTGAGGATAAAGTGATCAGACCTTCATGATGTTCTTGAAGATGTAGCTGTAGGTGTCAGTCTTTGTGTCTCGCTTTGGTTTGCAGATCACAATATAATTTTTGAAGAGGAAAACATGTCTTTTGTGTCCTTTCCATGCCATTCGAGCTCCTGGAGCTCCTTCCCACACAATGAAGTGGCCCTGATAGGAAAAAGAAGGAAGAGCACACAGGAAGTGATACATCTGGAATAATTACCACAGTTATGTCTCACCATCATTTTTCAGTGTCCAGATAATAAATGTTTTCTGTTGCATCATCTGATATATAATTTCTGATGTATCTCTGGTTTATTAAAGCACAGCAGATGGTTTCTAATGCTAAAGGTGAGTCATCAGGCACAGCCAGTGGTTGTCATTTCATCGACATTTAAATGGTGCCAGAAAAATAGACAGTCCTTGTCAGGTAGAAACAAGCTTGGGAATATTAAAGGAAAATTGTATTTTGTGTGTTATACAGACACTTTATATGATGATTTGGTCACCTTCACGTGAGCAGGACATTAATTTCACACAGTTTCAGACACAGACAGCTCAATTAGTGACATGGGTTTCCCCTGGCGTCTCTAGGGAGAGGTGAACACTCGAGGGGTGTGACTGGACAATTTTTGGATGCCTAAATGTGGAGAGATGAATGCTCACCACAGTGTTACTGTAATTTAGCCTTACAGCTCCACTCAGCAATACAGCATGATTCCCATGGAAAGCATTAGATACAGACAGAATAAATTACTTGCCTGGTAGAACACAGTAAATCTATACGGAAACAGGAATTTGAGTGAGGGTGTTGGAAGTCCTAAAGTGTCCTAATAGCTGGGTCACCTAAAAAGCCACACACCTGGTTCATGGGATAAACCTGGGGGAGCACAAGGGTGTGTTTATGCCAGCAACTCCAGGAGCTGCCCCGTGTTGCTTCCCAATAATATGAGAGGATGAGTTAAAATCTTTTGGATCATGTAGGGGCCCAGAACAATTTTATTTCTGCTTGATGAGCAGGTCACAAAGGCAAATAACTGCATTATGTGTGAATTATCCCATAAGCATCCGTGCTCTGGCGTTTCAAACCTTAGTGATGCCAGAACACCCATTTCTGGACAGCAGTAAGTGAAATAAGAAAATCATCTCTTCCAGATGTAATTCAAGAATATAATATAATATGATATAATATAATATAATATAATATAATATAATATAATATAATATAATATAATGCAATATATTTTTATATAAATATAATATAATAGATAACAATTTATTAATGCATAATAATTAATTATATAACAATTATAATAGTCAATATATAATTATATATTTGTATTATTACAATATTGATATAGCAATATTATAGTGATATATTGATGTAGTAATGAGATATAATAATTAACATTATATTATAAACATAATATAGTATGAAATATAATATATATTATTGAATATGTGATATAATAAAATATTTAATATAATATAATATAATATGAATATGTATAATGTAATATATTTTTCTATTTATTTCTAATTATATATAATATAATTACTTAATAATATATAATGATAAATAACTAAGTAAATAACGATATATAATTATACATTAATATTATTAAAATAATAATATAGTAATAATATAAGAATGTATTAATATAGTAATGAGATATAATTAACTTAGCAATTAATTCTATCATAATATTTTAATTTGATTTTGTTGTATATAATAACAAAATAATAGTAATAGTAATAATAATAATAATTTTGAAAATAAATAAATAAATAAATAATTTCTAAAGAATTTTTTTCCAAGAATTAGGACTCCTTAGAAACTGGGGCAGGCACCCATGGAGCCAGCAGGGATGGGACATTGCAGTTACCTGGCGGATGGGCTCTCCAAGGCTCTCCAAGGTCCCTGGGTAATTCTCAATGAGAGAGACATGGAGGTTGTTCTCTGCTCTTCTGGTGAGGGCAGACACAATGGCATAGGCCTGTTCCAGCAAAGTGCAGTTCTGGCTGTTCCTGGCCTTGTTTCGGATTAATTCCTGTAGGTAAATGACAAAAAAATTAGTGGATAATCAAAGAGGAAATCAGCAATTTCTTCAGAGCCAAAGATTTTCTCAATACCTGCTCTTGTCTCTTTCATCTCAGCAACTTTTATCCCATTTTTTTCACCACAAATTGCTTAGATAACAGAGTTTTTTCTTTCCTACTTATTCAGCAGTATTAAAGACTTACCAGTCCTGCTTTTCCTGACATCAGTTGATGCCAAGGAAAGATAAAGTTGAAATAAACACCAGATATGGTTTGGTGGTTGAAAACAAAAAATTCCAAAGCGATCCTAAATGTACCCATTGCATTTCTCTTCTGCTTACCCTCACAAGAGCAGAGAACAAGGAATTCATGTGCTCAATCAACATTAGAATAATAAAAAGGGAGGCTAGAAAAATGTGAAATGGCATTTTTCCTATTCTTCCCACATTTGTTCCTGTTCCTCTCTTTCAGCAACGAAGGCATGGAAAATGCCTTTTCTCCTCCAAAAGACCCATAAAAATATTGGAGTTTGTGTGCAAGACTATGTTCAAAAGTCAAAGGTTCTTCAAAATATTCAAGCTGCTCATTTATACAACACTAGAATACATAAATATTTTGCCATGATTATTTTCTTCCTGAGTATCCTAATGCTATTTCCCATGAAAATACTGTTTAAAATGCTGTTCTGAAATGTTTGCTTATGGTCTAAGACAGTAGGACAGATGCAATCCTGAAAGACAAAATACTTCAGGGTGGTAGAATGGGGCAAAGTTTTTCAGAAAACAAGAATTTTATCTTACTATAATATCAGTATAAAAGGAAAAGAAGTGGTAAGTCATCATCTTAGACATGGAAACTGATTATTTTTATAATGTAAATATTGCTGAGTTTGAAGCAAATTTATACCTGTCATCCAATATAATATATAGTAATATAATATATCCTAATATGTTATTATATCATATAATACAATTTTTTTCATATATTTAATTTAAAGCTCACTGAACTTTCTGGGATTGTATTCTGTGAACCTCCACCTGGATTGACATTTACAAAACTATTTAGAATCACCACCACTGGTGATGATAAATGTCTTATTTACTCAAGGAGTTTTCAATTGTAGTTTTATCAGAAGGAAACCAAGAAACAGGAAATAAAAATAAAATCTTTTTCTGCACAAGCTGCTCAGAGCAGAACATAAACCTGTAACAACATCTCTTTACCTTAATTATTGTCTGGTACTGCTGGATCCTGTTTATGGGTTTTTCCAGGTAGTGCTGCAGTGGTGGGATAAGTGGCTGTGAGGGATCTTCATTAGTTAAGTATTCATCTGTGTATCTCTGAAAGAATACATGGAATAACAAGGAAAGGTTGTTATAAAGAGCAGTAGAAAAAATCCTGAGTAGCTGGAGCAGAGAAACAAGATTTGCTTATCTATATTTATGATTTATGTGGTTTTCTTGGTCTTATAATGTGGTGACCTTTAAAATGTCCCTTAATTACAGTTACATAAACACAGCCACATTCATGGCTGCATAACCTTTATAATATTAATAAATGCAAAAGGATATGTAAATATGTTCCCATATTGGCCATACTAACCAGAAAAAGCTAGAAAGTGAACTAAAAACTATTCGTTTTAATAATTTTTAAAGTTTAAATTATTTTAAGTTAATAAGTTTTTGCTACTATATTTAGCAAGAGATATTACAAATACTTTTGAGGTTCATATTTATGACTAATAATGATATTTCTTGATGCAGTGGGTTACAGGATGAATTTCCCACAGGTGCTTTGGCTCCTTCCTTACCTTGTAGAAATCCTGGACAGCTTTGCTGACAACAATGGACTCTGCCTGGACCCTTCCCACCAGGTACTGGATGTACCTGCTGAACTCTGCTTCGTGCTTGATGAAGCACATGGCCACGTCATCGTCAGTGTCACAGCCCTGCAGGCTCCTCAGGAACACGCTGTGGGGACAAGAGAACAGGACATCTCAGGGGAAGGGGATGAAATGAGGCTAAAAAAACAGCCCCAGCTGCCAGGCTGGGAATCAGGAGATGTCAGGTATAAAATGTGGTTTGGAGGTATTGCATTTGCCATCTGTCAGAGGTGGGGCAGTTATCTTCTGTTCATTGGGCAGTTTTCTTTGTCTCTCCCCCAACCAATCCTCCCTCCAGGAGATCTCTTCTGTTCATGGGCCATTATTACTAATTATCTTCTGTTAATGGGCCACTGAGTGTCCCTGCAGGGCTGATCCAATCCCAGCATCCCATGGGGAGATGCTCCGCCCAGGGGAGGAGCCAAGCATTCCTACCTGGATCCAATCTGGGCCTGGCACAGCACAGCAGCCTTTGCCCCCTGCATTGCCAGAGGAGCAGCTTTCTGCTGCCCTGCATTGCCAGGACGAGGGAATGGCTTTAAACTGGCAGAGGACTGGGTTAGACAGGATATTAGGAAGAAATTTCTTCTTTGTGACAGTGGTGAGACCCTGGAACAGATTTCCCACAGAAGTTGTGTCTGCCCCTGGCTCCCTGGAAGTGTCCAAGGCATGGTTGGATGGGACTTGGAGCACCCTGGGATAGTGGAAGGTTTTCTGAAATTCATGGATGCTGACATCAGTTTTACATGGATTAATATATCTGTGAAGACACCACTGAAGTGCCTGTGAGATCTTGCTGCTCTTTTAACATAATTCACTGTTTCTCAGTTAAATTCACTTAAAAGAGTAAGAAATGAGCTGGACACAGGAAGCCTTGAAGCTCTGAAGGGGATTATGAAGTCCTAACCCTGTGGTAGGATTTAAACCATGCCTAACCCTGTGGTAGGATTTAAGCCACACCATAATTTACCCTCCTGAAAGGAATATCAATTCCCTTGCACCTCAGCACTGCCAGTGCTCCACATCAGGAAAAAAAATTAAGAAATAATGATAATATGGAATAATATTATTCAATAATATTATTCCAGTAATAATAATAGAAGTAATAATAACAGTAGTAAAAGTCGTAGTGATAATAATGATAATGACAACAATAACAATGATAACAACAACAACAGTAGTAATAGTAATAATAATAATAATAGTGCTACTCTTTGGTCTCCAATGAAGGCACTTGGGAATGCACACCTGGAATGGAAGCGACCAATGTCATCAATATTCCTGAAGATGGTGGATTTCTGACTGGCAACAGCTCCTGGCACACTGGGACAGGTCTCAGTGTACCTAAGGTGATGAGTCTGGAGGAACTGTAAATCCTGAATGTAATCTTCCTCTGAGATCAGCAGCTCCTGAATGAGAACACTGAAGGAGAGACAGAGAGGCAGGAAGAAATCACAGAAAAATCATCACAATTGTCCTTGAGAGGCTTTTAGGCTGTAAAATAGGGATTTATGATCAGAGGATCTGACTCCTGGGGTGTGTTAAAAGATCCTCTCTGGGGATTGATGGATGCAGGTGATGCCTTAAGTTTTAGCTTTCATGTTTTCCAGATTCTGTACTGCACTGGTGTATAACTCTGAACTTCATATAAAGTGTTAGCAAGTTCTCATCACAGTTCAGTCAGACAAAACATTCCTTTTCCAGCCCCAGAACCAAGGACACCATTGCAACTTCAGGCCCAAAAAGTACAAACAACAGCAAATTGAGGAGAGCAGTCTGGGAGGATAGGATTTCACAACCTGAAACTGTAATTAGACAATTAACCCCAGTATGGAAATGGACCAAAACTTATAAAAGTGTGAAAACTCATGACCTGGCATCCATCTTAGATAGAGCCATAGCCAGGCTCTTGTACTGCCCAAGGTGTATTCTTTGAAGGCCTTTTAATAAATCCCCACTTTATTCCTTTAACTCTGTCTAGCCTCTGTTCTAGGTAGCCTCTTAAAGCATCACATGGATGGATGGATGGATGGATGGATGAATGGATGGATGGATGGATGGATGGATGGATGGATGGATGTGGCCAGTGGAAGGTGTCCCTTCCCATGGGACTCATTGACACTAGATGATGTTTAAGGCCCCTTCCAACCCAAACCATTCTAGGATTCTGTGATCCCGATGCCTGGAATTTTCCTAACCTGAAATGAATCACAAAATGCAAGTGGTTCAAAAGGCAGGAAAATTCAAAGGTGCACATACCAAGTGACGTGAACTCACCTTAGCTTCCTTTTGTATTCATCTTCAGAAACAAACTCTCCAGGAAACTCTGGAATTTCTGTTGCTCCCCACTCTGGTGACAACTACAATATTAGAAAAAAAAAATTAAAATAATTCTTGGAAATGGACAGTGCTTTTATCTATACATGCAGGAATATCACTCATCTGTTCACAGTCCTGTTTAGTCCAAAATTACTAAACCAGTGTGAAATTTCTTTTATACTGGAGAGTTTTTAGGTCTTTCCAACCCAGAAACCCCTGCACAGATCAGAAATATTGTCTAATAAAAACATGAAAAAGTACAACCTTGTTCCAGACCCCTTCAACAACCTCCTCTGCCATCACTTCTTGCATAAGGGACAGCTCTAAACTGCAACAGGAACAAGAAATTTTAAATGAGAAATAACCAAATGTGATCAGTCACCTTTAATTTCTTGTCCAGATAAGCTGGAGACACCCAACCCTGTCGAGAGGGACTTGATTTCGTGGGTTTAGTCCTGACCAGCCATTTCAGAGGATGAGCTGAATCCAGGACTTCCACATATTGTCCTTCCTTCAGGGTGATGGTCTCCTTGTCCGGCGCCGCGGGCACGTAGTCAGCAGTGACCATGTAGACATCAAAGATCTGCAGGCACAAAACTACAGTCACTTTGTGCTCTTCCTTTCCCTTATGAAGAAATTCCCAACTGTGGGAATCCCTAAAATCAGACGGTTTTGGGAAAGCTGCAAAAGACAGGCCTCAGAGACAGCAGAATTGTGATTAGGGCTAAGCAGTAGCCATGAGATTGGTCAGCAGAAAAATTATTTAAACTGTAGAAAAGGACAAATAGAACAATGGTCTGTGTATTAAACCTTGTCTAGAATAACTCCCTAAGCTGCAGAAAAGTTTATCTAGTGAGATATTAGGAAGTTCTAAGCTTAATAATGGAGCTCTGTGTGTTGTGCTTTAAGGCTTACAAGCAGGTATTATATTTGAAATAAGCAAACATTTTTTAACCTAAGGTACGTGTACTTATAGTGGTTGGGTGGAACTACTGTCAATGTGCTTTTGCTTTGTGTGATTGGTCAAAAAATTTTAAAGTTATAACATAAGTTCTTGGTCTGCTGCCTGGGATGTGAGCTGATGGCATTTTCCCATTGTCATAACCATGGAATGAGACTGATGCTGGAAAATAAAACAGCTCAAGACACATTCCTACCAGTCCCATCCTGTTCATGATTTGTACACAGCCCCTGGCTGGAGATACCCAACAAGATTCCTCTGGCCAACTTTATCCAAGGCCACAGAAAATCAAGTTCTGACTTCCTGAAGTTCAGCTGTGAGAGCAAGAGGTGCCAAGTCATGTTTCGACCATTTTGACTTGAACCACTTGTTCAGCATCACAGGGTGATCATCAGAATTTGATTCTCTGTGCTCTGTGTCACAGACACAACATTTAACTACTAAATACACCTACAAAACTGAATTACATCACCAAAGAGGATGGAGAGCCCTACACCACAGTAGGCTGGTCACTCTAAGTTTAGTTTTCTCCTTGTGTCCAACTTGCCCATAGAGATGTCATACCTCCCCTCTGGAATCTCCATCTTCAGATTCAGAGGAGGATTCCTGAGCAATGGATGAAGGTCTGGACCGTCCGTGGCGAGGAGATGCAGAGGGAGTTCTTGACTCATCATCACTTTCTGCACCTGGTACTCGAAGTTTAGCTGAAAAACAGAGCAACAGCAAAGTGTTTAAGAAGTATCCCAAATTTAAACATCAACCAAATCTATAATAATTTTTCTTCTTCCTAGGAAGAGCATTCACAGTAATATTTAGTGTGATTCCCTATTGATATTTAGGATTAAATTAATAATTCAGATGTTTTAATACAGGGTATTGCAGGCCTACTGCATGTATTGCCGCTGCACTACAAGAATATTTGTTGGAGAGTTAATGCCTCTATTTTTCTCCAAGTTAAACTTTTTCTACAAGATAACCAGGACAGACACAAACCAGACTTTTTCACCCAACTCAACAAATCACTGGATTACTGCACAGCTGTGCACAGTTTTCAGCCTTAATTTGATTTTAAAATTCCACCATGAACTAAAACCTGAAGATGTGGGAAGTACAGAAAACAGGATTGCTTTCTGATTTATGATTGATGAATATCTAAGGAACTCAAAATATCTAAGATAGGTAAAGTACACTTATATTTTTACATTTTACTGTAATGGCTTTTTTCCTAGTTTAAAATTCTAGACTGAGATGCGCAGGTTGGATGGATTCCTACTTAAATTTCTTACCCCTAAGCATTGACAAATGTTCATTTGCTTACATAGAATGACTGTCTCAAAACCTGCTGCATAAATCTCACTTATAAATAAATAACACCTAAAAAAAGAGAGAGATTGCTTTTTCTTCTACTATAATTAAACTGTGTTTTCCAGATTCCTTACCCTGAGTTATTTTTGCAGATACCATTTCTGAGATACGTGAGGTGAGTTTCTGGAAGAACTCTTCTGAGCCAACATCAGCTAATGAAATGGGGGTTTTGGGCACACCTTCTCTGCCAGCTTCAAGGTCTCCTAGAAAAAAAGAGAATTTGTTATTAAGTTGGCAGTGTCACTGAAAATTCATATATTTTTGAGTAATAAAAGCTTCTGTGGAAGGAAGGTTTAATTTTCTTCCCTTCCCTTGTTTTTAAAACTGTGGTTACCCTCAGTTTGTCCAAATAATTCACCCTTGAACAGCAAGCAGTCCTGAAAGGTTCCAACATTACAGACAATTTCACGAAAAGTGGACAAAAATGAGTGGATACATGAAATACATTGACAGTCTCAGCTGTAGATATGAGGGACAGAAAGAAGAGAGAGAAAACAGCTTCTCTTACCTTCAGAGGACTGAATAGTTCTGAAAAAGAAAATAAAGCAGAGTTAAATATTACAATAAAATGGACAGTAAGGGGAGCTAAATGAGGAACACGTCCCCCTTCTCCCACACACCCAACTTACCCCAGCGTGGTCATGATGGCTTCTGACACCATCACACGCTCCTGGGTCAGGACTTCAGCCTCTTTCACTGCAAGATTGGGGTTGGTCATTAGAGGACAGAAGGCACAGAATGTCCTTTTTTAGCTATTTAGTGCAGGCACATTTTCTAGACATGGAGCACTGCAGCAGCTCCTGAGCTGGAATATATATTCCCAGCCCTGTGGTGGCAATGGTTTCTCCCTCCTCTCCCTGTTCATGGAAAATATGTAATTGCCTCATTTCTCCACACTGCTCAGGTTATGTTCCTGCAGCTCTTGGTACAATAAAAGTGTGGGATGCAAGGCAGGATAACAGAAAAATGGAATCCTTCACAGCTCTGCCACAATTCCCAGTATATATTTGTTTTCCCCCCATCTTATTGTGTTAAACGTGGCCTTGGAAAGCTCTGCAAAAATCAAATAATTCTAATACAAAATATCTCTGCAGAGTGGAGCACTCAAAATAATTTTTCAAATTATGACTTTTCCCAGTTACTTACACTGCCTTTCATTTTTTTAAATTTGTACTTAATTTGGCTGTTCCTTAGACTTGCCTTCTCTTCATATAGAAAAGGTGCGGCTGTTAATACAAGACAGAGTCAGAAATCTAAACTATTATAGAAGTAAAGAGTGTAGCCATTTGCAAGACAAGTAAAATCATGGCTGCTCTTGAGAAAATGCCTTTTTTTTGGGTATGATTGGATAATTTCCATAACAGTCACACTTGGTTTTGGTTTTTTTTGTTTGTTTGTTTGTTTGTTTGTTTTTCCCTTAGGCACTGCATAAATGGGAAATACAGAGAAATTGTGTTGCAGCAAAGATTTACCATCTGCAACTTCCAGGTTGGCCGTGCAGATGGACTGGCCAGCCTTGTTGGTGGCAATGCAGGTGTAAGCTCCACTGTACTTCTTCTTGACGTCCAGCAGGATCAGGCTGTGGTGCATGTTGGAACTGGCCAGTTTGTACCCAGGAGTGTCTGGCTTGATCCACAGGATGTCCTCCCGAGACTCTTCCTTCATCCAAGTGATTGTTGGTGGTGGATGTCCTAAAGGGAAATTGGTGCAATAAGGTTTAATCTTCCTGTTTGTGTTCTTCCCTTAAAATGATGAGGCTTGGTGTGAAAAAATGGTGTTTTGGTCCATTTTCTGATACTTTCCCAACAATAACAGGCATAATGTGCAATAAAGGAGGATAAACCATTTTACAGCACACTCATAAAGACATCAGACCTTTTTGAAAAACCAGAATTGTCAATCACCATACAATTCATGGTCAATGGACATCATACTACAGTGTCATTATCCCCATTTTTTCACGCAAAAAAAATTGGAGGTGAAGAAATATAAGATGCTTTACTGTGAAGTGTCTTTGTAAAAATGTAAGATGGGAGTAGAATCCCAGACTTCAGATACAGGAAATGAGTTAACAATGACTTGGGGGCAGAGAGAGAAGAATGTGTTGTGAAATTACACATTTCAAGTGTTATTCAGAGAGATGAGGTATCTGCTCACTTACCTTCAACTTTCACAGATAATGTGATGCTTGCACCCTTTTTCACCTTCTTATTTGTAAATCTTTCAAGGAATCTTGGTGGTATCAGCTGCTCATGGGAATCTGGAAATAATATTATTGAAGAAGCACAGTGAGTTTAGACTGCAAAATTCTGAGGGCTTCTGTTCCCACCTGCTGTGGCTTCTCTCACCTGTTTTGGATGGCTCTTCTTTCTCATAAGGATCTGGAACACAAGGAGAAAAAAAAGAACATGACAAATATAAATAAGTGTTAATCCAGGAGTTGCAACAAAAAGCTCCCAAAGTGACGCCAGTGGAGATATTACACAGAAATATTGGTATGATTTATAAGAGCTTCTAAGTTTTGATGAAATTTACTTTTAAGGTTAATTAGAATGGAAAAGAATAAAATAGCTGTTTATGAGACAGACAGACCACAGGGAAGTGGCATCATCATCTTCTTAAACAGTAAATTTATAGGTGAATAAATAAAGAGCCAAGAGTAAAACACATTTAGCTTTTACCTACAGACTTCCCCACCTCACCTGAGTTACCTTGGGAGGTTTCCTCAGTAAAAAATAACTATACAAAATGTCAAGAACCTCTGAAACAGCCCAAAACAGAGCAACACCCACCTCTGACTATCAGCCTGGCTGAGGAATAGGCAGAGCCAGCAGAGTTGATGACAAATATCAAATACTGGCCGGCGTCTGCTTTGGTGACATTGCGGATTTCCAGGGAGTGGAATTCCTGCCTGTCGGTCTTGAGGATCCGGTCCGAGGCCTTCAGGGGCTGCCCATTTTTGAACCAATAGAGACGAGGCTGAGGGTACCCTGTGAGGAGCAGTCACAGACACAGAGGGCAAAATTCATTGGCAGCGCTGATTTGGGAGCATCTCCAAAGTGCCAGATCCTCTGCTGTTTCAAGGGTTTAACAAGGCTGCTGTTTCAATGGCTTAACCAACTAGGAATGCTTAAAAAGGCATTAAATTTTATTAATCAGTCAAAATTCTTTCCTGTCTCCTCAGTTTCTGGCACTCCCCATATTGTCTGCATGTGCAAATGCCTTGGAGGTTGAAAAATCAACACTTAGGTCTGATTTGAAAGTTTCACAAGGAGAAATGTTGAAGCCAGATGCATTCTCATAATTTTTATAGACAGCAACAGGAGAAAGTGGAAAAATTCCTACCTTTCCCTACCAGAGTCAACACCAGAGGGATGTTTTTTGCAGTTTTTACATTGTAGGAGCAACCCCTAAATGGAGGAAGGCAAGCCCATGACTGCTTAATTTATTGAAGAGAATGAAGGAAACTGACTTAATTTTTATTGATATTATTATATAATTATGATTAATATAAATACATTATACTACATATAGTTATTAAGGTTATATAACTATAGGCAATATATAATGATAGTTATTAATAGTGATGATTGTAATAATGTCAAGATTATTACTCCTTATTGCTCCTGTGCTCAGAGAAATCCAGAATTCAGTTTTCAGAAGCATGTGCCTGTCATTATGCCTGGATATATGGACACAAAATGAGGCTTAATCTGCCTAAGTCTGCTCCAACAGTCCCTGTTCAACAGCATGAACACTTTCCCCAGCTGGTTTGTGCAGAAATGGTACAAGGTGCTCAGCCCACGGTCACAGCTGCAGAAGAATACCTTGAAAAGCATTGTCCAGCACTTCAACCTGATATCAGACCTGGAAAACTGACATTACCATGGGATCCACTCACCTTTCACCTTCAGGTGAAATTTAGCCAGCGATGCTCCAGGTGCCACATGAATATCATGGAGCTCATCAAAGATCTGGGGCAACTGCTCCTCCTCAGCCATGGATTCCTCCTGTTCTCGGCTAAGCAGCAATTGGGATTAGAAAGAAGAAAATCAGGACTCCGGGTAAGAGTTTGGAATCAGAATGACCTATTTCAAGTAAATCCAGTCTGTGGGTTTTGGCATCCCGAGAACAGATTCAGCACCACCTGACATTAGAAGTAACAGAGTGATTCCTTGAGGAAATAGCCTGGCTTGCCTGAAGGCTCCAGAGCAATTCTGCCCATGATAAATGTGCAGCTGTTGCAGTTATTGCATCTCAACTGGGCTGGATGCTCCTTTATGGCATTAAATTTGCTCAACACAGCAAACTCAGCCCTGACATAAATACACAGACTGGTCTCACTGAGTTAGAGGTTAGAACCAGTTCCATATTTTACCTTGAAATATATTCCTTGGCACTGTAGTAAGATGAAGTCTCTGTTGCATCTGCTGCTGTCTCATAGTCTGTGCTAGTCACTGTTAAATGGAAAAAGATAGGTCTGAATCATCTGAGCTTTGAAATGATTTTTCTTGCTTAAGCAGTTCTTACTGATTTTAGTTCCCTTACTAATTGGAGTGACTGGCAGATGGATTTTATATTGTACTGCAGCAGGATCCCACACATCCCTGGATTATGGAAAACACCTTTGTCTCTGTTCACCCCAAAAGCTTTGCTCTGAAACTTGCCTTGGAGTTAGCAAAACCCAGCTAAACCCAAGAAGTTTGCAAGTGAAAATTTCCTGGCCAAAACATCTTCCTTTAAAATGTAAATGGTGTGCAGATTCTCAGTTCAATCAAAGAAAGAAGAGAGATAATTTCTCCCAGGCTGAGCCTGAGAATCTTAGAGGAAAGAATTAAAACAATTATTATCTCTCTTTCTGGAACCATTGTTTATAATTATGGTTCTTCACAGTGTGCTATTCATAGTCACCATTAGTGTGAGATGTTTCTACTTTGAGACCAATCAAGTACCACCTTTGCAAGTCACATTATAAAAGACCCACTAATTTAATTAAAGTTAGCCTTCTAATCCACCTGAAGACTAGAGTCTTTCTTTCGGTCCCTGACTCAACAGCTGTAGCCATTATATTTTCTGAAAAATCTTTTCCTTAGGATTTTTTCCTCCTGAGAAGCTGAGAGGCCTCAGAAACAAAATGTAAACAATAATTATCTGCTGCTGTGGAATGCAAGAAGAGCATCTTTGATTGGTCTCATGTGGTTGTTTCTAATTAATGGCCAATCACACTCCAGCTGTCTTGGGCTCTCTGGTCAGTCACAAGATTTTATTATCATTCCATTCTATTATTTTTCTATTGCTTGCTAGCCTTCTGATGAAATCCTTTCTTCTATTCTTTTAGTATAGTTTTAATATATAATTTTCTTTTAATATAATATATATCATAAAATAATAAATCAGCTTCTGATACATGGAGTCAAGATTCTCATCTCTTCCCTCATCCTGGGACCCCTATGAACACCACCACAATTGGTGACCCCAAGTGACAGAAAATTCCACAAACAGCATCAAATGGTGCTTTCCTTGGGAAAAAAAATAAATTAACCAGGTCTCATCAGAACTCCTTTAATTGTTTTTTCTGCAGTGATTTTGAGACTTACAGTCCACACGGAGCTCAGCCTTGGTTGAGGCCACGCCCATGTTGTTCTCAGCAAGGCAGCGGTAGACGCCCATGTCCGTGGGCACCACGGCGGTGATGATCAGCTGGTGGCACCCCTCCTGGTCCTCATTGATCATGTAGTGATCGTTTTCCTCAATAGCTTTGCCGTCCTTGAACCAGCGAACCGTGGGCAGGGGTTTGCCAATGACGATACAGTCAAAGCTCACCGGGTACCCGTCCTGGACCTCTTGGTTTTGGAGCTCGGTCATGAACATGGGGGCTGAAGTTGGGGTGGTTGGAGAGAAGAAAGAAAACTTTGGTTTTAGTTAAAGATATATTTTAGGCTCCTGCTGCCCAGACTTCTGGTTTCCAGTTTTTTAATTGCAAAGTGATATCTTTTCTCTAGAAAAGAGTTAAGAAAATCCCTAGCATTGCAAAGATATTCCATCAGCACAGCAATACACAGCTCACAACTATATATCGTCCCTCCTCCTATCCTTGCCAAAATATCTTGTCTCCCTCAGAACCCTTCTAAACCCCACATTATTCATTTAAGTACAATAATCATAGTATTTATGGTCATGTTGTGGTAGGTGACATTTTTAGCATGAAAAGGGGCTTCACAGATAAGTCAATATGTTGTAACCTCCTCACCAGTGTGCCTCCTCTCCCTCAAAATGAAAAAGAATAAAAGAAGTAATTATTTTTTCTAAAAGTGCAAAGCTTTCATAAAATATCTGTGCCAAATTAAAAAAAATAAAATTGCTCAAGAGTGAAAAAATTACATTATGACCTGTTCCCACTGTCTTTTCCAAGGAACAGGCAAGATCTGCTTCCCCTACCTGTGTCAGAAGTCAGCAAAGGTGGTGGAGGTCTCGATGGAGGTGGAAACTTCCCAAGGGTGGGAGGTGATGCCTTCCCAATGCGCAGTTCGATTTTTTTCGGGCCTTGTTCCAAGATGTCAATCTCCACTGGAATTCCCAGAGCGCCAAACATCTCTCTGAACCGTGTGGCGGCCGTCTTGGCCTCGGACATGACTTCAAACTTGATGTAGATGTACTGGTCATCCTCACGGTATGTCTGGTGGTCAACCACATCTATGTCCCCTTCGTCTGCACTGACAAAGAGCTCTTCCTCCACGTCAGAGATCTCCGTGGAGATCTTGGCCCTGAAGAGCCTGTGGAGTCTCCTTCCTGCTTTTCGGAAAGCGTCGTCCAGCTCGCTGCCGGATGAGCTCTCCGTCTCGCTGTCGGTGCTCTGCTTACTCCTCTTCTCCTTGGCAAGAGCTTGAGCTTCCTGAGCGCCAACCACCACCTTGGCGCTGTGTGAGACCTTGCCAAACTTATTGGATGCCTCACAGGTGTATTTGCCTGCATCCTTCCTGTCCAGGCCGGCGATGATCAAGGAGCAGGTGCCGTCGCTGTAGCTGTCGATGTGGTAGTAGCGACCATCCGAGAGCTCCTTGCCGTCCTTCAGCCAGCGGACGTTCATGTCGGTTTTGCTGTGGGCCACACACTCCAGGTGCAGGGTGCTTCCAGGCTCTCCAGAGAAGTCTTTGAAGGTCTCAGTGAACACGGGGCACTCCTGTTGCTTGATCTCTTTCCTGACTTTGTAGCCTTTGAAAGCGGCTTGGATCTTCACAGCCGCCTTGTTCATGGACGGGTCGTCCAAATCTGGCAGCTCTGGCTCGGCTGGCTGAGCAGCTGTGGTGGCCACAGTGGTCTCCACGGTGGTTGTTGTCTCCCACTGCTTCCATAGTTTTCCTGTGGAGGTGGACTGAACCTTGCTGGTAATGCTGGTGCTCTTCTTCCCAGCTTTCTTGAGGTAGTTCACCAAGGAAGGGGTGCCAGCTCTAGACTCATCATCAGAGCTTGTGAAAGAGAAATCTGCCTCTCCCGTCCTGGCCAGCTCGTCACACGTGGAGTACTCCTCCGAGTAGTAGTGAGACATCTCTGCTTCCTCCTTCCTCAGCTTCTGAAGCTTCTCCTCCTCCTCGGGCACCTCACTGATGGAATCCAAGGTGGGCTCCCGGCTCATCCGGCGCTTCTTGGCCAGGGCTTCCCACAGGAGGTGCAGATCTCCCTCCTGGGCAGCTTCGGGGGGCAGGCTGGGCTGGATGTGTCCATCCACCTGCTCCTCAGCCCGGCTGGCAGGGGGAGCTTCCCTGGCAATCTCCTTCAGCATCGACACTGTGGGAACTGTGGGGAGTGAAGCAGATGAGAAGTTAAATATCTGTGACCTTGGAGAAAGCACATGGAGATGTTCTACTCTGGAGAGTCTCAGAGGCATTTAACTAAGCATCATACTGAGAAAAACATGGGAATTTACAGAATCACAGGATGGGGAAGGTTGGAAGGGACTGCTGGATATCATCTAGTCCAACCTCTCTGCTCACACACCGTCCCCTAGATCACATTATTCAATGTCCAGATGGATTTTGAGTATCTCCAGAGAAAGAGACTTCACATCCTCTCTGGGAAGTTGATATAACTGAGTCTGGTCCTGGTGAACTTGTCCTAGCTGACCATGCTTTGAGGAGGAGGATGGACCACACCATCTTCAGGAGGTCTGTGCATCCTCAACAATCCTGTGATTCCATGCATGCACCTAAACATTACCAAACAACTTTTAAAAAAATTTATTTATTCCTTGCACATTTGGACCCAATAAATCAATTTGTACCCTTTTTAACGTTGCAGTTGTTTAGACTGCCAGTGGAGCTTGGAAAGCTACCCAGGCTCATCCAATCTCCCAGGTTTACAGGGCTTCTCTGTTTGTCCTGAACAGATCTCCAGTGGCTGTGCTGGGAGCTGAGACTCCCATCTCACATGGACACACCTGCTTGGTTGGATGTGCCTAAATCTGAAGGTAGGGACACATTCATGTGCCTCTACATGTTGCCCAGTCCCTTTTGAGATGCTCCAGGTTGTCTGGGACATCCACATAATACCCTAAAGCATCTTAAAAGGCACCAAAAACTTGTGTAGAGACAATAATGTCACGCCTTAAATATGTGTCTCCAGAAACTCTAATCTGAGCAACTCAAAAGTATTTGGGATGCAGGAACATACTGGGCAATGCCAAACAGGAAAATAACAATTCTTTGTGGATTGTTATCATAGCTTGTAAAAGAAAATTATTTCCAGTCCCAGCTGTGGAGATGGCCCTGAATGTCCATACCAGACCTGATTTAGCACCCCAGCAATGCACACTTTGTACCTTCAAGACACAAGCTGGCAACAGATTTGACTTCCGGAGAAGCCATGCAGGTATAGCTGTCCTGATCCTCAGGTTTAAATCCACGGATAATGAGAATCTGCTTCGTTCCTTCAGAAAGGATTTCATATCTCCCTCCAGCTTTTATTCGCTCTTTTCCCTTGAACCAAGTCACTTTCTCCTCAGTTTTGTTTGATAATGTGCACTCCAGGCGAGCCACCCCCCCTTCCGAGACAGATCCTCCCACCAAGGGTTGGGTGATGGTAACGGGAGGCTCTGCAATTACAGAAATAAAGTGAATTAACACAAAGAACAATCATGTGGCTTTAGGGCACTCCACTCCATAAAATATCCAAGCAACCCATCCATCATTTACAGATTTTTCAGCTGTTGTAGACAACTAAAGGAAAAAGAAAAGAAAAGACTGGCAGCATCCAAAGTATGCACTTCCAATGATAATATCAAAACAACTTTCCAAGCTCTCCCAGTGCTTAAACCAGCTCCACCTAAACATATACATGCAGAAGTGGTTGCATTTTCCACATTCCTGTGTTTGTTTGCTGGTCTTCATTTACCCATCATCAGTATAGGAGAAGTTCTACAGATTTCTAGATCTTAAATGTTTCAAAGTGAAGAAGTGATATGAGACAAAGAAGAAACAAGAAATAGAATGAAAAGAGATTATTCAAAGCAGAATTCATCTCTGCCTTGAAATAAAAAGAAAAATATAGATATATATTTATGCTATCTTAGGAAGAGTAAAAATTATCAAAAAGCATAAAAAATTTAAACCAAAAAATTCTCAGCATTTTATTTACTTTGGAAGGAGGTCTACCAATAGAATGCTGTTTGTAGAACCATGATACCTCAAAGAAAGACACAGAGATGCTGACTAGGATGCAAAATATGATTCTGGGTTCCCAAAAGCAGCACAACCCTCCAGTTTTCCTTCCTCTCTGCACATTTCAACAGGGTGAGAGGATTGCTGCCCAAAATGCCTTGGGTTTGCTGTTGACAAAGTCAGCATGGTCAGAGTCATCAGGGTCCAGCACTGGCAGCAGTTATTGTTGCAAAAAAATGCAACAGAGCATTTTAAGCAAAAGAGTAATTTTCTATCATTATACTCATTTTGAGGAATTTAAATGAGTGATACCAGAGAAAGAGTTGCAAGAAAAGAAAGACAGAGAGAGAAACTCTCCATCCCACTGAAGCTTCCAAAGTTTCACCATCAGACAGCAAAAGAACTTCGTTCCCCAGCATTTTTTGGGGGAATTCTTGAAAAAGATGTATAAAAAAACAAAAAAAAGAAGATGGGTGAAGAAGACAACATTGCCCACTCACGGTCATGGTTACCCCAGACACATTCCAGCATGCCCTTTTTCACTCATTCCATCTTAACTCCACCAGAAAAGACACTCATGGCCAACACATGGAGTGCAAGTAACCCATGGTGAGGGGCCAGCACGTGGATGATGCAGTACAGGCTGCAAGAGAGCTGGATGCAGTTTGGAGGACATCAAAGAAAAGTGCTAAAAACACAGTGGGTTTTGTTCACAGCAGCCCAGAACGACTTTTTCATCCCAAGCTCTTCCTCTTCTATTGTGCTGGCAGCCAAGCACTGAAAGATACTGCACTGGGAGATGCCTGGAATGGGTGAAGCAGGCATGCCATGCAAAATGTGGGGTCTGCAGGAGCTTGCAGCCCTCCCTGAGCCTGCGTCCATCCTCACCTAACCGCACCGTCTGGGGGAAGTGCAGCGCCTCGCTGGCCCCCGCTTTGCTCACGGCCGACACTCGGAATCGGTAGGGCTCCCCCGGGCTGAGGCCATCCACGGTGAGCTCCGTGTTTGGGATGAGCTCCCTGCTGCAGGACTGCCAGCCAACTCCTGGGATTTTCCTCTCCACCCTGTAGCCCAGGATGGGCTGGCCGCCGTCACCCAGTGGCCTGTGCCAGGACAGGGTGACCGAGTGGCTGCTCTGACTCAGGACCTCCAGCGCTTCGGGTGGCTCGGGGAGGGCTGGGGGCACAACAGAGGTGCTGTGATGTGTGATGTGAGCAGGGACACTCCGTCCTAAAACACCCAGGAGTGTAGGAGTGTGCCCCTTGTTGACAGAGTGACCAAACTATTCTTTGTCCCCTCAAAAAGGAAATAAGCCCAGAAGTTTCTCTCCTTGATTAGGTGAAAAAGGTATCTCATAGGCTTGGGGAACTTCACCTCAAACTTAAGGATAGCAAATTGGACAGAAGACAAAAAGTCCCGCCTGAGCAATTTACTAGAAAAAGAAGAGAACAAAGAAACTAATGGCTTTTCTGAGGTGTTTTACCAGGAGCAAGAACCTTTTGCACCTGGATTGGTTTTTCTCTGTAAAGAGTTTGTTATTTTGCCTTTTATTAAAACCTTTTTGTTTCCAACACTGCAACAGAAGCCATCCTGCTGATCTTATGCCTTCTAAGGCAGCTGAGCTACTATCTAGGGTGTGAAATAGACCTCCAAGAGCTTAAGAGACCTGGCTTGAGGAGGCTCCTAATTCGCAAGAGCCTTCTGCAAGCTGTGAAGACAGAAGCGCAATTGTCACAGAAATCTTTTATGAAAAATCCTTTCCTTAGGATTTTTTCTGATGAAAAGCTGGAAAGCATCAAGAACAAAATGTAAACAATGGTTATCTGCTGCTGTAGAATGCAACAAATAGATCTGTGATTGGTCTCATGTGGTTGTTTCTAATTAATGGCCAATCACAGTCAGCTCGCTCAGACTCTCAGTCCAAGCCACAAACCTTTGTTATCATTCTTTCCTATTCTATTCTTAGCCAGCCTTCTGATGAAGTCCTTTCTTCTATTCTTTTAGTATAGTTTAAATATAATATATATAATAAAATAATAAATCAAGCCTTCTAAAACATAGAGTCAAATCCTCATCTCTTCCCTCATCCTAAGAACCCTGTGAACACAGTCACACTCAATGGACTGAGTATTCTCCTTGTTGTAAAGTTGAGTGTAAAGTCACCATAAAGTCTCAACCATGAGCACCTGTGCACCACTGATTCATCCTTGTCTGATCTGATTTATGCTGTCAAGGCTAAATATTCATTTTCCAACTCTCATCTCAAATAATTAACCTCTTGTGTATATATAATTAACCTCTTTGTACCACCCAGCTTAGAATAAAGATAACCCTACACAGTCCATATTAGCAAGGAATTTAACTGAAAATTTCAAGCACATTTGAGCCTTGATTGTGTTTATTTTAGGTCTGACCTTAATTGAAATCAAGTTATTATGGGAATAAAGAATAACTCAAATATTTTAATAACGAGTCACTCCACTTCTGTGTGATTGCAGTGTTGCAATGTCACAGCATTGGGAAATAACAGATAAATATGTGTTGGGAATGATCTGGTGTCCTGCTCCATGATCATAGAACAGTTTGGGTTGGGACCTTGAAGATCGTCTAATCCCAATCCTTACACTCAGTACACTGGAAAATGTTCCTTGCTTACATTACACTTTGGCCTAAAAGACAGAAAAAATTCTTTCAGTCTTAAGTTCAAGATATTTACGATGTAAATGACCTGCCATGATATGCCAATCCAAAGAATTAAAGGCAAATATGGTCAACAGCCGGTTCTTTTACTGTGGACACCACAAGAACAACGTAAAACCTTTTCTCTGTTGTCAGCCAAACTTCATAGAAAAAAATCCGTCAACAGGAAGAGTATTGTATTTTTATTTTGAAGTTCATTAAATGTAAGTACCCAAAATAAGAAAAAGCTGATTTAAATCAATCAATTTTTTTTTTAAATTGTGGCGGAAATGACTGGATGGAATGTGTAACAGAGATCCTTAAGTCTCAGAAATCATTAGACAGAGATTGCCTGTAGCCATTTAAAGTATAGATGGTCCATCAGTGACTCTTTAACATCTCAGCTACAGCTAAAATACATTTAACTATCTCATAACCATCCCTGGGATGGTGCTGTGTGACCACTGCTGGGTGACCCACTGGTCCCACTGTGGGAAGGAGCCAGATCCTGGATGCTGAATGGACACTGATGGCATCATCCAGCCTGCTCCATGAGGGAATTAGGGAATTATCATCTTCCCTACTTAACTATTCACTCTGTCTCTCTGGAGCAGGCGGTGTGTGCTTTGTGGGTGTCCCCCTCTTTAGGGTTTTAATATGCTACTCCTTAATCTGGAAATCTGTTTGCCCTGCACCCTGATTAGTAGATTTCAAAGATTCCTCTGTATGAGAGAGTATACCTCTCACATACTATAAATTATTCCTTCCGGGTAATTTTTCCACGTGGACTCTACCGCAGCTCCCTCCCATGTCCACATTTGTCGAGTGAAGAATACTGATTTTTGTTAGAGTTTATGTTACATTTTACAAAAGACTGCAGCTAAAGAAAGTTGGGGAGCATCTCTACCATCACTAGCCTGACGTATTTTTCTTCTGATGAGGTGGATCTGGTCAAAGAACAAGTTGCCAGTAGTATCTTCTCAGCCTAAGAACACTGTTTTGGTACATGTGAGGCAAAGTGGAAAGGATCAGCACAAAGATTGGGAAATTCAAGGCTGTAGCTCAATACCAAAGTTAGAGATTTTGAGCGCCCCTGAGCTGAAACAACACACACTTACCAATGACAGAAAGCTTGGCTGATGAAATGGCCTCCCTGGAAGCAAAGGTCACCTCTCCAGAGTGATGCAGTTGGGCTTTTTTCAGGATAAGTTTGTATTTGTTTCCATCTGCTTGCACCTCCCAGTCCTCCCCAGCCTGGATCTCAGTGTCATTGCTGTACCAGGCCACTTCGTTCACTGGCACAGCTTCACTCAGGACACAGCTAAATGTTGCTTTTTCCCCCAGAGACACTTCCACATCCGTGAGGGGCTGCAGGAACTGCAGGCGCCACCCTGTAGGTTAAAATCAGTGATCAAGGCCTCAGTTACAGAAACAATCAGGAGATTTTGTGAATGTTTGTGCTGAAGCTCTGAACAGCCAGGCCTTGGAGAGCAAGGAGATCATTAGAAGGTTTATGTACATTGCCAGAACAGAAGGTTTGGAATCACAGAATGGTTTGGTTTGGACTTTAAAGCTCATCTTGTTTCATCCCCTGCCTTGGGGACACCTTCCACCAGACCAGGTTGCTCCAAACCCCTTCTAATCCATAAGGGGAAACTGATGTCTGCTTTTGTACTCTTATTTTCTTATACAGAAAGGGTTTCTTGTCCCCACTGGGGTCTCCTGAAATCGCATAAAGTAAAAGGACACAGAGATAATGTTGTTGCTGATAAAATCCTCCTCTCTGAAGCCTTGAAGTGTCTATAAACAGAACCAAACTCATCAGAGTCATGACAGCTCTGAGAAAATAATTTACTCCTCACTCAGTGCCAACTGGTCCTGCTTATAAACCATCTCACATCCTACAGAGCAAGAAAACAAGGAAATTGTAAAGCATCAGCCATTTAGGGGTGAGAGAATTGGATTTGTTTCAGATTTTTGTTTTTCAGGGAAAACAAAAGGCTTTGGGATGATCTAATTTGTACTTTCCAGAATAGGAAGGCGCCCAACAAGAAAGATGGAGAGGGACATTTTGCAAGAGCATGGAGTGACAGGACAAGGAGGAATGGATTCAGATGGACAGAAAATAGGTTTACATGAGATATTAGGAGGAAGTTCTTTGCTGTGAGGATGGGCAGGCCCTGGCACAGGGTGCTCAGAGAAGCTGTGGCTGCCCCTGGATCCCTGGAAGTGTCCAAGGCCAGGTTGGACAGGGCTGGGAGCAACCTGGGACAGTGGAAGGTGTCCCTGCTGGATGATCTTTAAGGTCCCCTCCAACCCAATCTATTCTATGATTCTGTGGGTTAGTGGTGAGCTTGATGATCCTAGAGGTCTTTCCCAACTGGAATGATTCTATTGTTATTTATTGTGCGGGAAGAACATTTAGGCAAGAGAAACAACAAATGCAACATTTCTTTTCCAGATTAATGAGTAGTAAAGAAATATTGAATTTGTTGTTTCTCTTACCTAAATGTTCTACTCATCATATTTCCCTGGTTTCTTTCCCCCTTTCCAAGCAGAAAATGAAGATTTCCCCTGCCCAAGCACCCGAGTCACCTTTCACTGTGAGGAAGGCTGAGGTCACCGCATCGCTGCACATGAAAGTCACCCTGCAGCTGTCCTGGGGAGTTAAATTCTTCAGCAGCAGGATGTGCCTGAGGCCGTTTTCAAAGTAAACCATCTCCGTGTTTTCTGTGGTCTTGGCAGGTTCATCGTCAATCAGCCAGTTGTAATTGTAGGTCTCAGGCTTGGAGAGGTAACACTCGAACAGGGCTTCCCCTCCTTCCACAGCCTCCACGTTCTCCAGGCCCTGGACAATGCTGTTCTTGGCTAGAAAAGAAGGAAAATTAACATTTTTAATTATTTGGCTCTATATCTCTGAATATTAGCAAGCCTGGGAGCGCTGGATGATTCCCACTGCTGCAAAGCTGATGGAAAATGTGGATGTGATAAACTGTGCTTGTAGGTTTAATTGTTGATGGCAACCCGTGCTCTAACAAAGTATTACAATAAAAAGATTTAAAGACAGTTTAAAAGTAATGATAAACCTCTAGAACCTTCAGCATTTCATCTAGAACATCTAGCATTTCATCCAGATTTCCTCCAAAAACCTGGTTTTTGATAAATAAAGAAAAAAATGGATGTATTTGTATGAATCGGGCCAATAGTCAATAGGAAGGCATAGCTCAGGAAGATAAAGTGCAATCAAATTCCTTTTGTCCTATGACAGTTTCCCAAAGATCTCCCAGACCTTATTATTTTTACTATCATCATGACTGGGGAGATGTGAATCCACTGACAGCTCATGATAAAATCTCATTACTTTCCTTACAAAGCAAATGTAAGAGAATATTATGGCTGGCAAAGCTATAGTGACGATTATCCAAGATAATTCTGCCTCTAGGAAACACACAAAGTCAAAACGTCTATCAAGATTACTTTGAATGGTAAATTTCTGAATTATTGCAAAAGCTCTGTGCCATTTAGGTTTATTTTCCCTTGCTCTGTGGTGAGTTGTGGGATCAGAAACAAAAAGCTCCACACTCCAGCCATGCATCAGTTGGCACCTGGACAGAAACAATCAACTCAAAGCCAAATTAAATGTGGGCTGGTGCATGTGAGTATAATTCATGCTGCTACCGGGACAAATGACATGCACAAGGGTTGAGTAAATACAGTTTTCACAAATGCCATTAAATGGTCAGCATGATTTGTGTTAGAAACCAAGACCCCGAGACATCCCTGTTTAGATTGCTACAGATCATTTGGAACCACGCCCAGCAAAAGATTAAAAATTAGTAAAAATAAATAAAATGTTAAAAACATCCAAACTGAGACATTTATTTAATGGTAAAAACAAACAAACATACCCAAAAAGCACAAGCCACCAGATATTTATTAACTTATTACTAATTACAAGGGGCTCAGAGATGATGTGTGTGGACTCTCTATCCCTGGAGGTGTCCAAGGCCAGGGTGGATGGGGCTTGGAGCAATCTGGGACAGTGGAAGGTGTCCCTGCCATGGCAGGGGGTTTGGAACTAAATGACCTTCAAGGTCTTTTCCAACCCTTTTTTTTCTGGGCTTCTATAATACTAAAAATATTCTGAATTTTATAAGATTTATACTTATGGAGAACCATTAGGGGGTTGCAGACTATTCTTGGAGAATGTGAAATTTTTGTTAGAACAACCCAAATTGTTTATCTGTGTACTTTGGAAGCACTGGTTTCCATAATTATGGAAAGCAGCAAATTGCTAACCCTACCTCCTCTGGGATACTTTTAGATTATGTTCATTTAAATCTTTTTAAATCCCTACAATGGAAAGTGCTAATCAATGTAGAAAACATTATAATAAATAACACCCTGTAGTTCTGCACTAACAACCAACTGCAGTTAAGCAAGAAGGCAAAATAGCCACAAATATTCAGAAATCAGAACCTGCTGTTGCTGATCACTCCAACTCACTTGGTAACCAAACCCAGGAATTCCATATGGAACAGAAAAAAAAATCCATGAAAAATCCTAAGTTTTTGTTAATTTTGTATATATTGTTCCTCAGGGTCTCCAGAAATATGAGTGCTGAGTGAGGAGGCAACTCCTGAGGGAACACTGTTTGAAATGGGTAAATTACCTATTTAATTTAGGTAAATTACCTATTTAATGAACTAGGTAAATTGCCTATTTAAATTACCTAAAGCTCCTTTGCCCAGCAAAATAAAATGGAATTCCATGCTATCCATTAGTTACTGGTTTTATGTAAAAAGTGCTCTTTAACAGGAAAACAATATTTGTATTATTCATTTAGATCAACAATACATCTGTGATTTTACAATTCAGCAGGACACATCCCATCCCAGCTCACTGCAGAACAGGTGGGCTGGCTAAGTGGCATAATGAGTGAGTGTTAATTAGAAATCAGATAATCCTGCAGTATAACATTCAATTCCCATTACCCCCAACTGTTTTTATCCTCATTTCCAGTACTGGAGCAAACACCAAGAGCAGGTATCTGACGTGTCCCTTATTGCAAAAGCCTTGCCATGATTTTTCTACCTCGTTTATTTGGAACCCATGGTAGTCTTCCTCTCTGGCTGGAAGACCTCACCTTGAACATCAAGTGTGGCCATCACTTTAATGCCTTCAGCTTCACAAGAATAGATGCCAGTGTCTTCTGGGACCGTGGGGTTAATTTTTAGCATGCTCACATTCCAGTCCTGATCGACAATCACTCGCTGCCCATCTGCATGTATTTCCTGATCATTTTTCTTCCAGATGGCGTGCACTGGCCTAGAATATTGGCATATGAACTCTGCTGGGCCTTCTTCATCAACAGTTATGTCCTGCATGGGACTGACCACTTCAATGGTGGGATCTGTTAACCAACACGTCAGGAAGGACATGCATTAGTGGATCCCCGTGGAAATCATCCCTGGGAGGGTTTTTTGCCAAGCACAGAGCCCGTGGGGAGCGAGCAGAGTGGCAGTGCAAGCAGGGGGATTAGCAGTTTAGTGTGTGCCCGTGGCAGCATCAAGCAGGATGGAAGCCAGGCTGGTGCATTAGAACGTGACCATGACACTGGGAAATGGGCCACCAGGAATTGAGGCTTGTGCTGGAACAGTCCTGAGCTTGGACTGCTTCTCTAGTTTTGTGCTTCTCCAATTTTGTGTTTCTCCCAGTGTTTCTGAGATCTTCCAGGCTGGGAAGCACTGGGTGGGAAACACTTCTGCTTCCCGAATGTGGAGCAGGAGTGTGATGAAGAGGACTGCAGAGTGAGTGGTTCCCTGCAACTCTCAACCTCACAGAGCAATAGGAAAACACCACAAACCCTACTGGAAGCTCCTTGTGTGACTAAAATAAAACTACTCATCAGAAAGAAACACAAATGCAGATACTCATTCCTGTCCTGGGGTGGTCTTGGCTGTCTTAGCAAATATCCAGGACAACTGTGACAAAAAAAGGGCACTCCACAGGAGCAGATGAATATTGTTTTGATTATTTGTGTGTTTCCCTGCAGCAGACACATTATTTGGAGAAAACTAATAAGATTTCCTTTACAGTGTTTCATCTAGAGATCATAAACCACTGACATATCAGACCGAGAGCCCATAAAATGCTGAGAGCAGCTGGATATGCAGCTCCTCTGAAGGTGTTGAGATCCATAAAAGTTGCTTTTAAGCACTTTTAAAACCCAAGTTCTGCCTCTTGTGAGGCAGCTGCAAGGCACAGTAGATATATCTGACCTAAAATACTGTGAGCTCCCAAAGCAGCCAAGCGTCCCTCCTGAGATGTCAGACTGGATCATCCATCTACAATGCAATATGCAGGTCAAAAGGAAAAATCTCAATGCAATCTGAAAATGGAAGCCTGTCTGAAACATCATTCTTAGCAGAATTATGTCAGCTTAAAATAAAAATATATGATAGGGCTGCAAAGGGACATAAAAAGATGAGAGTCAGAGAAAGGCTGAGATATCAGGAGCTGTGATGATCCTTGAGGAACCCTTCCAGCTCAGGACATTCTGTGATGTCCTTATTCTTCAAATAGTTGCTCTGCTCACAAGCCAGCTGGGATAACCCAACAGGATCTCTGTCTGGAACGCTCCTCTTGGAACTGCTGCAGCAGGCTGAGGCTTTGGGGTGCTCCAGGCAGACCTTGGGGAGCAAAAAGAGCTTTGCAAACATCGTTTGGAAACTTGCCGCAGAGCTTGATCCCACTCAGGCCTCTGTGGAAGATCTTGGAGATGTTTGGTGACTGAAGAAACAAGCAGGTGTCTGTGCAGCTGGGGAGAACAACCTCAGCCCCTTCCACAAGATGTGGAAATGTCAAATATCACCTGTGGTACTGGAGAAGGTCCTGGTTCCACTGTCCCCTCGCTGTTGGCTGTTATTGTCATATTTTATGAAAAATTCCTTTGCCAATATTTTTTTCCTGAGAAGCCTCAGAAACAAAATGTAAATAATAATTATCTGATTGCTTAAAAAGTGATTTAGAAGTTGCTTACCAACAGGTGCATCTTTGATTCCATGTGAATCGTTTTTAATTAATGACCAATCCAAATCCAGCTGTGTCAGGACTCTGGTCAGTCACGATTTTTTTATTATTCTTTCCTTTCTAGCCTCTGATGTCTCCTTTCTCTTTCTTTAGTGTAGTTTTAGCACAGTATTCTTTTAATATAATATATATCATAATATAACAAATCAACCTTCTGAAAACTTGGAGTCAATTCTCATCTCTCACATCATCCTGGAGACCCTCGACAATTAATAACCACAGTTATTAATTATAAATAACCACAGTTGGCCAGGGCAAGGACTTTGGTGGCCCCGTTCACCTCTTTGGGGCTGAGGAGCCAACGTGTGCCCTGGAACCTGCAATTCTCACCTGCCCAGAGGAGCTAAAAACCAGCAGCAGCTCCTTCACCCTTCTCCATCCTGCCCCCATCACCTGTGAACCATCACTCCAGGTCATGGAATTAATGCAGTTGGAGGGCAGTGATGTTGTGGAGGCCCAGCATGGAAAGCTGAGATCTCACTTGTTGCAGAAAAAATCAAATTACCAGCGTTAATTGTTGGTAATTAAAATGTTGCAGAATAAATCAAATTAGCCACGTTTACTCCTTAAACCAGGAGAGTGAGGCACATGGAACAAAGTCAGCTCGCTCCTTGATGAAGAGCAAGCCATGAATGGCTTGATAGACTGAAATATATTTCAAACAAAGATTTGTGCTTAAATTTCTGGACAAAATAAAGTGTAAAAATTGTCAATACAAGGATGGTTGGAATTTTAAAAGTGTTTCACTTTTCTATGAAATCAAGTGTTACTGAGCACAGGGTAACTCGAATTATCCCAACCCAGTTATAAAATAGTGCTAGTGTGATTCAGGTTTGCAATTCAGGAATCTTGGCTTCAAGGAAGCACAAAATATCCACATACATGGGAGTACCTGCAAGAGCTGTGGGGTTGGACTGGATGATCTCCACACATTTCTTCCAAAATCATTGATGCTGTGATTCCATGAAATTGAAATATCTCAGGAGCCTGTTCATTCACTGAGCAGAATAGCAAACAATGTATTTATTTTTAATTTATGTTTTAGGCCCACTGGATTTTTTTTTGCCCGGAGATCTCAGAACCAGGTTCTGTCTCTGAAAATGGATGCAAACTGGCACAAGACTTGTGGGGTCTGCCCCCTGTGTTGTCACTGCATCATTCCATAGCATGAAGAAGTGATTTCACATTTTATCTTTGCAGAGAACCAAATTTCCTGAATGCACAAGGGACACATGATGCAGAGAAGGAGACATCAACCACTGACTACAATTCCATATTGTGGATCATTCCTGTAATGGCCCAGTTATAGCACAGGAGTAGATTTGCATAAAGATATTTTTACCCTTTATATATCCATTTTCCAAGCAGGGAAAAAGCCTTAACTTTGCCTGAAAAACAACAGATCTTCCCCACAGCTATAAAAGGACTGAGTGGGAAGGAGCTTGCTTTATCAAGTCTGGAGCTCAGTGTTATTTGCAGCTTTTGGCTACCCTTACCAAATAGGAAAAAATATTTATTCAACAGACCAGAAGGCTTTGCCAGTGCAGGGATGAGCTTTCAGAAACAAGGCACATTTTGTCTCTGTGTTACTGGAATGCCACACACCCATTGGATTCCAGGAACAGCCCAAAATCCTGTCCTGCGAACATGCTGAGCTCAGCATCAGTAGCCCAGCTGTGGAGCAGCACAGTGGGAAATTTGGGAATTACCATCCCCGCAAGATTTTGTGGTATTTTGGAAAAAAAAGCTGAAGTGGGGATACAAAGTCAGGCGCTACCACAGATGTTTATGTTTATGTCTTCTTTGTCAGGTGAAAGCAGCAGCCTTGATCCTGCAACCCTCCCTCACCTATAAAATCCAAAACACCAGAGGGTGAGGGGGGGAAAAAATTTAAAAAATCAGTGTAGCTGTAGCCAGAAAAATTCTGGGGTGAGAGTGGGTGACTTACAGACTGGGAGGGTTGCAGGGCACGTGAAGGATTTAGTAAGGGTAGCCTGGAAGGCAGAAGCACCAGCACATGGAGCAAGTCCAGAGGTGGCCACGTGTTTCTTGCTCACGGGGCGATACCTTTGACCAATAATTTAGCTGTGGATATAAGGGAGCCAGCTCTGAAGGTGACAGTGCCCGAGTCGTGGCACGCCACGTCGTTTAGGGTCAGGGTGTGGATCCTGCCGTCCCGCTGGGAGATCTCAGTGACCAGGTTGTTGTGCAGGGGGGTCCCGTCCAGCCACCACTGCACGCTCCTCACGCCCGGCGGCGAGAGCTCGCACGTGAACGTGGCTGACTCGCCCACAAAGACGTCTGTGCTCCTCAGACCAGACACTATCACTGCTGCTTCTTCTGCGCGACAGAGCAAGAGAGGGTGCCAAAGGGAAAACAGAAACAAATACACGCGGCTCGCTCCCTAACTCGCTTCCTTGCAGAGCTAACCCAAGCCCAAGCGCAACTCTGGCAGAGTTAAACTTGTAGGGTTTTTCCAAGGAAAAAAGGAACTAAAATTGTCTTGAAGAGGGTTAGAAACCACTTTCTATACATCCAGCTGCTTCTAGGAGAGTTAAACTTGTAGGGCTTTTCCAAGGGAAAAAAAAAGAACTAAAATTGTCTTCAAGAGCGTTACAAACCACCTCCCGTCCATCCAGCTGCTTGTAGGAGAGTTAAACTTGTAGGGCTTTTCGAAGGGGAAAATAAAGAACTAAAATTGTCTTCAAGAGCGTTACAAACCACCTTGCATCCCTCCAGCTGCTTGTAGGAGAGTTAAACTTGTAGGGGACTTAAACTTGTAGGGCTTTTCCAAGGGAAAAAAAAGAACTAAAATTGTCTTGAAGACAAGAAAACAAAAACAAACGCGCACGGCTCACTCCCTGCAGAGCTAACCCAAACCCAAGCGCAGCTCCAGGAGAGTTAAACTTGTAGGGCTTTTACAAGGGGAAAAAAAGGACTAAAATTGTCTTGAAGAGGGTTAGAAACCACCTTCTATACATCCAGCTGCTTGTAGGAGAGTTAAACTTGTAGGGCTTTTCCAAGGGAAAAAAAGAACTAAAATTGTCTTGAAGACAAGAAAACAAAAACAAAGGTGCATGAGCACCTCCCGGCAGAGCTAACCCAAGCCCAAGCGCAGCTCTGGCAGAGTTAAACTTGTAGGGTTTTTCCAAGGAAAAAAGGAACTAAAATTGTCTTGAAGAGGGTTAGAAACCATCTTCCATCCCTCCAGCTGCTTGTAGGAGAGTTAAACTTGTAGGGCTTTTCCAAGGGAAAAAAATAACTAAAATTGTCTTGAAGACTGTTAGAAACCACCTTCCGTCCCCCTCCAGCTACTTGTAGGAGATTTAAACTTGTAGGGTTTTTCCAAGGAAATGAAGGAACTAAAATTGTCTTGAAGAGGGTTAGAAACCACCTTCCATCCCTCCAGGTACTTGTAGGAGCAGTGTGTGTGTCTGCAAACATCATTTCACTGGGAGGAAACGAGGAAACTCCACTCCTTGCCCTGGCTCTCCTGTGTGTTGCAACCATCTGAAGAAATTGTATGAGGCAGGGAGGTACGGAAAGATTTAAATGTTCTCTTGGGTGCTTTAAAGGAGTAATAAGATTATCAACAATGACAGAAGCTGCAATCAGTTGTAATAAGAATTTCAGTATTTTTACAACCACTGCTCCAAGTTTTTCAGCAGTACCACCATCTGTTCTGAGACACAGTATGGTCAGTACTTTAAACTAGCTTAACTTAAAAAGATGGGTTCAACCTCAGCCTGGAGGTGAGTGTTTACATCTTTGCTGGAATCAGGAAAGAAATGAGTGGACTTCCTGTTGTTTGGCCAGTTACTGAAAAAGATTTTGGAGCAAGAAATCCAGACAGAAAACCAGAGCATTTCCACCACCTTACCTTGCACATACACAGACCCTGTGGTGATCTCGTATCCAGTGCTGCAGGTATAATCCCCACAGTCATCAGCTTCTACACCATGGATGATCAGCTCAGCCACGCTGCCCTTCAGCTTCAGCTCGTACTTGTCACTGGGCTGAATGACCACCCCTCCTTTCCTCCACTCAACGGGAGCATCAGGCTTGGAGATCTCACAGTGCAAAACTGCCGTTCCCCCTTCTTCAGCCTCTACGTTTTTCAGCTCTTTGTTAAACAGCACTGGCAGTACTGTGGTGGAGAAGCAACTGCATCAGTGACAGTGCTCAGAGGTGAGAAAACTGCTTGTGACTTCTGCAGCTGGGCTGCTCTTCTCTTCCTGGACCACAGGTTTGCCTGCTGGCCACTCGTGGAATCAGCTGCTGATGCTGCAAAGGTGTCCAGTGCTGCTCTGGGCCTCTAAAGCATTTCACATGGCCATACTCACCATTCTCAGTGGAAGCACACACAGCACAACACCACCAATCAACAACCCTTTAGGTTGGAAAAGACCTTAAGATCAAGTCCAGCCATTAACCCAGCACAGCCAAATCAGTGGAAGCACATAGAGCACAACATCACCAATCACAACACAGAGTCAGAACATTTAGGCTGGAAAAGACCTTTAAGATCAGTCCAGCCATTAACCCAGCACAGCCAAATCCACCACTAAACCACATCCCCAGCTGTCACATCTACACATCTCTTGAATATCTCCAGGGATGGTGACTCCACTGCTTCTCTGGGCAGTCTGTGACAATGCTTGGCCACCCTTCCAGTGAAGAATTATTTCTTAATACCAAATCTAAACCCACCCTGGTACAACTTGAGGCCATTTCCTCTCATCTTATTGCTTGTCACTTGTGAAGTAGACCAACCTTTACCTCACCACAACCTCCTGTTGGTACTTGCAGAGAGTGATAACATCTCCCTCAAGCCGCCTTTTCTTTAGGTTAAAAAACCCCAATTCCCTCAGCTGGTGCATGAGATTTTGGGTGTTTAACCTCTGAAACCACATGCTCTGAGCAGAAGGTTTTTATGGTGAATAAACTCACAATCTACAAGCATGATCTAATCCAAAAGACAGAATTCTTAGCACAGAATGAATAAAACTGTAAAATCACAAACCCATGGAGTTCTTAGTGCAAAATAAAACTGTAAAATCCAAACCCATAGAGTTCTTAGTACAAAATAAAACTGTAAAATCCAAACCAAAAGAATTCTTAATACAAAATGAATAAAGCTTTAAAATTCAAAAACACAGACACTAAGAAAGACAAAGAATTAGCATTCATGGGCTGCTCAGGCACCAAGACATACAATGGTTCAAAAACCCCAATTCCCTCAGCTGGCACATGAGATTTTGGGTGTTTAACCTCTGAAACCACATGCTCTGAGCAGGAGTTACTTATGGTGACTAAACCCACAATCTACAAGTGCGATCTAATCTAAAGGACATGGAATTCTTAGCACAAAATGAATAAAACTGTAAAATCCCAAACCCATTTAATCCAAAATGAATAAACTGTAAAATCCCAAACCCATTTAATACAAAATTAATAAAATTATAAAATCCAAAACCTCAGACACTAAGAAAGCCAAAGAGTCACAATTCATGGGCTGCTCAGGCAACAAGACATACAACAGTTAAAAAACCCCAATTCCCTCAGCTGCAACATGAGATTTTGGGTGTTTAACCTCTGAAACTACATGCTCTGAGGAGGTGTTTGTGACTAAACCCACAATCTACAAGCGTGATCTAATCTAAAGGGCACAGAATTAGCACAAAATGAACAAAACTGTAAGACAACCTACCTTTGACCTGCAGATAAGCCGTGGTCTGCTGATCCCCCGAGTCACAGGTGTACTCCCCAGCATCCTGAGCCTCGGCCTCGTAGATGAGGAGCTCAGCTCGCGTGCCCTCCTGGCGCATCTGGTACTTGTCCCCGGGCTGCAGCACCGTGTCCCCTTTGCGCCACTGCAGGCGTGCGTGGGGCCGCGTCAGCTCACAGCGCAGCGCGGCCGTGCGCCCTTCCTCCACCTCCTCGTTCCTCAGCCACTGCTGGAACAGCACGGGCATGCCTGGCCAGGGGGAAATAAAAAATAGGTGAGGCAAAAATGAATAGCAAAAAGAGGGGTGTGTTTTATTGTTAAGGTGTGGGTAAAGGGAGTTATGAAGTTCGTGGACAATTCCGGTTGGGTCTCCCCAAGGAGAGCGTCTAGGGTGCCAAACCTGATAGAGGAGGAGGAGGAGGAAAGGGAGTTAATCAGCTTAATAATAATAATAAATCAGAATAATCTATGTGAACTAAATTTCTCTCCTGATATCCCAGGCTTCTTTTCACAAAGAATTCAAAGTTCAGTAGTTATTACTGAAGGCCAGACAGCTTTTCATCCTTGAAATGAAAAATGGGTGAGGGAAAAATAGACAACAGAGGGGTGTTTTATTGTTAAGGTGTGGGTAGAGGGAGTTATGAAGTTCATGGATAATTCTGATTGTGTTTCCCTAAGGAGAACATCCAGGGTGCCAAACCTAGATAGAGGAGGAGGAGGAAAGGGAGTTAATCAGCTTAATAATAATTAATCAGAATGATCTGTCACTATAGGACATGAAACAGCACAAGCGCACATACCGCTGCTCTCAAGGTGAAAAAAAGGGAAGTTTATTTTCTGACTCCAACATTTATAGTTTTCCAAAAGTGACAGTGAATTGGAGGGTGACAGTGCCACCTCTCCAACGACACTGGACAAACCAACAGTCCATCAACTTTCTCCTCCTCCATAAAAGAACGCAGAACAATAAGTTATTTGCATAAAGTGCGTGAGAAAGTTCATTAAAAGAATGTAAACATCAGAAGGCTTAGAAAAACTTAAAAAATAAGGGTGACAATAATCTATGTGAGCTAAATTTCTCTCCCCATATCCCAGGCTTCTTTTCACAAAGAATTCAAAGTTCAGTAGTTATTACTGAAGGCAGACAGCTTTCCATCCTTGAAATAAAGTCGTAAAATGGGATAAAATCACTCAAAAAATTGTACAAATATAAAAAATAAAAATATTTTTAAATAGACAAAAATATAAAATATACATATGTGTATATATAGAATATATATTAATATACATTAGAATATATAGAACATATCAGAAAATTAGACTATATTGAATATAATAGAATATAGAATATGTAGAATAGTAGAATAATATACAAAATAAAATTATATATACAATATAAATATAATTAATATAGAGAATAATATATGTAGATTATATTAGAATATATACAGAATATATAAATCTGGGCTTACAATCCAAGGCTTCAGATATTGCAGCCAGAGAGCAATTACAGAATAATTAAGGAAGACCTCGGGAAGACCTCATGGATGGAGATTCCTCTACTCCTCTGGATCTCAGTTCTAAAGTCTGACCACCCTTCACATTAAAAGTCTAGCTTTTTCTAATCTGAATTTCTCTCACTGCAGCTTGCACTTGTTGCCTGTCATCTCTTTACTGAGTTTTCCAAGAAAGTGCTGTGCCTGCCTCTTCTGTAGATCTCCACTGGGAAGCTGCAGATAGCATCAAGGTCTCCCTTCCACTTTCTCCCCCCAGTTATCAAACAGAGCTGCCTTTGCCTCTGCTTACACTTAGATCACCAGAATGGTTTAAATTAGAAGGTACTTTCATCTTTTAACAAACCCTATTAATGTCAGGGACAACTTCCACTATCCGAGGATGCTCCAAACTCTGTCCAGCCTGGCCTTGGACACTTCCAGGGGTCCAGGGCAGCCTGTGCCAGGGCCTCACCATTCTCATTGTAAAAAAAAATAAATCTTTTTTTATACCTAATCTAAATCATCCCCCTTTAGGTTTAAAACCATCGCCCCTTGTCCTATCACAACTGGGTTTGTCCATGTCCTTCACGTGCTCCAGCCCTCTGACAAACCTGGTGGATTCAGCTGCACTTGCTCCACTGATCAGTGCCTCTCTTGAAGCAGAGAGCTCTAAAAATCAATCTTCCCTCCTCTCAGCAGTGCTGGGCACAGAGGAACCCTACCTTTGACCTCCAGCCTGGCCGTGGTCTTGCCAGCAGCCGTGTGGCAGCTGTACTCCCCGGAGTCGGCGCGGTTCAGGTCGCGGATGAGCAGCGTGTGCACCTTCCCCTCCTGCTGGATGCTGCACTTGTGGCTGGGCTGGATCACAGACGTGCCCTTCTTCCACTCCACGGGGACATCAGGCTGGGACAGCTCGCAGGACAGGTGGGCAGTGCCACCCTCCTGCAGCTCCAGGTTGTGCAGAGACTTCACAAAGGTGGCCGGGGCAGCTGTGGGGAGAGGGGACCAGCGCTGCTGCAGCATCCTCACCCAGCATCACCCCCAGGGCAGAGCTGGGGGTCTGTGGTTACATTTGGAACCAGGTTGAAGAGGAACAAGCAACACAAGGCATTGGAGCGGGCCATCATTCAAAAATCCTTCTATATATCTTAAAGGAAAGGTTTTTCAGAGCTTACAGCCTTTTTTTGTAAATATAATCTGAAAGCATCATAAGTAGGAGATTAGTCTGGAGTATATTCGTGACACTCTTCAGCATTGATTGTGACATGTGATCAGCTGCATAGTTGGATGGTCTTGAAAGGATGTTAATGTTATTTGTTATATTAAATAACATCAAAAGATGTTAATATTAATTGTTATATCAAATAACATCAAAGGATGTTAATCTTCACTCCACGTACAATAAAAACAACTGTAATGACTGGCTCAGATGTGCCTCTCTAAATTGCTAAATTAGATTAGCAGAATCTCCCAAAATTTCTAAGGCTCCCTAATCCCAAAGACGCCTCTCCAGAAGTCCAAGCAGTGCCTGCCAGTACCTGCTGAACCCCTCTTGCAGGGAGGCTGCTCACCTTCCACCTTCAGCTGCGCTGCCGACAAACGCTGCCCCACTTTGAAACTGACGGACCCACAGTCCTCCAGGGTCACCTTCCTCAAGGTCAAACTGTGACGTGTCCCTTGCACTCTGATCTCATTCATTTCGTTGGATTGCAGGGGAACATCCCCCAGGAACCACTGGGCATCCTGGGCTGCTTCCTGGGACAGCCTGCACTCGAACACCGCGTCTTCTCCTTCGTGCGTGGCCACATCCCTCAGCCCCTCCACGATGGTGGCTGCTGCTTCTTCATGGAAAGGGCAACAGAGTTTGAGATCTGCTTTCAAGGGATGCTTCCTGGGTTAAACATTTTGTTAGGCTCTTTCTTGACAGCACTGTGTTGTTGTTATTTGAGGCCCTAAATTATAAATCTGGGGGTGTTCAGCTTGGAAGAGAAGGATTATGAGGGCTTATAAAAAAAGAGGAAGACGGAGTTTTTATAGGAGTAGATAGTGATAGATAAAAGGAGAATGGTTTCAAACTGAAAGAGGACAGGGTTAGCTTAGATGTTAGAAAGAAATTGTTCTCTGTGAGAATGGTGAGGCCCTGGAACAGGTTGCCCAGAGAAGCTGTGGCTGCCCCTGGATCCCCGGAAGTGTCCAAGGCCAGGTTGGACTGGGCTTGGAGCACCCTGGGACAGTGGAAGGTTGGAACTAAATTATCTTGAAGATCCCTTCCAACCCAAACCATTCTGTGATTCTAAACTCATAAAAACACAGTCACATAGCAACATATTAAAATGCTAGAGATGTGTGATTCACATGTGTATTCAGATGTGTATTAAAAGCTTGCAAGTTATACTGTGTGTTGCGTGCACAATAAATATTTCATATGTGCATAATCATAACCTGTGCGCTGTGAAAAAATTGTCAAAAGATTGCCATGGGTGAAAATTAAATATCATTAAACCACAGAAGCAGTGACCAAGACCTATTTCTAGAGGTAACTGACACAGTTCTTAGCCCTGTGAAACCCCTCTCATCTCTGAGATCCTCGTTTCAGGACGAGGTTTAGCTGCCAAATTACTCAATGCTGTGCCCCTGCCGTGGTGCCAAGCTGTGCCCAGCCCTTCCCCAAGCAAAGCCCCACCTTTCAGCTGCACTGCTGCCGTGGTTTGCTGGTCCCCTGTGTCACAGGTGTAGTCCCCAGCATCAGCTTGGCTCAGGTTGTGGATGGTGAGCTCAGCCACGGCCCCGTCCTGGCGCATCCTGTACTTGTCACTGGCTCGCAGCACTGTGCCCCCCTTCTTCCACTGCACAGGGGTGCTGGGGTTGGACACCTCGCAGCTCAGGGTGACAGTGCCACCCTCCTCAGCTTGCTGGTTCTGGAGGGGTTGGGTGAAGGTGACTGGAGAAGCTGAATCAAGAAAAATCAGAGGGGGAAAAATTCAAAAAATTCATGTGTCGTTATTGACCGCGTAATTAAGCCTTGTGTTTGATGAAACTCTGGTGCCGTCCTAAGTTTGGTTCAAACTCAATTCCAAAGTTAGTTTGAAAGCAAATCAAAGAATGACAGAAGGTGCTGTGTGGGAAATGGATTTGTAGAAAGTTCTCAAAGCCTGACAGGAGGTCCACATAATATGTGCATCCATATGCAAACTTAGAGACAAGAAATGTTGACTTAGAAATGCCATGGAATAGGACAGATATTGCTGAGACAGATAAATGGAACCAGGAACAAGTTTCAAAGGATGGCCTTGCAAATTAGACTGGATACTTTGGAGAAATAGAACTATGAAAGATGCATTGTAGTAGGACCCACGAGGGGTAATTTTAGATAATTGGCTTTAAGGCATTTTCAGCATGGTGTGGCTAAAGCTGATGGGACAAGAAATGCTTATAATGTATTGTAATTAGGAAATAGTTGCCTTCTGATTGTGATGGTGTGAATTCTAACATCTGTATTGTCTCACCCTTCTCATGAATCTGAAAATGGAATAAAAGTTTTTAAAGTACCTCTCAGTTGCCCCAGCTCTGGGTCAGGAAAAGGGAATTGTCTCTAAGCACTCTGCACTCCTGAAGAGTCACTGAACACTGCATACAGTGCTCATACACTGAGCACCTCAAGGACTGTGCTCCTTCTTGCACAGGAATAGTCATGGATACAGAATTTTGACAATCTCAGTGCTTGTATCGCCAAATGGGTACCAAAACCAGACCTCAACAGCATACTCCTGGTATCCAGGTTCTTGTGGATTTTGGAGAGGGCATGGAGAACCTTTCTATAATAAACTTTCTATAATATTCCTTATTTGAAAATTGGAGCAGCAGAGAAAGGAACCCTGGCAGTCTCTGCGCTGATGGCATCACTGGTGGGTCGAGGTAGAATTTTGATGCGTGGATTTATGGAGTGCCACATGTAGAAGTTTAGCTCCTCAAGCCCAGTTACCTGGAAGAACCACAGAGACTCCACATTTATTGGTGTATATATATGATATATATGGATATGTATCATATAAATATATATAATTTTTTTTTCAGCCAGTTGGCTGAATTTCTATTTACAGTGTGACTGCACAGGCTTGCTCAGCTTTCGGGGTTTGGAATTTTTTTCAAGGAGTGCTGGAGTGGAGTGGCTGAGACCACACACAGAGACACGAATTAGACATCAGAGGACCTGCTTACAGCACCAATATTCTGGTATCCTTGAGCTGTGGAGTCAGTGTGACTGCAGGCAGGTGTATGGCCTTCATGGGAGAGCCCTCAGGGATATTTCAAAAGGTGGGATTTAACAATATCCTGGCTCATCTTTGTTTTTCCTGATTGTGTGTCTCAGAAAAAGTCACCTTGATATTGTATTTGTATCATATCAGACTTGAAAAAAACAGATTTATATTACATTATATCTATTTTAAAGACCTTTGTCACTAGAAGCATTTAGGCGCCTTGCTCATTAGCTGGAGTTGTGTCCAAGTTTGACCAAATTCACCTAGATCACCATTTTTCCAGGCAGAACTGCACCTCAAAGGATGATTAAGCATTAAAAATAGTCCTATCTTAATTTTAGCTCCAGCCGTGGTTGTCTGAGTGACCAGAGAGAGGCCACAGGGTCTCAAAGTGTGGAATTAATTCCCACACTTGGGTCCCTGCATTTTCTTTGCATAAGACACCACAGGACTTCTAAAAGCAAAAGCACTCAGCTGCTTTTGACAGCACATCTGAAATCAAGGACAGTAGAAAAAATCCTCTTGGCAGAGCCTAACTAAGGCAGTGGGGCAAGTTTCTTATCTTAAAAAACCCCCAACACAAGCCACTTTTAACAGTCAAAGTGGCTGTTGATTGTTCATTTCCATTATCACAGATGTATTTGCCAGAACCTTCTGGTTTTTAGCGATAAATCTTTAAAGTGTGGCCTGATTTATCAGTCCTCGTGGCTGATTTCATACTTGGAGCTTGGGGAGATCACCTGAGGGCCCTTTTCCCATGCCAGCTCAGCACTGGGCTGGGACAGCTGGCAGCAGAGGACAGCTGCGTCCTCCTCCTGCACTTCCCTGCTTTGCAGTTTCTCCTTCAAGACTGGAGGTGGCACTGAAATTACAAACAAAGCAAAGCAAAGGACTTGTTTGCTTTGCTTTGTTTGCTTTGCTTTGTTTTCCAGGCACCTTTGTCTCGGTGTTAAAGCTATACTGAATGGTTGAGTATTAAAAAAAATCCTCTGACTTCTGTGTTATTTACTGAGGAGTTAAAAGAAGCTTCTAAGAGGAAAGGAGAAGGATTTTAGATGGAGAATTTAATGAAAATAATGAAGAAAGAAAAGAAAAGAAAAGAAAAGAAAAGAAAAGAAAAGAAAAGAAAAGAGAAAAGAAAAGAAAAGAAAAGAAAAGAAAAGAAAAGAAAAGAAAAGAAAGAAAAAGAAAGAAAGAAAGAAAGAAAGAAAGAAAGAAAGAAAGAGAAAAAGAGAGAAAGAAAGAGAGAGAGAGAAAGAAAGAGAGAGAGAGAGAAAGAGAGAGAGAGAAAGAAAGAGAGAAAGAAAGAGAAGAGAAGAGAAGAGAAGAGAAGAGAAGAGAAGAGAAGAGAAGAGAAGAGAAGACGAGACCTAAGCAACCTGATCTGGTTGAAGATGTAGAAGGATTGGACCAAATGGTCCCTCCAAACCCAATTATTCTAGAGAGGGTGGTGGAAGCAATGAAAATTCCAGTTCTACCCACCCAAGAAGTGAAGCCAAGCTAGTAATTTCTCCAGGAATCATTGAGCTTTGGGAAGATGGTGAAATGTCCCCTGTTCATCCCTGGTGATCCCAGCCACAGATGCTTTGAAGCACAAGCACCCCCAAGACACGAGGGGCGAATTTTGGCCTTGAATCTGCTGCCAGCACAAGCAAAGCACCCCCTGTTCCCACTGGCCCTGCTGCACAGCACAGGGAGCCCTCACCTTTCACCCTGAGCTCTGCTGTGGACGTGTGGGGTCCCACGCGGAAGGTGACGGTGCCAATGTCCTGCTCTGTCACCTTCCTCAGGGTCAGGGTGTGCACCTTGCCCCTCTCCACCGAGATCTCGTTCATCTCGTTGTTCTGCAGAGCCACGTCCTGCAGCTTCCACTCGACGTCCCTGGCGTTCTCGTGGGACACCTGGCACCTGAAGGTGACATCGTCCCCTTCGGCCACCACCGCATCCTTGAGGCCGCTCACGATGGTCACGTCAGGCTCTGCAAGGAGGCAGAAATGAAAGGGAAAGCAAGGATCAAATCATGGAACCATCATTTGGGAGTCACCTGCTCCAAGCACTGCTCAAAGGTTGCTCAGCACCTTGTCCTTCAAGGGTGGGGACAGCCTCTGAGAGGCTGTTCCATGCTCTGCTTGAATAAATGTCCATTTGTGCATCATCTGGAACAGCACAGCCTCCCAAACCCCATTTCAAACTCTGCTTTCAGTGTACTTGGCAGCAGGTCAAATGACTTTTGTCATTTGTAGTGGCTTTACCACTTGTCCTTGCTAAGAGACATGCTGCATATTGGTTTTTTTAATTATGCTTGATTGGGTGAAGAGGGCATGAATGCTGGTGATAAAATCAGGATTTTGAAATTTGTTCCATTTACACTTCGACATCTTCACAGGATAACATTAAAGCCTGACCCTTGTGGAGAGCCTGGTTCAGGCATGGCTTAAAGAAAGAGGCCATGAAGGTATACAGCTGATGGGAAAATAAAAGGTAGCTGTAAGGCAGCATTTCCCAGGCTTGATTCTGTAAATAATTAGGTTGTCAAGCAATTTTATAAACAATAAGATTCTCAGACAGTCTTCCCATAACAGGCAAACATTCTGTCCTTGGGCTACTGGGAACAGATAGCTGCTCTGGGAACAGATATGAAAGTTTTGAGAACTTTTCATAACACGGTGAGAACACTGATCCTGTTTTCAATAAACAAACCACAGGTATTGTAAACAAAAGGAGGGGTTAGAGTTTTCTCTGTAGCCTATCGTGAGCTCGAATTTTGCGATATGCATGAAGTCAATTAACACTGTTATAAAAGGTGGCTGATTTGATCAATAAATTGGAGTCGATGCTGATCAACAAAGATGGGTTGGCTCCCTTCGCTTTCAACAGACCCTCTCTATGGTATTTCTGTGAACAGATTTGCATTTACTCCACGCTGATGCCCCAAACTGGCTGAGGCCCTGGCTGGCCTTGTCCTCCCAGCAGGACTCACTGGGTTGGTGTGAGCAGAGGGCTTCTGCACTGCAGTTTCCCTGAGTCCTTCTTCCAGGACACCTGTGCAAGGATCATACAGACAACCCCCAGCAGGCAGAAGCTGATTAAATAATATATAAATACTCCCAGATATAAATATATACCCCCAAACCCACTGGGGAATACCAAAGGAATCATAAAATGACTAAGGTTGGAAAAGACCTCTAAAATCATTGAGTCAAACCATTCAAAAATCAGCCCAATCTCCCTCTGAGCAAGCACAGTGGATATTCCTACAACTGAGGTCACCATCTGCACGAGAAATGGTGCAGCTGGGTGTGATGTGCAGGGGATCTACAACGTGGAGTAGCCCGTGGAGATGCTGGGGGTGTTTGTTCCACGCCAGTGGTCCAACCTGAGCTCTACAATGATATTAAAGCCAGATGCAGCTGCCACGTGAGTGGAAGCTGGGGCTGGACCATCTGTTCAGTCCCATGCACATGATGTCAAGCAAATATTCCAAGCCATGAGTCACAGATTACAGCTGACTTATCCTCTCCTGTCCACCAAGTCAATCTTTGCTTTGGTGTATCCATTGACCATAAGATTTTTTAATATTTAATTTAAATTTTTAATCTAATTTTAATATATTTTTATTAAATTAGATTATTTTAAATTTTTATTAATTTAATTTTAATTTTTAATTTATTTTTTATATTTTTTAATTATACCTTTCCTATCCTATGCTCCATGTTGATCACAATTGTGGCATTCGCATTCTCTGAAAAAATCCCTTCACCCAGGATTTTTCTCCTGGGAAGCTGAGAAAAAGGAAAACAATAACTATCTGATTTGCTTCTCCTCTGTTTTGCTCATGTGGAATGTGTTTGGAGATTATTTACTCAAAGGTGATTGTCTGACTGGATTCTGGTGAGTTGTTTTGACTCTTTGGCCAATTGGTGCCAAGCTGTGTCGGAGCTCTGAAAAGAGTCACAAATTTTCACTATTATCTTTTCAACATTCAGTAAATATCCTTCCTGTATTCTTTAGTATAGTATAGTATTCTTTAATAGAATATAGTATCATAAAATAATAAATTAGCCTTCTGAGAACATGGAGTCAGTTTCATCATTCCTGCCTTCGTCAGGACATTCCCTGCAAATACAACACACAATAACTCATTTCATGTGTGTGTATATAACTCAATCACATTGGGAAATCTCAGAAATCTCCCTGTTCCAATAAACAGGCCTTGCCTTTCACAGTGAGCTTGGCAGAGCTCGTCTGGTCTCCAGCCTTGCAGGAATATTCCCCAGCATCCCCAGGCTGCAGGTGGTGAACACGGAGCTCCCGGAGGGTCCCCTCCTGCCACATTTCGTGCTTGGAGCTGGGGTGCAGCAGGACTCCATCCTTCCTCCACTCCACTTCTGCTTTGCTGATGGAAACCTCGCAGCGCAGCCTGGCTGTTCCTCCCACTTCCACCTCCTCGTTCCTCAGCTGCTGCTTCAGCTGGGGTTTGATGGCTGTGAAATGAGAAATAAATAATGCATCAGCTCTCTGCTTGAACGCCTGGTCTGCACAAATCAGCACAAGGCACCCAGGCTCTGGTGCTGCAATACAATTTTGCATTAAGTGGTGATATAATAATAAACCCATTTTTTCCCCCTATATTGTGTATATCCAGAGAATCAGAAAGTTCCCCAAATATTTTTATATCCCATAAAGTCCAGGGCATCCACATGACACCTTTCATGCATCTGTTCAGCATATTGGAAACTCCAACACACAAAGGTTTTGACTAAGCAAAACCTGGCACTTTCTGTTTAAACCAATGTAAATCTTTTTACTTTTACAGAAATACTCCTTATTTTCAACAGCTAAATAATGTAAAGCTTTAAAATAATTTCTGATTTCTCAGCTGTCTTTTTAAGACCTGGATCGTCATCACTGAGTCCTTCCAGATGATGCACAAATGGACATTTATTGAAGTAGATCATGGAACAGCTCAGAAAACAGCTTGCCACTGATGGAAGCAAGGAGGGGATATCCATGGGGTATGTGTGAGCAGTTGGAAAAAGAGGAATCTCAGTGCCTGTGGTTCCAGTAAAAACACTACTGTGAGACAGGTAAAGCAATCACTGGGTTCTTTCACCCATAGTTGACCCTGTGACTGCTTTTTGAGTCAGAATCAGCAAAAATATGTTGTTTGAAAGGTTATGGCTAAGATCAAAGTCACAAATTCCACCCAACTTTGAGACAAACACAAACATTTCCTAGATGGTGCTGGCATGGCCCGTCTGAGCAGGAAGGTTGGACCTGTGACCCGTTCTGTGATCAATCACAGACATTATTCCTAGTCAGGTTAAACCCAGCATTCTCAGGATCTTCACAGGGAGATAAAAATAGCAACCTCAAAATGCTTTTTTTAAATGATGTGTGATTTTCCTATTGATTCAAGTGAACCAGCAAAACTGCAAAGTGCCAAAAGAAGTTTTGTTACTATTTCAAAATCCCCATGACGCAGAATTCCTTGCTCTTATCAGAGGAAGGGGTCAGTGCACTGTACTCTTTACAGCCTCGAACAGGAACCCTGTCCCAACAGAACCACTTCTTTCTACTCTGCTTTCTGACTGGGCAGCTCTTTTCCTCCTCATCTTAACTTTTGGGTTAAATAACACCTTTCACACAATTCCACCAACGCCTCTTCTCCTCCAGCCCGGGTGGGTGCAATGCTAACCATTCACTCTGAGGACTGCAGTGCTCTGCTGGTCTCCTGTGTCACAGGTGTAATCAGAGGCATCCTCTGGCTCTACATTATGGATCACAAGCTCAGCTGTGCGCCCACTTAATTTAATTTGGTATTTGGCACATGGGAAGAGCTCCATGGTGCCTTTCCTCCACTCCACGGCCGCGTTATCCTTTGTCAGCTCACACTGGAATTTCACTGCGGCTCCTTCTTCTGCCTCCTCGTCTTTGAGCTGCTTTTGGAAAAGAACTGGCAGAGCTAAAAGAGAAAAGAAAAGGATCAACAGGATCTTTTAGTGAAGCCTGGTTAGCACAGACTGACTCTTGGAGAACAAGATGCTTTTCACTGTGATATTCCTAGGTAGGATCCATGGTTTTCTAATTTTCCTGGCACAACTAGGAGATCTTGCTGCATCAGAAGAAGCCATCTGCACCCATAACGTTTATTTCCTTTGTTCCTTCACTCAGATCCTTCCCAGTGGTGAATTCATTGAAGGATTTTATCCCTGAGTTGATCTAACAATGATCTCATCAGCAAAGAACTTCAAAACTCCGTGGACAGTCTTGAGAGGTCAGGGATGTCATTGTCTCTCTTCTTCCAGTATTTGAAAGAAAATATTCTTTTTAAATATTCAAACAACATGTCCAGATGTTATGTTAAATCATTGCTCTTTCTTTAATTTCTCCTCAGGCACAAAGCTTGAAAGTATTTCCTATTAGAGCCTAAAACTCAAACACAGCACTGGAAGAACAAAGCATCATCCTCTTCCATTCTTATTAAAAATGAAAAAATCCTAATATATCAGATGAGAAAGAAAATATTCACAGAGAATAAGAATAATGCACTTAAAAATACTGATATTGAAATTATTTTTTGCCTGTTGGAGGAACCTATTCCATGAGGAGTCAGCTCACACCACGTACCTTTCACGTTCAGAGCTGCCCTGGTTTCCTGCTCCCCCGTGTCACAGCTGTATTCTCCTGTGTCTTCCAGTCTGAGGTTGTGTATCAAGAGCTCTACCAGGCATCCCCTCTGCCTCATTTCATATTTCTGGCTGGGCTGCAGCCCCACGCCTCCTTTCCTCCATTCCACTGCAGCGCTGGCTTTCGACAGCTCACAGCAGAACGTGGCTGTGCTTCCTTCCTCAAACTCCTTATTTTGTAAAGGTTGCTTAAACGTGATGGGCAGTGCTGGAAAATTTGAGAGGAAAATGTTTCAAGAGTGTTTTAGTGCAAGAAGAATCCAGTCCTCCCATTATCCTTCAGGTGTGGTTTATTCTAATGATTCCATAATCCTGGGGATTACGCAACTCTCTGTCTTGGCAGAATCTTTCTTGAACCACACTAAAGGAACCAAGAGGTGAGGACAGGCAAAGTTAGGAAAGATCTGGTCTTAGTGGTAACCAGAACGGCCTGGCTTGGGATCTGAAGGAGTCAGACTTCCCTATGGAAGAGTTTCCATGCCAGGTATGGATGCTTTAGGCAAAGATCACTGGGAATGGCCTCTTACACAGATCCCTGTCCCTTAATAGTAGTCTGTGAGTTTGCAATATTAAACTGAGAATTTCTGCTCCAAATAAAGCTTCTATCAATGTACAAAAGATCAAGTTAGTATTGATCTCTTGGTAAGAGATCACAGTGAAGAGATAAATGGGAGGGGAAATCCAGATCTCAGTTAAGGATGGTACAAGGAGTGAAGGAACACAGGTGTGGATTCAAGTTGTCTGCAGTCAGCATTTCCACCTGAAGTTTAAAGCAAAGTAACAATGCAGCACACTAGAAATCTCTTATCCCTTAATTGGTGCATCTCTTACCATCCCAAGCAGGATTACATCCAGTTAGGCATCCCTTACCCCATTCCCATATCCAGCCACACCTTGCACTCAGGGCAGGACGGTTCAGTGTATTTTTATATTATGGCAACCTTCAAAGCCAGGTTGATTGGACCTCTGAAAAACCTGGTCTGGTAGAAGGTGTCCCTGCCCATGGCAGAGGGATGGAAATGGATGATCTTTAAGGTCCCTTCCAACCCAAACTATTCAATTGCTTTAATTGCCAATAATCACTCCAGATACCACAAGAAGAACCTTTCTACTTTGCTGTGTGCCATGCCCCTGATGAACATTTATTCTAGTGTGGACCAGCAACAAAACAAATCAAAGGAACACCAGAGAACAGAGAACACCAGGAAAAGCTCCTTTCACTGCACTCCTCCTGAGGCAAGGGTCACCAGTGCCTACCATGCACGGCCAACACAGCTGTTGTCTGCTGGTGTCCGGAGTCGCAGGTGTAAATTCCTGAATCTTCCACTTCCAGGTCATGAATGACCAATTCAGCAGCACAGCCCCGCTGCCTCAGCTCGTATTTCAGACCAGGGTAGAGAGTGACATCCCCTTTCCTCCACTCCACTGGAGCCTTGGGTTTGGTGAGCTCACACCTCAGGGTCACTGTGCCACCTTCTTCTGCCTCAGTGTCCTGGAGCTCTTGTTTAAAAAGGGCTGGTAGGGCTATAAAATAGAAATATGACTTGGACCTGCTGCAGATGGGGCTTGGGAAAAAGGATGTAGAGGGAAAATGAAAGCACCAAAAGAGGTGGGCTTTTTTCCAGATGTCTCTAAACCTCAATGCTCTAATTCAAACTATGAAGCTAGTTGCCCTAAGAAGTAATAGGAATATGTGCAGAGCAAGAATGTGGCATTCACATTTTCTGGAAAAATCTCTTTCTCCAGGATTTTCTCCTGGGAAGCTTAGAAACCTGAGATAAAGGAAAACAATTCTTATCTTATTTGCTTCTCCTGTGTTTTGCTCATGTGGAATGTGTTTGGAGATTGTTTACCCACAGGTGATTGTTTCATTGGATTCTGCTGTGAATTATTTGACTCATGGGTCAATTATGGCCAAGCTGTGTCAAGACTCTGGAAGAAGTCAGGAGTTTTCATTATTATCTTTTTAGCATTCAGTAAGTATCCTGTGTTCTTTAGTATAGTATTCTTAATATAATATAGTATCATAAAATAATAAATTTGCCTTCTGAGAACATGGAGTCAGATTCATCATTCCTTCCTGCCACGGGAGTCCCCACAAATACAATACAAGAAGAACTAGATTTCAAGAAGTTACATTTGCCATGAAACATATAGAACCTAATCTATGATCTAAAAATGGAATAAGAGTTTTCCTGCTGTAAAAGCAGCCACCGTGCTGCCCTGATCACTGAAGAAGTGTTCTGAAGATCAGCAGGGAATTTTCAAAGTTCATATTCCCTCCTAATACAGAGACTTGCAAGAGTTCATTCTCCCTCTTAAGGCAGGGAAATTTAAGAGTTCAGATGCCCTGTTAAGGCAGGCCACTTACAGGAGAGATTTTGATTATTCTGACAGCAAAATATAGAAAAAATGCACTTAGCTCTGCAATGCCATTCCCATTTTCTGCCTGGCCAGCTGCATTGACCAGGCTATTCCGCACACCTCATGATTTACAATATTTTCTTTAAGCAACACTAAACCACAATTTCTATTTTAATTTTCAGAAAATATTACAGCCTTTTCCCTTTAGATTTTTACCATTGACTGTCAGCATGGCAGTTGTCTGCTGATCTCCACACACACAGGTGTAAACTCCAGCATCCTCCTCCTCCAGCTCATGGATAACCAGCTTTGCAACAGCCCCATCCTGACTCATTTCATGTTTTCTGCTCTCTTTGAGCACCTCCTGCCCTTTCTTCCACTGCACCTCAGTGGGTTTTGTCAGTTCACAGTGCAGAGCAGCTGTGCCATTTTCCACAGCTTCCAGGTCCTTCAGCTCTCTCTTGAATTCTGGAGGCAGCACTGAGGAGTAAAAGAGTTACCACAAAGAGGGTGAATGCTCCTTAAAGGGAAGCTTGATGAGAGAGGTTTCATGGGGCAGCACCAAGCCCTGATCCAGATCAGGATGCAGGAGATTATGGATTTCCATCATGGAACATGATGGAAAAACTTCCCCGGCTTCCCTGGACACTGGATCAGGGCAAGGAAAGTGAGATGAACCAGCAGAGCTGAGGGGGACAAACACCAGCAGGGAATGTTTTTCCCAATTCTACAAAAGGAGGAAGCACAGAGAGTCCAAAGGAACCAAAACCCAAGCAAACAGAAAGGGACAGGAACAGACCACAGAGATTTGGGCAGGTTTGGAGGACCTTGGGACCACTCCAAGGATTACATTACTATGAAAGGAACCAAAAGCTCAAGCAAACAGAAAGAGATAGGAACAGACCATGGAGATTTGGGCAGGTTTGGAGGATGTTCACCCCAAGGATTACATGACCGTGAAAGGAACGAAAAGCCCAAGCAAACAGAGAGGGACAGGAACAGACCATGGAGATTTGGGCAGGTTTGGAGGATGTTCACCCAAGGATTACATTACCATGAAAGGAACCAAAGTCCAAGCAAACAGAAAGAGACAGGAACAGACCATAGACATTTGGGCAGGTTTGGAGGACCTTGGGACCACCCCAAGGATTACATTACCATGAAAGGAACCAAAGCCCAAGCAAACAGAAAGGGACAGGAACAGACCATGGAGATTTGGGCAGGTTTGGAGGACGTTCACCCCAAGGATTACATTACCATGAACTGTTAATGCAGCTGTGCTGATGTTGTCTCCACACACACAGGAATAGTCCCCAGTGTCACTCAGGTCCAGCCCATGGACCAGCAGCTCCACAGCTCGTCCCTCCTGCCTCATGCTGTACTTGGGGCCCGAGGTGAGGATGTGCTGGCCCTTCCTCCACTGCACACAGGCAGGGGCTTTGCTCAGCTCACAGTGAAAAGTGGCTGTTCCACCTTCTACCCCTTCCTGGCTGGTCATTTCTTCTTGGAAAAACGGAGGCACAGCTGAAGGATGGATGCAGGTAAAATGTGTTACAAACTGAGAGAGGGGTGAGGAAGTGACAGGGAAAAGGTGAGAAGGTTGTGACAGAGGGAAGTTGTCAAGGAAGGGTGAGCATCAGCCAGAAAGAGAGGAAAGAGAAGTGAAAATATCCTAGTGGGAACAGACATCCTAATCATTTTGGATTTATCCTGCCTTCCTGCTGCACAGTTCTCAACAGATTTACACCTGCTTTCCACCAGGTTCCTCCTCAGAAAAAAGTAGAATACCAGCTCTGAGCTCCTCAATTCACATGTACTGGTGTCTTCCTCAAACTTCATGGCTTTGCACTCTCTTTTCCTACTCAGAGCTGCCCTGCTGTGCTCTGACTGTTTGCACAGCTCCTTACTCATCCTCACTCCTTCTTCCTTCAGATATCCTTGAGGAGGAGCATCCAGGACTCACAGATTCTTCTTGACCCACAAAGGAAATCTCCAGCTGCTGAATTCCAGCCTGGGTTCTTGTCTCAGAACACATTTTTCCTATTTAACATAATTCTTGTACCCATTGCGACTTGCATCCTTGAAATAAATGTGGTGACCTTCACATATATCCCTCTATTAACTAGGTAGGATAATAGGATATTTCATCTGTTGAACCAGGTTGGATATCTCAGATCTCAAAATTAGTGTGCAGTATTAGAAACTTAGTTAAAATATCCAGGCTTAGCCCTGATTTGGCACATTTCCCATTCCAGCAGTGTTAAGCTGAAGCACCAGCCTTCCAACAAAGGAAGACCAGAATGAGGTCACAGAAAGAACTTATTTCTTTCCTTAGAAAAATCAGTCTCCTAATGGAAATCTATCTTTGGGCATCAGGACAGAGATGATGGGCACAAAACCCAAAATGGACACAACTTAGTGTAGAGAAAATTATAACTAACAGAACCTTATTCTGGATACTCTTTATTCTCTCTATTAAAATGGTTGGTATTGAGAATTCCAGAAAGGAAGGGCAAAGAATAAACAGATTTGTGGTTTGGAGAAGAAATGCAGGAAAGGAAAGACCAAAGAACAGTGGGGTTACATGGTAGGAAAGGAATGGCAGAAGGGAAAGAAGAAAGGAAAGAAGAAAGGAGAGCAGGCTTGTGATTAAGGAAAGGAAAAGGCAAAAGGATGAGGCAGAGAAATGCAGAGAGGATTTTCCGATTTCCACAGCCTGCAGGGAACATTTTAAACTGAATGGAAGTTCAGTTAATAAGGATGAAGAGACAGATGTGGAAAATTGAACAGCTCAGAGCAGAGGACAGAGGTTTGCAGCAGGAGAGAGGAGGTCAGGGATGGCTTTACCCTGCACTGTCAGGACAGCTGTAGTCTGCTGCTCTCCACACACACAGGTGTAGCCTCCTGCATCCTCCTCAGCTATTCCATGGATCACCAGCTCTGCCTTGAGCCCCTCCTGCCTCATTCTGTATTTCTCACTTGGTTTGAGGATCCTCTGGTCCTTCTGCCACTGCACTGGAGCAGCCTTGGAGAGCTCACAGAGCAGGGACACTTCTCCACCTTCTTCTGCCTCCTGGTCCTTCAGCTCCTCCTTAAAGAGGGGTGGCAGAGCTGGAGCATGCAACACGGACAGAGGGACAGCAGAAAACCAGAATTAAAACCCTCATTTCTATTTTGAGATTATTTCTTCTCTTGCCTTTTTTTTCAGCTGATCATAGATGTTCTTAGCCATAACCAAGTCCAGAAACTCTGAAAATGTCTTTCTTTGAGAATAATGTGATTTCATTATCTATTCACCAACTGAGATATCAGTTCCCTAGGTTTTTGTTGTTATTTATAATGAAAGAACAAAACAGAAAGACCCAAACCTCAGTTCAACAGTACTCACAAATAACACTGCTGCATACAGTACTATTTTACCCACACAAATGTCATTTTTTGGAGGCTGCTGTTGTTTGTTTCTGGTTTGTTTTCATTAAACTGCCACAGCCCCATCTACATGAAAGCAGACAGATATCCAAATAAAAATACTCCTAGTTTTAAACTGAAGTTTGAAGGGCCATTATATCTAATAAGAAATTTAGATTCTTATTACTCCTCATTTTGGAAATCATAACTCAAAGACAAAACAACCTACAGGAATTAAGCTCTGGAATGATAACACTTATCTCACTCTGCATGTCTGACTTCTTTAAAGAATCTGGAGCCTTCAAAAAAAAACCCAAAAAAAAACCCCCAAAAAAAAAACCAACCAAAAGAACCAACAAAAAAACATGGCCAGAGAATTGAATTTCCTCCTCTTTCTGCTGCCCTAACCTTCACTTCTCCTTTTCCAGTTACTGGGGAAGAGGCACCTCACAGACTAGAGCTGGATGTTCTGGAGAAACTGTGGTGGACTGAAGTGACCAATGGGGTCAGAGCTGGAAAATGCAAATATCCATGAAGAGGAGGCTTGCACAGAAGGAAACTTCTCATTTTCTCCTTTTAAAGGACAGATTAATAACAATGAAAAAATTCACCACGAGCGACTCTTTCTCAGGAAGAAATGAGTTATAAATAGAATGAAGGAAGAAGAAGGGATAAAAACAAATTACTGACCCAGGGAAGAAACCTCTACATTTCAGAATTATATCTATCTCAAGAGATATTTATCAATTTTAGAAAGCTCTTTTTACCATGAACTGTTAAGGTTGCAGTTGTCTTCTGGTCACCACACACACAGGTGTAATCTCCAGCATCTTTTAATTCTAGGTCACAAATGATCAGCTCTGCAGTGGTGCCAGACTGTCTCATTTGATATTTGTCACTTGCTTTGAGCACTTTGGGCCCTATTTTCCACTGCACAGGAGCTCCTTTGGTTAATTCACATCTCAGAGTCACTGATGCTCCTTCTTGGGCTTCTTCATCCTTCAGCTTTTCCTTGAAAAGCACTGGCAGGGCTGGGGATGGAAAGCCAATAGAAAGTGTATTTAAACTAAGTGTTCAGCATTGTGAATTCTCAGCTGAAGTTCAAATCTGCCCAAATCAGGGGTTTGAGAATGAGAATATCACTACACTTGATGCCTCAGGTTCAGCTTTTATATTTTCACATTCTGTGCTGCTTCAGTGTGTGGGTCTGAGCTTCACATCAGGGCATGGTGAGCTCTGTGCACAGAGCAGGGAGACAAAACAATTCCTGCTCCAGCTGGGCACCAAGGACAAACGATCCAAATCTCAGCCCAGGAGCACAAACACCGTGGGCTGGAGAGAGAAAAACAAGCAGGGTGGGACTGCCTGGGCTAAAGCTGGGATGGGACAATGAACTGCAAGGTGCAAATGGAGCAGAACGGATCCCAGGGAGAGACCCCGGGAGCGCTCGTGCATTTTGGGGCCATTTTGGTTCATCTTGGGTGCAGCCCTGGCTGGGCTCTGGTGCTGCCCAAGGTGCATCCATGGAGGCCTTTTAATAAATCCCTGCTTTATTCTTTAACTCTGTCCAGCCTCTGCTCTAGGTCAGCCTGCACAAGGCATCGCAGAGATCTGGAAAACCGAATCCAGCAGAGAGACAAGAAGTGCTGAGATGACAGGCCAAAGTACAAGATTTAAGGTAGAATTCAAAGGATTTCTCACAGGACAGAACATCTTAGCTGGTCTAACATTTCCATGGTGCAATTCCCTTAAAAATAAAACACAGCAGTGTCTCTGCAGGGAGGGACATTCCTGAGCTCAGCTCCCTTTTCAGCAACACCAGACAAAAAACAAACACCTGAACAAGACCTGGATACAAGTTAACAACAGGTGGACATTCCATGGAGGTTTCAGAAGAACAGAAAATGGACAATAATCTACATTTACCCTTCACTGTCAGAGAGGCCGTGCTGTGCTGCTCCCCACACACGCAGGTGTAATCTCCTGCATCCTGTAGCTCTAGGTCACGGATTTCCAGCTCTGCCAGGGCACCCTCCTGCCTCAGGATGTATTTTTCACTTGCCCTGAGTATTTTGTTGCCTTTCTTCCACGCCACAGCTGCAGCCTTGCTCAGCTCACAGCGCAGAGTGGCTGTTTGGCTTTCCATGGCTTGCAGGTCCTTCAGGTCCTCTTTGAAAAGGGCTGGCAGGGCTGAAGGCCACAAAATGCACAGAGGACATTAAAAATGACATGTGGCACACGAGTGACAGGAGGGGTGGGGTGGTACAGGAGCAGAGAACACTATGGGGTGGAAACAGGGTGTTTTCCTCGTCATTCTGAGACATTGGAACACCAAAAGACAGGAAGAGAAAAGCAGCCTGGATACAACCAGACCTTACAGAGAGTTTACAGATTTAAAGAAACAATTCAGCCACAGGTGAACACACAGCAATATCAATGAGCTGGCATAGAAACCCACAATAATACAGAGATATTATTTTTACCATGCACTATCAAGGCCGCTGTGGTCTCCTGCTCTCCACACACACACGTGTACTCTCCAGCATCCTTCAGCTCCACATCCTGGATGAGCAGCTTCCTGACCGTGCCCTCCTGCCTCATTTTGTACTTGTCACTGGCCCTGAGCAGAGTGCTGCCCTTCCTCCACTCCACGGGGGCAGCTTTGGTCAGCTCACAGCTCAGAGTGGCCGCTTGGCCCTCGGTCACCTCCTCGTCCCTCAGGCTCTCCTGGATGGCTGCAGGCAGCACTGGGGGTGCAATGGGAACAGGGTTAAAGGAGAAGCAAACACAGCCTGCAGGTGAGGGCATGGCTGTGAGGCCTCAGGTTTTCTATTTTTCACATTCTGTGCTGCTTCAGTGAGTAGTTTTGAGCGTCATATCAGGGGATGGAGAGCTCTGTGCACAGAGCAGGGAGACAAAACAATTCCTGCTCCAGCTGGGCACCAAGGACAAATGATCCAAATCTCAGCCCCAGAGCACAAACACCGTGGGCTGGAGAGAGAAAAACAAGCAGGGTGGGACTGCCTGGGCTAAAGCTGCAATGGGACAATGAACTGCAAGGTGCAAATGGAGCAGAACTGATCCCAGGGAGAGACCCCGGGAGCGCTCGTGCATTTTGGGGCCATTTTGGTTCATCTTGGGTGCAGCCCTGGCTGGGCTCTGGTGCTGCCCAAGGTGCATCCATGGAGGAGATCCTTTGAATAAATCCCTGCTTTATTCTTTAGCTCTGTCCAGTCCCTGTTCTAGGTCAGATTACACAAGGCATCAGGTAGGGAGGTGTCTTCAGACTTGACCCCACATCTGCTTCAGGAATCAGGTCCTAAAACCACTTTGCACATGGAATTAGGGAAAGGTTTTACCCCTAAATCACAAAATTCATCCCCCTGGTCATGCCACACAAGGCCAGACCCAGAGGAACTGTGCACAGATAACAATGATGATGTTGATAAATACAATTCAAATCATAATCTCAACAGTGATGGCATTCAGATGGAGTTGGTCATTACCATGTACTGCCAAGGAAGCTGTGGACTGCTGCTCCCCACACACACAGGTGTAGTCCCCAGCATCACTCTGGGTCAGGCTGTGGATCACCAGCTCTGCAGTGACATCCTTCTGCCTCATTTTGTATTTCTCACTAGGTTTGAGGGCTGTGTGTCCCTTTCTCCACTCCACTGGAGCAGGTTTGGTCAGCTCACAGTGCAGAGTCACTGCTTCACCCTCCTGGGCCTCCTCATCTCTTAACTCTTCTTTGAACAGAGCAGGAAGGGCTGGGAAACAGAGCAGCAAAGGTTCTCATGACAGGCAGCTCTTCACCACCAAAATAAACAATGTTCACCAATATCTATCCCTGCCTGATCACTGACATGAAGATCATCTCACAGAAGGAAAATGCTGATTTGCATCATAGACAAAAAGGGTCTTGCCATTTCTTTCAGCAAATATTAAATGAATTTGCTGATTGGTTTAGAGATGTATGGAAAATAAGCAGCAAAAATGGGGAAACTTCATGTATGGTCAAAACTGCAACTTTCTCAGTATAACCCAGCCTAGCAGATTAATAAAACAGATTACACCATGATCAGGAAATCAATATAACCGTTTAATTCACATTTTAAGGATGCCTTCAGACCTAGCCCAGAGTTAGGATAAAACTGAAGAGAAGAATCAGAGAGAGATCCTGAAAGTGCTTGGGTAGGAATAAAAAGGAAAGAGAAGGATGATGCAGGCACTGCAGAAATCTGCCATAATTTCCACACCCCAGGAAGTTCAGGTGCTTCCTGACACCTCATCCCTTTTGGAACAACAACCAGAATTATTCAGAGTGTAAGGCTGGATGGAAATGTGGCAATATGTGGAAGTAACAGGATGGGATGACATCCACTAAGTCTTTGGAATGGAGTGGGAACTACATTTGGATTTAAAATAGCTAATAAAGAGCTTGAGAGGACGGTCTCCAACTCCTGACCCTGACCAGCAAGAAAGAAATAATTGAGAATAAGGATGTGGAGATAGCTGTGCAGACATTAATGTAAATAGATTAGGAGGAAGGAAAACAACAAGGGACATGTTGGTCTGCCTCTCTTTCAGGAATGTAAATTGATGATGAGTGGACATGGGGAAAGCTGAAGTGTTTAATTTCTTTTTCTTCATTATTATTAAATGCTACTTATTTAAGGAAGTAATAGAAATTCTGGCTTGGAAGAGAAAAAAAGCATGAAAAAATATTTAAATAAATATATTCTCAAGGCAGCTTGGTGTGATGAAATTTTTCCTGGAATTCTTAAGGTGCAGGCACAACCAATTTCAGACACTGACAGTGATATGGAGAAATCACAGAGTGGCTGATGTTCCTCAAGTAAGGAAAAGGCAGAAACTAAGAGGTGAAAAATACATCTCTGAAATAGACACATTTAGTTCTTGTTGTGTAAACTGAGATTCTAAAATCCCAGAGAGTAAAGAAAAAACAATCACTTGTGTAAAGTCAGTGGAGCCAATCAAGCTCCAAATGTAAATGTCTGCTTTAAAATGAGCTGGAGGTCTCCCTAAATCCCATGGTCTGAGTTTGATAGATCTCCATTGACAAAAATGGGAATTTGGAAATACTCTTCAGTCTTGAAGCTGAATCCCATTCATAATGCTTGTCATAGAAAAAGAGAGAGAGAGAGAATCTGAGGAATTATGAACTCAATTCTTTGAAAAACTCAGATTTGCCAAGAGCTTTTCTCTTCGTGAAGGAGTGGATCAGGGTAATTTTTTCTTAGTGTAGATGAAGCTTCCTTGACAGAAGGACATATTATATGTCCTATATTATTATTATTTTAGTAAAGTTTCAACTTTTATATAGGTAGAATTACAGAAGGGAGATGCTACTAATCTGAAAACCACGGTTACAGGATATTGGACTGGGGTTTACACTCACAATGAAAGAATGAATTGAGCAGTTTTTCACTAGTCTGAGTTCAGGATTATTCAGCATTTTCTGTAGCAACTTGGACAAGGAAATGCAAAGTTTCATTAATTTTGAAGATGATCTCAAAGTGGGAAGGGAGAAAGGGTAAAAACACTTTTTTAAACTGGATTAAGATATAGAAGATTTGTATGAAGTAGTGGTGATGAAATAGGCTTCAATTCAGCAAGGGCAGATGGAAAATATTTAGGAACAACAATACAAATACAAGAAGAAGCAGATTTACAGTGAGGGATTTGGGGTTACAACAGCTTGTGAAGAAAATTCAAGTAAAAAAGTTCAAATTTGATGCAAATAAATCCTCATAATTGAGATGTGTGACTTGGAGTGCCGCAATACTTCTTGGTTTAAATTTCATACAAATATTTCTCTGCTTCTATAAGAAGTAATTACTTAAGTCAGTTCAAGAAAGACTTTTGTGGATATAAAGAACAACTTTCTGGCAGTAATGATGGTGACTTGGGGCTCAAGGATGGACCTATACAAGTTCATTTCAATTCCATTTTTCATGATTCAATTGGAAGTTCAAGACTTGTTGTATTGGCAAATACAAAGATGGGCAGAAAAGCAAAGAAATTAAGTCCCTGAATTCAGACTAACTGTATTTCCAGGTGAGAAAGAGGCTGAAATTACTTCTGACTGTCCTGTGTTAGTCACAGAAATAGTTTCCCCTCTCTTCCATGGGAAGTTTACAGATTAATTTGGCTGAGGACTGTGAAACTTTCTCCTACTCTAATGCTGAGTATTCTGGAGTACCTGAATAAAAATCAACATTATTCTTGGTCAGAGTTACAAGGAAAATTACACTGAACCAAGTTGTCTTTTCATTATTTAAAATTACTTGTCAAATCCTGATGCAACTTGAAATAAAATTGTTCTTTCAAAGACCTGTGAATGTTCCTGCTGCTCCATTTGTCTAGGTTCAAGTCAAAAGTGAGTAAACAGAATAAAATAAAGTCAAAATAGAATAAAAAAAAGCAAATCCGTGACATCTTTCAGCCTTTACAAAGAAATACAGCCCTGCACCAACAAGAGCAAGGAGAATAAACAGGGAAAAATTTAGCAAAATCAATGGAACTACAACCGTGGTTAGAATTAGACAAAAACCACAATAAAAAGAAGGAAGTCTGTTACAAACAGAATTAATGGTGGCAAGATTAGAGAAGGAACTCGTGGTGTGTGAGTCCTCAGGCTTGCAGAGGACGAGGGACAACCACCACCCAAAACCGCCCCATTTCCGAGCCCTTTACCGTGCACTGTCAGTGCTGCTGTTGTCTTCTCCTCTCCACACACACAGGTGTACTCCCCAGCATCCCTGAGCTCCAGGGCATGCACCAGCAGCTGGGCTCTGCCGCCCTCCTGCCTCATTGTGTATTTTTCACTGGGTTTGAGCACTTTGTGCTTCTTCCTCCACTCCACGGGCGCAGCCCTGGACAGCGCGCACTGCAGGGCGGCTGTGGCGCCTTCTGTGGCTTCCTCATCCCTCATCTCCTCCTGGAAGTGCACAGGCAGGGCTGGGGGGTTCAAAAGGAGCAGAATGTGGGACCACGGCAGCACCTCCAGTAAGCATTTCGTGTGGTCTGACGAGCACAAGCGATAAGCAAAGCCTTGCCTAATCAAATCCATCAAAGCCTTTCCTAATCAAATCCATCAGGATCGATGGCCACTCTGAGAACCATCAGACTGGCTTGGGAAAGCTGGAAAACACCTCATTCATAAGTCAGAGAGGGTTTTTCAGGGTGAAATCCATGGTATGAAGTGAAGAACCACATCAGTCTCAACTTCAGAACTACATGGCTGAAACCTGCCTTGGCCTTTGCCTAGCCAAAGCATCTAAATTCTATGGAAATGGAAATTGTTACTAAAAAAGTTCATAAATGAGCCCATATCTGAGGCATCAGTTTCAGTTTTCCATGAGGGACCTTTAAAAGGTCCTTTCCAACCCAAATTATTCTCTAGTTTCACCTCCTACAGTGGTCTAGCAGCGCTTGACCATCAAATTGTACTGATAATTGTCTCAAAAACATCTCATAAAAAAAATCTTCTCAGCTTTATGACTGCAACATCTTTACAACCAACATCACAATAATGTGATTTTCCATTCCTCAGCACCTACTGCTGAACATAAGGATTAAAAAATGAGTTAGCACCAGGGTCAATATCTGCAATTTTTGCCACGAACCTCCAACCTGTGCCTGACACTGCCCAAAGCATCCAGGAACTTATTCCCATGTCCAACCAGATTTTGCTAAACCCATCAGAAACAGAGCTGCACTTTCAAAGCTGACACTCCTATGCTCTTAAACCAAAAAAAAACTGCTTGAAAACCATCTCTAATCTATTATACATTTCCTTTTTTTTTTTTAATTTTTACCATTCACTTTGAGCGCAGCCGTGGTTTCCTGCTCTCCACAAGAGCACGTGTAATCTCCAGCATCTGCCAGGGCCAAATCGTGGATCACCAGCTCAGCCACCGTGCCCTGGCACCTCATGGTGAACTTGTCACTTGTCCCCAGGGTTTTGTCTCCTTTCCTCCAGGCCACGGCAGCTCCGGCTTTGCTCAGCTCACAGCAGAGAGTGGCCGTGCCGTTTTCTGTGCCTTCCACGTTCTTCAGCTCTTTCTTAAAGTGAGGAGGGAGGGCTGAAGGTCACAGGTGAAAGAGAGCACTTTAAAAATGAGCAAACACCCCGGTCTTGATTGGTCCACTGAATTAAAACACTTTAAAATGGTTTAGAATGTACAGAACCTGGGAGCAAAGGGTGATTTCAGGGGCATCCCTGACTTCTGCTTTGCAAGACACCACATTCACAGAATTCCCCGAATTCAGCATCTCACAATGACTTGGAAATCAGCATTGATTTATAACAGCTCTGAAAACCATCAAAGAGTGAGTTTGGACAGCTGGAAAACACCTTATTCATAAATCAGGGGGGTGTTTTTAATGATATGAGACATAGCATGACATGGAGAACCACACGAGTCTCAACCCCTGAGCTCTCACTGATTTGGAAATCTATAAAACTAAAATATCAGTACTGGGAGGTATGCTTTAAAAGCATTTTAAGATGTAACAACAGAAAGCTGATCCCAAGATTTCAAGGAGCTATGCACAACTCTTTTTCAAAACCAGATTAAGAATTGAAATGAAAACCACATTGTTTAAAATTAAACTTTCATCACTTTTCAACTTCATCCAAGAAAACCAAGTGAAATCTCAGTGATATGCCCTAAAGAAATTAAGGAGTGAAAATACTCCAAAGTGTTATTTCTGACTTCATCAAGCTTTTCATTATCTACTTCCAGCTTCCATCAACAGGAAAGAACAGGGACTGAAAAGACCTGCGATGCTGTTTATCAGTCCCAAAGGAAGGGCTTTCAGTGGAAGATATTCCCAGTGGTTGGAACAGCTGCCACAACATCTTAAAATAACAGAAGAGACCAAGAGCAGATTGTGATCCCACAGGAGGATCACAGATGACAACGCAGAAAATTCCTCTTAACCCAGATATTTTACCATGCACTGTCAGGGAAGCTGTGGTTGTCTTGTCTCCACACACACAGGTGTAATCTCCTGCATCTCCCTCTTCCAGGCTGTGGATTGTCAGCTCAGCAGTGGTGTCCTTCAGCCTCATTTTGTATTTTTCACTGGCTCTGAGCACCTCCTGCCCCTTCCTCCACTCCACCGGGGCGGGTTTGCTCAGCTCGCACTGCAGAACGGCCGTCCTGTTTTCTGTGCCTTCCACATTGACAAGATCTCTTTTGAACAGTGCAGGCAGAGCTATGGGGTGTAACACAAACAGAGAGGACATCAAAACCATTAACCAGACCTTGGGGAACTCAGGGCTGGGGCCTGTGGCCAGTTCTTCACCATTACAGGAAAACAAATCAGTCTGGAAATCTGCTCCTAACAGAAAACTACTGCAGGATCCCACTGGGATAATTCCATCATGACCTGCTTCTAACATTAACTTGTTCATATTCACCTCTTCACAGCTGATTCCAATACTCCTCTCTACCTATTTCACTCTGAAATAATCTATCTTGAACATTAATGACCTGAACTTTTTATTAAAAGTCATCTGCAGTGTGACAGCACTGCTGCCTTTCCTAATCTCATAATTTATATTTCTGGTTCAGGGAAAAAACACAATAATATAGCTTCAGGTGCACCTTTAACCCAAGATTTCCAAGAACATAATGATACTAATATCAGGATTACAAGGATTTTTAGCAGCATTCAACAAATTGTCTTATGATGTACCACTAAAATAAAATGGAAGTGACTTGCATAGGGATGAAAATGATAAGTCAAAAGAGGGGAGGAACAGAAATTCCCCCAGCTGGGAGAAAGAAGATGAAGAAAACGTGTGCAGAAAATCTGGGAGAATAGTTTTGCCTCCTCAATTTCCCCTTGCCCTTGGCAGCTTTTTATCCATAAGAGATATCGTAAATAAAAGCTATTCTTTCATCTATGGGGGCTGTACATGAGCTGCTCCTTCTGGAGGGGCAACCAGAGCTCATCACCATTCACCATGGCAGAGCCAGGAACAAAATTTCCCCCATTAGTGCTTAATTAAGAACCTGCAGAATAATGCTGAGGGGTGGGGATTTATATGAGTACCATTTTCTCAGCAGAATATACCAAAATCCTGCAGAAGAAGAGGGTGGTCACTCATTCCTGAATGGAAAAAACCTCTCACTGACTGAGCTCAGCAGATTTAAAGAACTTTCCTTCAGGTTAAGCATGAAAATCCATTGATGTCAGGGAGACACAATGAGACACCCCCTGAGAACAACCTTCTGCTGGAGCTCTGCCCACTCCTGCTCCCTGAGATGAGAAATTCTCACAGCTTTTCTTTACCCTGATATAAAGCCATCAGTTTCAAACTGGCAGACACTGGGAGATGGGATGAAACAGCACCAGCAAACCAGGAAAATGCTGCAGAATCAAAACACCAAAGCAAGTGGGAGGGAGAGAGAGAAAAGGGATGTCCTTGAGCTATCCCAACGGAGAGCGGCTTTTTTACCGTGGACTGTCAAGACAGCCGAGGTCTTCTGGTCTCCACACACACAGGTGTATTCTCCTGTGTCTTCCACCTCCAGATCTCGGATCAGCAGCTCTGCAGCTGTATCTTCCTGTCTCATCCTGTACTTTTCACTTGGCTTGAGTGCCTTGTCCCCTTTTCTCCACTCCACGGGGACGCCCACCTTGCTCAGCTCGCAGTGCAGAGCGGCCGTGGCGCCGTCTGTGGCTTCCCTGTTCTTCAACCCTTCCTTGAAAAATGCAGGCAAAGCTGAAGGACAGCAATATCAGCAGTGAGATGCAGCACTCCAAAGAGTTAAAATTATGTTTAAGTTTCCTTTTCCCCTCTTATCTTGAACTTGATTTATCAACAGAAGAATAGAGATTCTCATGGGTCTCCATGAATCCGCGTTGGGAAAAGAAATGTCATCACCAGGAGAGGATTTAATGCTTGCAGTAATCCATAGGGGTATTTTACACAAATCAATACAAATAGAGTTCAAAACACCATTTTTTTCCCTGTGAAATTTCAATCAAAAAGAACAAACACCAATTTGAAATTTCTGGAAAGAAAATGGTTTTCTTTTGTGACATTTTAAATCACAACGGGAGGATGTTTGCTGTTTCCACATACTTAAGCAAACAAAGAGACATTTTACATTTTTTTTAAAAATGAAACACTGGAGTTTCATTTTAAATGTCAGTTTGAAATGAAATTGTTCATTTCAATACATGGGTGGGAAAACAAGCATTTTCACCTGAACTGACATACCCTTTCAAACATGTCAGGTTCAGTAAAAATCAAAGTTCTCCCTGAGAATGATTGTCCTTTAGAAGTTCTGGGCTTGTTTTACACAGAGCACCAACTGAATTCCATGACAACTGGGCTGTAGGCATAAAAGCACTTTGTTGTCCCAGGAATGGAGTATGGGCATAAGATTCCACAGAATAACCTAACCTTTCGGAATTTTACAAAACCTTAAAATCCCTAAGACATAATCCCTTTGAAGCAACCCATTTTTATCTTGAGCACAACGGGGAGTCTAATAAAGGACCTTTCAAGGGAAAAGCAAAAAGATGGCCTCCAATTAAAAGAGTAGGAGCAACCCTGGTTGCCTTACTCTGAGCTTGGTCACCCATATCCCTCTTGTGCCACAAATTCCAGCTGCACAGATGCCAATGGATGAATTTCACTGGCATTGGTGAGCTGTGGATAAAGGTCTGGCTGAAGAAGGAGATGGGAGGGTAACCAGGGGTCTGCCCAAAGGAACAGAGAAATCGGGGTAGTTACTTTCAGGATGTGCCTTGTTTTGTTTGTTTTACCATGAACTGTCAAAACTGCCATGGTCTGCTGGTCTCCACACACACAGGAATAGTTCCCAGCATCCGCCGTGTCTAGATTTTGGATTGTGAGCTCAGCCACGGCACCTTCCCTCCTCATTTTGTACTTGTCACTCGGCTTGAGGGTCTTGAAGCCCTTCTTCCACTCCACGTTAGCAGCAGCCTTGTTCAGCTCACAGCTCAGGGAGACACTTTTACCCTCGGTGGCTTCTTTGTCTGTGAGTCCCTTGGTGAAAAGAGCAGGCAGGACTGCAGAGCAAACACGGACATGGCATCAACGCTGGGAAAGCCTGAATCCACGACTCAATCCCTCTCTTATCTCCCTGGAGCCACCAGACCTTCTTGGTCTCCTCCAGCATTTAGTTCCTCCATAATTTTTCTCCAGCCTCTAACCCTTCAAAATGGTTAACCCTTCAAAAGATAATTCAGTCTAATTTTTTTTCTGTCCTCCCGCTTTAAAACTTTCTTTAAATTCAAGTCTATCTGCAAATTTGTTGACAAATTAACTACCCTTTACTTTATACACCATAAAATCAAGGACAAAAAATTAGAGGCTGTATTTCAATATGAGAGCCAGAGCATTTTGCTTCCCTTGAGAAAAGCAGGAGTTCTACAGAAGGGCCTGATTCATAGCACTGTCTGAATTTTTATAAACAAGAGTCCCTTAAAGCAGAGCTGTTGCAAACATGCTGTCAAGTTTTTGCAGAAATAAAATATTTGCTTGGGAAGTATTAAGCCAAAATTGGTAAAAAAAAGAGCTGGGAATAGCAGGAGCATTTAAAGCCTATTTTTTATTAAGACTGTCCTTGTGTAGCACCATATGTTAATGAAAATTTGTTCCTCTTAGGAGCAACAAGTGCCATGGTCTAAGTAATGAAAAATCAATATCATTCCCACTTTTAGGTCAGTTGCTATGGGAAAATTTCTAAACAAGAAGCTATTCTGGACTAGGGAGCTTGTGTTGAGTTAGGAACCCATTCTCCACTTGTCTTTTGACTAAAGCACCTTGGAAGCACATCAAGAAGGTATCAGGTGAAGGGAGATAAAGAGAGAAGGAAGAAAGGATAGGAAAATTAATCAGCAGAAAGAAGGATTGGAAGTGCACAGGGATCAGGGAAAGCAGAAGTAAGAGAGGAAGAGATTTTGGAATCACAGAGGTTGGCTTGGAACACGCGCTGAGAATTTCTCTTTTACCATTTACTGCCAGAGCAGCCGTAGTCTGTCGGTCTCCACACACACAGCTGTAATCCCCAGCATCTGCCAAATTCAAATCCTGGATTGTCAGCTCCACAAAGGGACCTTCCTGCTCTATTTTGTACTTTTCACTCGGCTTGAGCACTGTGTTCCCCTTTTTCCACTCAACTGGGGCTGGTTTGCTCAGTTTGCAGTGCAAAGTGACTGCCTCCCCCTCTGTAGCTTCCTTGTTCACCAGTTCTTCTTGGAAGAGGATAGGCAAGGCTGAAGGATGCAACACCAACAGAGAAGGAATCAGCACCAGAATGAAATAAAGTGGAGTTACTGGACTGCAGAGTGTGCACTCAATCAAAAATGCTCTGTTTCTAGGTGGATACAATTGAAAAAGGGGGTAAAACCTCCTAGAGGAGAGAGAAATAAATTAAACAATATACAACATACAGGTGCTGTCTCAAGGCAAAAAAAAGCACAAGAGAATATTCACTAATAGAGTGACTCTGGCACTACAGAGTCAAGAGCACAAAACCCCTAAGAAATCACACTCTGGTTGACCAGGAATGCTGCCAAAATTGCTGCATTTGTGTGGGAATCCTTAAAATCAGAGGGTTTTGGGAAAGCTGCAAAAGGCAGGCCTCAGAGACAGCAGAACTGTGATTGGAGCTAAGCAGTAGCCATGAGATTGGTCAGCAGAAAAATTATGTAAGAAGTAGAAAAGTAAGGACAAATAGAGCCATGGTCTGTGTGTTAATGCTTGTCTAGAATAACTCCCTAAGCTGCAGAAAAGTTTATCTAGTGAGATATTAGGGAGCTCTAGGCTTAATAATGGAGCTCTGGGAAGTTCTAGGCTTAATAATGGAGCTCTGTGCATTGTGTTTTAAGGCTTACAAGCAGGTATTGTATTTGAAATAAGCAAGCATTGTTTTAACTGAAGGTACATGTGCTTATCGTGGTTGGATAGAACTACTGTCAATGTGCTTTTGCTTTGTGGGATTGATCAAAACACTTATAAAGTGAGTTGTAACATTAAGTTCTTCGTCTGCTGCCTGGGATGTGAGCTGATGGCATCTTCCCATTGTCATAACCATGTAATGAGACTGATGCTGGAAAATATAAAACAGCTCAAGGCACGTTCCTGGCAGTCCTGTCCCATTTGTGATTTGTACCAGACGGCGATACCTTTGGGGTTTGAAAACAAACGTGTGTAGGAGGGTTACCATTCACTCTCAAAGCAGCCGTGCTCTCCTGCTCTCCACACACACAGGTGTAGCTCCCAGCATCCGTCAGGTCCAGGTCATGGATCACCAGCTCCACAAAGCGCCCTTCCCGCCGTGTTTGGTATTTCTTGCTCGGGACCAGCTCCTTCCCGTCCTTCCTCCAGCGCACGGAGCCGCCCGCCCGGCTCAGCTCGCACTGCAGCGTCGCCGTCCCGCTCTCCGTGGCCTCCTCGTTCCTCAGCTCTTGCTTGAAACGGACTGGCAGGGCTGAGAGATGCACAATGGAAAGGGATTGCCACCCTAGACCCCGCTCAGAGGTTGTTAGGATTTGTCGTGTGTCTATCTAAGCCTTACTCCAACACCCTTATCCCTTAACTCTGACAGTCATATTTTCTGGAAACCTTCTTTCGCCAGGATTTTCTCCTGGGAAGATGAGAAGCCTCAGAGAAAAGGAAAACAATTCTTATCTCATTTGCTTCTCCTGTGTTGTGCTCCTTTGTTTGGGGATTGTTTACCCACAGGTGATTGTTTCATTGGTTTCATGTGAATTGTTTTGACTTAATGACCAACCAGTGCCAAGCTGTGTTGAGGCTCTGGAGAGAGTCACGAGTTTTTGTTATTATCTTTTTAACCTTCTTTAAGTACCCTTCTTCTGTATTTTTTAGTATAGTTTAGTTTAATATTCTTTGATATAATATAGTATCATAAAATAATAAATTGGCTTTTAAGAACATGGAGTCATATTCACCATTCCTTCCTGCCACAGGGCACCCTGCAAACACAATACTTAAGCACATCCTGTCTTTTTTCATGGGTGATAAAAGAAATTCTCTATTGAATTGTTCTGTGGGAATCAACAAAACCATGATCTTGGCTGAGATCATGCATAAAGAGAGACAAACTCATTCTCATCGTTACACGTGATGAACCCTTTGAAACAGAAAATACTAAGGAATCTTATGTTTCCATGCTAATGCAGGAAAACACACATGCAGGACAACATCCTTCACTCAAAGGAAGGTGAGAAGACAACACAACACATGGGACACACACATCCAACATGGGATATAAAGAAATGGAGACTAGGGACAGGAGTGACACAAGCAAGTGGATGGAAGAAAGCAGTGGAAGCAGGACGTGAAGGAAGTTGTTGTGAGGAAATGTACAGAGAGGAGGAGGAAAGAGGTGAACAAAAACACTCCAGAGTTTCACAGGTTATTTCTGCCTTTTTACCATTCACTGACAAAGCTGCTGTGGTTTTGTGGTTCCCCACTAGACATGAATAGTCTCCAGCATCCTTTGGCTCCAGGTCGTGGATCAGCAGCTCAGCCACGGTGCCCTCCTGCCTCATCTGGTACTTGTTACTGGCCCAGAGAAGAGTTTGCCCCTTCCTCCACTCCACGGGGGCCTCTGTGCCCAGCTGGCACCTCAGGGTGGCTGTCCCACCTTCCACAGCTTCCACGGGCTTCAGCTCTTCCTTGAAGAGCACGGGCACAGCTGAGGAGTGAAGCATTCCCAGTTTACTTCAGGCGCATCGTCACCACCTGGTGACCTCACACTTCAAGGACTTAAAGACAACACAAATTCAAATTCTCTTGGCACAGAGAGAAAAGAAGCTCTGACCTACCTGCACCTCCAGGAGTCTGCTGATGTTTATAGTAGAAACAAGAGTTTTGGACCAAATAAAAAAAGAACAATTATTTCCTAATAATTAGAATACCAAAATAATTATCCTTCTGCTGCCCAAAGTTGGTCACAGACATGTTAAAGCTTGTTGAGAAAGTGGAAAGAAGAATGGAATGTTCTTCCATAAAAGGTGTAGCTGAGGTCCCTCTTACCTCTTGGCTTAGAGCTTGGACAGTCACCTCTATCCAAAGTATAAGAGACATTTCATAGGGAAGAAAAGATATTATTTTATCAAGTACCTTTGATTGATACATTTTAGCACGAAGTTATCATCCCAAAAAACAAAGAACATAATGGACCCAGGCAGAGCTGCCTTTTGTTTGTGCTGATCCTTGTCCTCCTGAGTACTCTCTGAAAGTGCCCAGGGTCAGCAGGAATTTGGCCACAGACATGTAAAAACTTGTTGGTCACCAACATGTAAAAACTTGTGGAGAAAGTGGAAAGAAGAACAGAATATTCTTCAATAAAAGGTGCAGCTGAGACCCTTCTTACCTCTTGGCTTAGAGCTTGGACAGCCACCTCTATCCAAAGCATCAGACACTTCATAGGGAAGAAAATATTATTTTATCAAGTATCTTTTAACTGATACATTTTAGCACGAAGTTATCACCCCAAAAAACAAAGAACATGAATGGACCCAGCCAGAGCTGCCTTTTGTTTGTGCTGATCATTGTCCTCCTGAGCACTCTCTGAAAGTGCCCAGGGTTAGCAGGACCACGGCAAGAACAACAACAAATGGTCACAAGCAGGTGTCTCATTCCTACCATGGATTTGGCAGGAATGTTTGTGCTGATCATTGTCCTCCTGAGCACTCTCTGAAAGTGCCCAGGGTTAGCAGGACCACGGCAAGAACAACAACAAATGGTCACAAGCAGGTGTCTCATTCCTACCATGGATTTGGCAGGAATGTTTGTGCTGATCATTGTCCTCCTGAGCACTCTCTGAAAGTGCCCAGGGTTAGCAGGACCACGGCAAGAACAACAACAAATGGTCACAAGCAGGTGTCTCATTCCTACCATGGATCTGGACTTGGGCTGTGGTCTGCTGGTCTCCAGTGTCACAGGTGTATCTTCCCGCATCTTCTGGCTCTGCATTATGAATCACCAGCTCTGCCACTGTCCCCTTCTGCTTCATTTCATATTTGGCACTTGCCTGGAGCGTGGCTTCTCCCTTCTTCCACACCACGGTGGTGGCGTCAGCTTTTGTGAGTTCGCAGCGCAGGGAGATGGATTTCCCTTCTTCCACAGCCGTGTTCTCCAGGGCTTGTTTGAAAAGCACAGGCACAGCTGGAACACAGAGCCAGGGGTTAGGACAGGCCCTCCTGATCTGCTCTGCATCAAATCCCCCCATGAGAGCTGTCACATCCTAAATCCAGGTCTTTTCCAAGTGAGCAGAGCAGCCCTAGGCCCTCCACTGGCTGTGTGGCACAAGGAGATTCTGCCTGGGAGCAGGAATAAATCTCTCCCCCTGATGTTACCATCTCACTGTGGATTCCTAGAAATGTGGGGCAAGTTTCTCTTATTTTTAAAAAGGACCTTTTCAGATTGCTCTGGGCATCATCAGCTAATGAATTCCCTGCTCCTGCAGGGCTCTGAAATAACATTCATATCCTATATTTCTCCTGTTTTCCACTCCAGCACACACTGCTAAAGGCAGTGCATTTGTTTAAGGGTAGCAGAGAGTGGAGATGGCACCTAAGAGTCTTTGAAAGGATGTTTTGGGGAGTCTGGAGTCTATTAATTACTGGTTCACCTTCAATTTTTCAGGGACTGGATTCCTGTTTTCACATCCTTATGTGTCTCCACTTCAATTCCAGTTTTAATCACAGCCCCATAAAGCAGCTGATATGGCAGGAACTGCAGCACAGAGAAAATTAATCCTCTGCACTTAATTTTCTTTTTTTTTTCCCCAGTTACAGATTGAAAACCCCAGACACAGAATATGAAATCACATGAATGAAATACATCCAGGTGCCTACAAGGGTAAAATATTATCTTTAAATTTACTTATTAAAGATGGCACTGCCACAAAAAAAATGAAGTGTTCTGTGATTTCTGTTTAATAGATCTAATGAAGTATTCTGTGCTTTTTGTTTAATAGATCTAATGAAGTGTTATGTGATTTTTGTTTAATTAAGCACCTGATTAAGTGTGGCCATGCCTCAAAGTGTACCCACCATTCACTTTGACCCGAGCAGTGGTTTTCAGTTCCCCAGCACTGCAGGTGTAGTCCCCAGCATCCACAGATTTCACATCTCGAATGATGAGCTCTGCCACAGTCCCATGCTGCTTAAATTCATACTTCTCACTGGCATAGAGAACAGTGTCTCCCTTCATCCACTTCACTGGGGTGCCAGGTTTGCTGAGCTCACAGGTCAGCCTGACCTGCTTTCCTTCTTTGGCTTCTTCATTTTGGAGCTCTTGCTTGAAGAGAACTGGTGCTTCTGGAAAAAAGGAGCAACAGAAATGTTAAAAGAAACACGTGAGGTTGGAAATGACTTTTCTCTTTTAGTGTCAGACTTTGTTTTTGAAACAGAAAACCACAGGAATGAAAAAGCATTAGCAAAGAGTAAACAGATGCTGACATATCACATCTGGCTGCCAGCACTTTACAGCAGAAAAAAACCCAAAACCTGAGGCCAGATGCTTATTTTCTTTTTAACCACTGAAGATGCTGCTGCTCTTACTGCTTTCATTACTAACATCAGTGGCAGATGCTGCACTGCAGTTAATGTGCTGCTGATGGCTGCTCAGAGCTGGACCACCAGCACAAAAAACATAAAACTTCACTGAGGTCAGCTCACACACAACACAGAGTACACAGAGGAATGGCAAAGCACTTTCTGTCGTGACCAGCAGTATTGATTTCTCATCATAAAAAAACCCTACAGTGTATTATTTTTTTTTTTTATCCAGCATTAACACACATATAAAACCAGCACAGAGCAAACACAGAGAGGGAAGCACAGCTGAACGTGGCAGGGTCCCTGTGGAGATTCCCCTGCAGGCTCTGCCCTTCAAGGCTTTAAGGTGAGCTTGTGCAGGGAAGGCACTTTTGGGCAGAAAATAAACTCAACTGAAATGTTCAGATAAGGAAAAAATAAATTATTCTTGAATTATGCTGTCTTAAGGATATACAAGTCAGCTACTGAGCTGTGATGCACTAAACCTGTGGCTGTTGGAAATCTACACCCTATTATCCTGTTCCCCTTTTACCTCCAGTTTGGGACACACAATGTCACATGACTGCTGAATTTCTATTTTCTTTTTCTGCATTCTGCTGTTCTGATGTGACTCTGACAGATAAAATTTTCCAACAGTGAAATTCCTTGTAGACATCCTTATGGCTTGACTCCTTGATCTGAATCCATGTTTTTAAACCCTACATCCATCCACACCCTTCTCTGTGAAGGGAAAAATGGGGCTGTTGTAGGAACATTACAAAGGTGGTTCTTTTCTAACAGAAAAATTGTCCATCCAGGTCCTACTGGAGTCAACACAGATCTTTGTTTTGTGATGGATATTGGGAAAATATCCTTGTGCTACAGAAAATCGGGATCATTAACAACCAGCTCTTCTTCATTGCATCATCAAGGTCTTCTCTTTCTTGCACAGCCTCAAGTGGGTTCTCTGGGCTCTAGAAAAATCCTGTGAGCAGCCTGACCTCCCACTTGGTGCTCTGGGGTTCAGGTTGACCATTCCAGCAACCCAAAGCCTTTTTTTGTTCATGCTGACTTCCCCAATCAAGACACAGCTTCTGATCAGTCCATCCCAAGTGTGCAACAACAGCTGCACCCAGGACATCCTCTGGTCTGCAAGAAGACAGCCTGTGCCTGTAAAATCCTCCTGTACCTGCTCAGACCTGCCCAGGACAGTGATTTAACTCACAGAGAGATTTAGCTCACAGAGGCAGGAGCAATTATAGGGTGATATTTGGTGGGCCTGGTTCTGACCTGGATGAGACACAACCCACACCCAACTCAAGGTTAAGACTCACCTAAGAAGAGAACTTTTGCCTCAGCTCAGACAGCAGCCTTTTAGATCATAGAATCATAGAACACTTTGGGTTGAAAGGGCCCTTTAAAGCTCATCTATTCCAACCCCCCTGCCATGCGCCCAGACATCTTCAACCAGACCAGGCAGCTCAGATCCCCATCCTAATATTGAATATTTGCAGGGATGGAGAATCCACCACTTCTCTGGGCAAACTCCTATAGTGTTTTACCACCCTCATTGCAAAAAATGTCTTCCTTACATCTGTGGCATTTCTATTCTCTGAAAAATCCCTTCACCCAGGGTTTTTCTCCTAGGAAGCTGAGAAGCCTCAGAGAAAAGGAAAACAATTCTTATCTCCTTTGCTTCTCCTGTGTTTTGCTCCTTTTGGAATGTGTTTGGAGATTGTTTCATTGGTTTCTGCTGTGAATTACTTTGACTCATTGGCCAACCAGGGCCAAGCTGTGTCAGGACTCTGGAAAGAGTCACAAGTTTTCATTCGTATCTTTTTAGCCTTCTGTCTGTATCCTTTCTGTATTCTTTAGTATAGTTTAGTATAGTATTCTTTAATATAATATACTATCATAAAATAGTAAATGAGCCTTCTGAGAACACGGAGTCAGATTCATCATCCTTTCCTGCCACAGGGCACCCCAAAAATACAATATTACATCTAATTAAATTAACCCTTTTTTACTTTAAACCATCTCCCTATGTCCTATCAAGCAGGAGAGCACCTCCTGCCCACTGATGCTCTTTGATTGCATTGCTCTGAATAAACCTGACTGCCTAAAGCAATTGCACAGACAAATGTGGGGCTGTGAGCTCCCTCCTTGGGGAGAGCCATCACTGGGGACAGCTCCAGGAGTGACCCATCCTTTCTAGGGATCACCTCTCAGCCTGGGGTGTGCTCCTGCTGCTCTCTTTTTGGGGTTTGGAATGAGATGATCTATAATGTACCTTCCAACCCGAAGCATTCTAGAATTCCATGATTCTCAGAGGCACTAAAGCTCCTTAAATGAAGGATTCTCCTGTTTCACATTCTGCCACCTCTCTGCCTCCTGTTCCAGATGACTTGATGAGAACACCTCAGTGCGCACCACAAGGTTGCTTCTCAGTGTAGTTTCATGTTTTTAATTCCAATTAATCACTCTGGGCTCAGTGTTAGGACCAAAATCACCCCAAAAGTTCTTACCCTTGACATTAATAATTGCACCACTTTTGGCTGCTCCCGCCTCACACTCACATCTGTCACTGTCTCTTTCTCCTGCCCTGTGAATGACAACCTTGGCTTCAAGCCCTGACTGCCTGATGTTACATTTGGAAGAATTCCTAAGGCTTTTCCCATCTTTGCACCACTTTCTCAGGGCTGTCTGATCTGGAGGCTTCACACTGAAGGCTCACATCCCCTCCCTCAGTGACTTCAGCATCAACCAGCTCCTTTGTGGAGACACAGGGCTTCTCCAAATTCATACAAAAAACCCCCATCTATCATGGTTCAGAAGAGGTGTGGATTCTCAGATCACAAGTAATATGTGTGATTTGGATCCAGGATTGCTTGTATGAAAGTCATAGGTCAGCGTTAGTAATAAATAATTTGGTGTTTCTGACTATAAAGCCCTCAGGAAGGCACCAGTGATGTTCTAAAGTATTGTTTAACTGTTAAATGATGTCTGGGAGAAACTGAGAAGAAAACATTCCTGCTGAAGAACATAAATAATTAGCCTTTTGCAAATAAAACCTTTCATTTTCCCTCAAGAAAAAGAAATCCATTTGCGTTTCTGCAGCTTAGCAAAATTTGGGCAAATTTTCAATTTTTGTAAAAAGAAAATTTCTTCAAAATAAATGAGCTTATTCTGAAAAAAAAAAAATATGATCTGACACAGTGGAGACTGTGTGTTTAATATCTGGGCCAAAAGAAGTATTTATATTTCCAGTCAGGAAACACCTCTCCAATCCCACATTCTTGGGCTGTCTGCCATTCATTTCATTCATTTATCTTTGCTACCAAACACTGCAGTTTTACGTCAGTTTAACTTCTCCAGAGAAAACAATCCATTGTCAACAATGAATAGCAGAGAACACACATGCAATGTTTCCTTTCAAACAATGAAAACTGAATTTAAAACTTACTGGTTGCTCTTTTTGTTTTTTCATTGAATTAATTGATTTCTCCTCATGAGTTATCACCTAATCAGATTGAGGAAAACTGAATGGGGCATCCACTGTATCATCACAGCATTATAACATTCCCATCTAAATCAAATGAACACTCCAAGAGTTGTCTAGGATTACAAAGAGTTCATCCTCCAGCCATAATTTCATTATATAATTAACGTTATTCTTGAAAATGCACAGATATACAACGATGGTGCTAAATTTGTAGCATTTTTGCTCCTTATTTTTTCCACCTACGCACATCAACCCCGCTTATTTCCACTCATCATTTCCTCTCCTGCAGTTGTGATGATGGATTTACCTTTAACAACCAAACTGGCAGATGTTTTCTTATCACCAGCTTCAAATGTAATGACCCCCGAGTCCTTCAGGGACAGCTTTCTCAGCGTCAGCAGGTGATATCCACCAGGCTGGGACTGGATCTCATTAAGTTCATTGGTATGGAGTGGGGTTTTATCCAAAAACCACTGCACTCTGCTACAGTCTACGGGAGAGATTCTGCACTTGAACATGGCAGATTCTCCTTCTAACACAGTGACATCCTCCAGGTCTTCTGTTATTAGCACTTTCTGGCCTGAAAGGAACATAAATACATCAATTACTGCAATCTTCGGTTTCTGGCGTGAAAATCGACGTGGGGAAGCTCCTAAGATTTCCCGTTCATGACGGGGAAGATTGAAACAGAATTCCCCCAATATTGACCACAAAACCCACTCACAGGAAGATAATATATACAGGACACACACCAAAATAGGGCAAAGACAACTTTAAAGCACCAGAAAACATAAAGCAGAACAAGTAGCCAGGACAATGCAAATCCAGGGCTGTAAATTTTCTCCTGATTAAATCCCCGGAAAGTTTGGAGTCTCTGACAGCATTACTGCGCTCTAAAAGTCACCAAGAAATGATCTCTCCCTTGACAACCTGGCTGGTTTTCTACAGCAAAAATAACTCCCTTTCCATGGGACAGGACCACTGATCCCACACCTTCTTTGAGTTCAGCCCAACCCCTAACACAGTGGGAAATGGAGAAAATGTCTGAGTGTGGATTTGGCTAAAAAACCCCAAAACATCTGCCCTGAAAACCTCCTCCTATAGATAGATGCATCCCTAACTAAAAATAAATATATAAATATAAACAGACATACAAAGATGAACCTCACTATAAATATATATAAAATAAGGTTAGCACTGTATACAAAAATATCTCTGATGTTCCTCCTACTTATAAAACCAGCACAGAGATGTTTTACTTTGATGTTCGTGACAGAGAAGTGCTTTTTCCATTCAGAAATGCTGCTGTTAAAAAACTCAGAGTGGATTCAGACAGGTAGGAGTCTGAGATTATGATGGGGATTAAACACATTTCTTTGCTCCTTGAGGATGCTGTAGTAGATTATCAGAGGAGGAGTCTGAGTTTACTCTATTGTGTTGAAAGCTACAATAATTAGTAAGTGGACACTGCTGCTGCACCTCCATCTGATCATTCTTGAATCATTTCTCCAGAGGGCAGGGTTAGGAGGGATATTGGGAAGAATTCTTCCCTGTAAGGGTGGGGAGACCCTGGGAAGCTGTGGCTGCCCCTGAATCCCTGGAAGTGTCCAGGGCCAGGCTGGACAGGGCTCGGAGCAGCCTGGGATAGTGGAAGGTGGAACTGGATGATCTTTAAGGTCCATTCCAACCCAACCCATTCCATTATTCCATGGACCATTTTATTTTTCCACCTCCTTTTAGGAACCATGCCTGGGAAGAAGACTCAAGGGATATGGAGAAAACCATGAAGGCAGGATAATTTTCCCTCATCCAATAGCAGGCACTGTGAATCACATCTCTTTTATGTTCACACAGGAATACCAATCTCTCCCCTCACATGAGCCTTTGGGGGGGAATTTAAATCACACCCAAAACACTCCAGGTGTAATTGCTTCAAACTGCTCTGCATGTTTTTTATGTTCACACAGGAACATCAATCTCTCCCCTCACATGAACCTTTAAATCACACCCAAAATACTCCAGGTGTAATTGCTTCCAACTGCTCTATATTCCCATATTTTTGGCCACATGTTCCTGCCATCCTGAGCGAGACAGAACCAGAAATTTACAGCTCTGCCTGTGCACGTTTCTCATGGCAATAAAGAGATGTAAATCACGTTCCTCTCATCCATACCTTGCACAGTTAGCTTGGCTCTGGACTGGGCATCCCCAATGTCACAGCTGTAAGTGTCACTGTCACTTTTCTCCAGGTTCTTGATGGTCAGCTGGAGGACCTGTCCTTTCTGTGTCATCTCGTATTTCCTGCCAGCCCTGAGCTCGGCGATGCCTTTCCTCCAGACCACAGAGGATGCAGCTCTCTCACTCTGGCACACAAAAACTGCAGTTCCACTCTCGTCCACTTTCAGGTCTGAGAGTTCCTTGACAAAATAATTAGGTTTTTCTGGAAGGAAAAAGAAATAATTTTAAAAAAGGACCGAGACAGGTTTGTCACCCAAACTAATCCTGAGCATCCAGAATCATCTGCTCCAACTCATAGAATCATCAAAAAAAAAAAAAAAAAATCACAGAATCATTTAGGCTGAAAAAGACCTTAAGAGCAAGTCCACCTATTAACTTAATCAAACCATATTCCAAATAACCACATCTACACTTCTTTTTAATCACCCCTTTAGTGGTGACTCCACCATTTCCCTGGGAATCCTCTTCCAACGCCTGACCCCCCTTTCCATGAAGGAATTTCTTCTTACATCCAATCGAAAACTTGAGACCATTCCCTCTCATCCCATCAGATGGAGGGATTCTAAGATCACCAGGTCCCCTTCCTGTCACAGGATATACCAGGTGAAATATCTCCAGGAAAGTTTAATGCCATGGTCCATGGACTGGTGAGGTCTCCTCCTGCAGACAGCTTTCATCACTCATATTCAAAATAGAATAATTCAAATTGCCAGTTTTGATTGGCTTGTTACAGAGCCCATAAGATTGTTCAGCATCCAAAATATGGTTTTTCAAATCTAATTTTTTAAGCTTTTAATCAATGATTTTTTTAAAAAAAACCTAAAAATCGATCGTGTCCAGGGAGATGGAGGAGAAGAAATCTATGATTGCAGACATTTACACCCAACCTCGGAGCCTGCCAGCCCCTCTGCACCCTTCAGCTGACCTTGCACTGTGACCCTGGCTGTAGTTTTGGAGGTCTCAGTCTCACAGGTGTACTCCCCACTGTCCTTGACCGTGGAGTCTCGGATGATGAGAGTGGCCCGTGTCCCCTCCTGCTGCAGGTCGTACTTCTGGCTTTTCCTGATGGCTTTGCCATCCTTGTACCACCTGATGGTCACATCAGCTTTGGACAGCTCACAGCTCAGGCTGATGTCCTGCCCTGCTGGGGATGTTTTATTCTCCAGCTGTTTGGTAACCTCAGTAGGTTTTTCTGCAGAGATTAAAAAAAAAAAAAGATCTTTGAATGAAAATCATTTCTATATGGTTGGGGTTTTTTGCAATTCAAATCATAGAATCCCAGAATGGTTTGGATTGGAAGGGATCTCAAAGATCACCCAGTGCCAGCCCCTGCCATGTGCAGGGACACTTTGCACTATTCAGGTTGCTCCAAGCCCCATCCAACCTGCCCTTGGACACTTCCAGGGATCCAGGAGCAGCCACAGCTGCTCTGGGCACCCTGTGCAAGGTTGGAATAAAATAATGGAAGGTTCCTTCCAACCCAAACCATTCTGGAATTTCCTGATTCCATGGAAAATTACTAAGTGCAGATTATGAACCATGTCTGAAAATTACTAATTTCTTCTCTCCACTGATCACCTGGGAGCCTTGGGTGATTATCTCTGACACACAATCTGGGCTGTAACTATCTGTACACACAACCTAGTGTAGTCAGTTCTCAAATATCCATTAAAAGCTTCAATATTTCACTTGGTTTTAAGGGAAAAATCTCAGTTCTTCAAGGCTCACAAGAAAGGGAAAGGAAATTATTTTAAGGGAATATCTCCGCTCTTCAAGGCTCACAATAAAGGGAAAGGAGATTTTATTTTTAAGGGAAAATCTCAGCTCTTCAAGGCTCACAGGGAAGGTTGCTGCTGATTCAGACTATAACAAGTGTTTGCTGACAAATCTTATGAAAATACACCCAGGACTTTTCTGATCCCATTACCTTTCACAAGCAGGGAAGCCTTGGAGGAGAGACCCCGGGCAGTGAAGATGACTTCCCCAGTGTCCCCAGGAGTGACATTTTTGATACTCAGTGTGTATTTCCGACCTGCATTGGAGGCTTTAAACCTCCCCCCACTTTCCACTTTTCTCCCATTCAGGGTCCAGTTGAAGTCATCAATGCTTTCATGGGACAAAATGCACTCAAAAGTGCAATCTTCTCCCTCCTGGATTTCAGTGTTCTTGAGCCTCTTGGTGATACCAATGTTCAGTTCTGGAGAATGAAAATTGCATTAATACAAGTTAAAAATGCTTTTATGATAGATATGAGTAGAGTAAAGGAGTTTTTAACTCATAAGACAGGTTTATCTGCTAGATTGGCAGGATACCACTGTATTCCTCACAGATGGCTGGGACATGGGAAGGATTTTTCAGGCTCAGAATCATCTCAAAGTTGTACAAAAAGAGAAATGTGAATCTCCTGGCTGTGCACAGGAAGGACTGAATGAAGAACAACTCAGTGGAGAAGATTCAAGATTTAATGAGTTAGAGAAGAGAAAAGCTGTCAGAAAAGAAGCCTCTGGGACAATGGGTGAGGTTCCCCTCCATGATAGGAAAAATAAGATGTTTCAGTTTTTTGACTTGTTACTCCTGATGTTCAAACCAGACAAAATCAATTTTTTTCTCATTAATATTATGAGTTTGGAAGTCATGAACAATTCTTTGTCCTTCAGGCTGACACAAGGGTTAGAGGACAGGCTGAACAGCCGGGTTCCTCAGCAGATATGGTCCTGCTTTTGTGTTCCTACAATAACTCAAAACAGAAACAGGCTGCTTGGGTGAATTTTTTTTTGTTAATTCGGATTTTTATTTTGAGAAATTTTTGCTTTTTTGGGAGGATTTCTGCACTTTAGGGATGTTCAGGAAGGAAATATTGTCACTACATTCCTGACACCTGATTTTCACTTAGAAATCCCAGATATACTTACACCAAAATTAACAGGGATTGCTCAGACATCACAATATTGCGTGAGATTTGTTCAGGAACAGGTGAGAGCCCAAGAGACCAAGCCCACCCATATTTTTAACACCCCTTGAGAGGTCACTGTCTGTAACACTTACCCTGAACGCTGACCTTTGATTTGGCCACATCAGTGCCGATGTCACAGGTGTACAACCCTGCATCTGCCTTTTCCAGGTCATGGATAAGGAGGCACAGGGTCTTCCCAGACTGTATCTCCTCATACTTCTTGCTAGAAGTGATCTTCACACCATCCTTTTTCCAAACAGGTTTGACCTTCTCCTTGGAGACCTCACATTCCAATTTGATCACTCCTCGCTCCTCACCGAAAACATCATCCAAGGCTTTCATGAAGACAGCAGGTTTCTCTGGAGGTCAAAAGGCAAAAAAGAACAACCAGGGTGTTTGGGACACTCAGTTGCTGTCAAATCTTTAGAGGCATTGATAAACCCTTGGCAATATTGCTGATAGCAATGCAGAACCTAAACCACTATAACCCTCCATCACGACCAATTTCTTCATCCTGCTCCAAATCTCCTCATCCAAAGATTGTGTTGACACAAGGGGCTGCCCTCACCCAGGTGCAGCACCTCACAGTGACCTTGTTGAACCTCAAGAGATTCACATGGTCTCAGTTCTTGAGCATGTCCATGTCCCTCCAGACGGCACCTCAACCCTCAGGCATGTCACCTGCCCCACTCAGCTGGTAGTCACTTGCACACTTGCTGAGGGTGCCCAAGAACGTCTTAAACCACAAAAACTCAATTGTGTGACTGAGCTTGCAGACATATGAAGGACAGCAGGAAACTGTCTTCTCATGGCTGATTGAATCCAGCTCCAGAACTGATGTATTAAAAACCACAGAATTACAGAATATCCTGAGTTGGAAGGGACCCACAAGGATCATCCAGTCCAACAGCTGCCCCTGCACAGACACCCCAACAAACCCACACTGTCCTTGAGGGCATTGTCCAAACACTCCTGGAGCTTTGGCAGCCTTGGGACCACGACCATGGCCTGAGGAGCCTTTCCAGTGCCCACCACCCCCCGGGGGAAGAACCTTTTTCTGATATCCAACCTAAACCTCCCATCACTCAGGCCCAGTTGTTTCCTCAAGTCCCGCCACTGACCACCAGAGTAAAGAGATCAGTACCTGCCCTTCCACTTCTCCTCACATGAAGATGTTGAAGCCTACAGCAAAGTCTCTCCAGCTGACCAAACCAAGTGACCGCAGCTGCTCCTCTCAAGGCTTCCCCTCTAGACCTTCACCATCCTCATGGCCCATATTTAACAGCTCAACTTTTTTATCTATTAAGCAGGATTGGATCCTGCTTACTAAATCCCCATGGATTTGGTAAATAATGGCTCATTTGCACCTCTCATTTTCATTCAGGAGCGCGATCTGGACCCACCTATGACCTTCAGCCGCACGGTCTCCGACACCTTGTCTGACTTCATTGTCACCGTGCCAGCATCCTCAGGCTTCACCTGCTTCATGGTCAGCGTGTAGCACTTGCCAACATTCTTGATGTCATTGAAGTTGTTGGTGTAGAGGAGGGTGTCATTAAGGAACCACTCCACGTCCTCGTCGTCGTGGGACAGCTCGCAGGAGAACACGGCACAGCTGTCCTCCTCAACCTCCACGTCCTGCAGGTGCTTCAGGACCTCTACATTGCGGGCTGAGGGAAACCAAGAGGGATCAGTTGTGGGTTTCTCTGGGTCTGGATTGAAGGCACTTGAGACAGTAGTTCATGTTCACACTCAGGTGTTTATTATTTCTTATCAGGAAAACAGTCTCACAACCATGCGTTCTGCAGCTTTTCATTAGAAGGCACAAAATGGCCAACAATCTCGTTCCAAGGTCTTTTCAGACTAAACTATCCAATTCAGAACTGACACCTGGATTATTTTCCCTTTTAACCCAATAACTGATCCCACAGAGCTGCAATGGGGACTTTTCTGCCCAATTACAAAATGCCACCCAAACCCATGGAGAAGGAGGAAGAAGCAGCATGAAGAAGAAACCCAGGATGACACCCTGTGCCCTCCATCTTGCTTCCATCCACAACACACTAAAAATCCCAAACCTTCAATTTCTCACCAAGCGACACACCTACACTGCTCTCAGTAATCTATTTCACACTTTTGTGGGTTCCAGTCTGTCTTGAAGTGCGGGAAACTTTCTCCATGAATGAGGGTCAGAGTCAGTGCTGCCCTGGGGGTCAGGGCACCCCAGAGCAGACACAGAAATATTCCCAGTGCCCTGGGTTTCCACACACCACCATCATCATAAATTAGCTGTTATCACAAAGAATTTCATGGAGTTTATTAGATTATTTTTTTTGGTCTCCTGCACACTTTGGTCCCCATGTTTCACTTACTTGGTTCTGCATTTGCTTCAGGAGAAAAAAAAAAACTATTAAAAAGGCTAATTAAAATTGTCTAGAACCCTCAATTCTCTTTTTATATATAAATCAGTCTGGAGGTTTTGTTTGTGTTTTATTTAAAAAATAAGCAATTTTTTTCTAAAATGATGTTGCAGTGACTCTAAGCATCACACAGAGCTCCAATCACTGTGTGCTTGTCACTGCACACACAAGCACATTTTCACTAAATTGTCCCTCGCTTCCAGGGAAACTGGGACACAGAGTATGAGATGAATGAAGACAATGATTTTGGCCACACAGGCAATGTACAAAGAGCTTAAGCAGCTTGCTCAGCTTTAAGGAGCAAGAGGATCTTGGTTCTTTTCTTTCCCCGTCCTTGGGCAGAGATTTTTCCTTGCAGCTTCTCTGCTCATGGAATGCTGTTGTCAAGGAGGAGATAACTCAGAAGAGGTTTTGGGACTATTACTTCATTTTCTTTTTTTATATATATATATATATATATATGTTTGGATAGAATGGAGTCACAGAATCATTCAGGTTGGAAAAGACCTCTAAGACTGAGTCCAGCCATTCCCCCAGCACTGCCAAGGTCACCATGAAACCACATCCCCAAAACTTTTCAATCCCTCCAGAGATGCTGACATCACCACTGCCCTGAGTATTTAATTTCAATGTCTGACAATACATTCAATGAAGAACCTCTGCAAAGCCAAACTGCTACCAAGAGCTGCTCCCTGCACTTCTTGAAATTATTCTGTAGCTCAGCTCCAAGTCTTTCTAGAAGTGACACAGTGAACATCTTTTCTTGCAGTGTCACCTGACGGGAAGAACTGGCTAAAAACAGTTCTGTGCCCAGATGGGGCAGAACATCACTATGAATAATAATTGCATTCAGATATATAATAATAGCTATAAAATATATTTTATAGATGTTATTTATATATAAAATATATATAAATAGTAGCTATAAAATATATTTATATAAAATATTTATTTTTTTATATAAAATATATTTTATATAAAATATATCTGTAGACAAATGTATACAGATGTATAACAATACAAATGTATAACAATGGCAGATAGAGAAGCTGACTCAGATGTCAGGAAAAGAAAATCACAGCCAAGATGACCAGAACTGGAGGCCTGTAGTAGTTGAATATAAAGGATATTTACAGGTGAAAGCCCCAGAGGTCTAATTCCTTGTATGAAACGGACAATGATGTGCCTTGACAAATGTTAACTTGTGCCTTACCCAGCTGCTGCCCTCCCACACGCATTACCAACTTCCCAGCAAGAGATGGATTTCAGGATTGTGGAATCAGCAGTTTGCTTGTGACGCTGCATTTATATAAAATCAGGAGGTAACTGTGGGAATCTACCTCTCCTCAGGAGGAGGAACCTTGAGTGAAACAGAGAATCATAAAGACCAGCTCCAGGCCAGCCCTGCTGCTGCAAACCTCTCGTACCTTCAACGCTCAGCGTGGCTTCGGTCTCGGCGATGCCAGCCTTGCATTTGTACACGCCAGCATCCTGGGGCTTCACCTTCATGATCTTCAGCTCTGCTGAGTACTGGTCCCTCTTGATTCTGTACTTCTCCGAGGGCTCAATGAGCTCTTGGCCCTTGAACCACTTGACGTGCTTTGGGGAAGGCCTGAAGTCACAGGACAGGATGACCGAGTGCCGCTCCAGGACGGTCTTGTCCTCCAGCTTCCTGGTGATCTGGATGTGGTAATCTGCCAGGCAGGGGTGGGGAAGAAGAATGGATCAATCTAAAGGAGAGGAAGGTTTTAATCTGTATTTCATGCCCATTAATTTCATATATGATTGTCTGTTTTGTGAACTGCTCAGGTCCTGCTACAAGTGTCTCTAAGAGATCTCAAGTGCTTTGAAGCTACAACAGCACGATGATCTATAAGGAAAGCTGATTTCTGTAAGATAATACTGTGTATTAACCCCCAAATTCAAGGTCCACTTCTGGCTCTGTGCTTGCTGAATTGCACTCTAATTGAGGTTTTCATTCAAGTAAGAGTAAATGAAAGACAAAACAAGGACTTCAGGACGTGATTGAAGAGATTTACCATGGTGACAGCAGAAGATAAAAAGCCTTAAGGCTTTGTCCTGCATCAAGTCAATGACAAAATTAATTAAGTAAATGAGCTATCAAACTTGTCTAGCTCATAAACGGGACAAAATAAACTCTCCTGGCAAATTTCATCTGTTTTGTCCTCCTTGGTAAAGTCAAGAGAATAAAAATAAAATAGAAACCAGTTTTAGCTTGATAGATTTGAATACCAGGGACACCAAAGTCATTTAAATCAGATCCCTTCCTAAGACATTTCTGGCTCAGTTGGTGCATCCAGCATTGCTCCCAACTTGCAGCTGGGAACCAAACACGTCTTCCAGGTACATAGACATTTCCAAGAACCCAGCGCAGAACAGAGAATATTTATGACAAATTACTTTCCAGATACTGTGAGAGGGAAGATCTTTGGTTCTGATTCACATGATATATATTAAAAAATCACATTACCTCTGACGAGCAGGTTCGCTGTGGATTTGGATTTGCCAATGGAGAACTGGATGGTGCCTGTCATATCAACACTTGTTTTTATTATTGTCAGCCTGTGGATGGTGCCTTCCTGCTGCATGATGATGTTTCTGCCAGCCTGCAAGGCTGCTCCCTTCAGGAACCACTTGGCAGGTTTCACAGATGGAATGGATGTCTCACATTCAAAATTGGCTTCTTCAGGCTCAGTCACATCCTCATCACACAATTCTTTTACAATATTAATGGCTTGCTCTGGATGGAACAAGAGAGCAGGGATTTAGGAGTCATGAAAGCTTTTCCATTATCAGCCTGACCACTCAAGACATCTTTTCTGCACTTATGAACTCAAAAGGCCTTAAAACATCTTTTATTCTGTATGAAAGCAAACACACATTGCTGGTCACAGGCCAGAAAGTGAATCTATATCTCTTGATTCCTAGTCCTAATTCTAAAGTCACCTTCCTATCCTGGTATCAAATATGTAATACAATAAAATGGAAAAGAAGGTTCATTGGAATGCAGATGTTAATAAAACGAGCTGCAACATTAATCTGAAAAACAGACTTTATCCAATACATTTGATAAATGTCTCTGAAATGGGAATTCCCTCATTCTCCTTAGGAGAATATACCATACATTAATTTTTCAGCATGTTCCTGTGTGTAAAAGGATTGAACACCAATGGACTTCATAAAAAATAACATGAATTAAAATTCATTTTTAAGCAGTATTGTGTTTCCAAAGCAAACAACAAGTGAGTCAGCCTATCCTTTCCAATGTAAACAACAAATGAGTCAGCCCATCCTCCTCCCAGTGCATTCTAGGGGTGAAAAAGAGAGGTTTGCTACCTTCAACGAAGAAATTAGCACTGGTTCTGTCATCGAAGGCATCACAGGTGTACGTGTCCTCATCCTCGTAGTCGGCGTCGTTGATGACGAGTTTGCGATAGACGCCCTCGCTCACGATCTCGTATTTCACACCAGGGTGAATTTCCCTGTCCTTTTTGAACCACCTGACCTTGGCATTGGCCCGGGACACCTGGCACTCCAGGACCCCCCGGTGCTTCCACAGGGCGATCTTATCCCGCAAGGGCTTCACGATTTTCACGGGCAGCTCTAGGAGGGCAAAGAAAACGGAGCCATCAGTACAGTCTCCATTGCTCTCATTAACATTATTTCTTTTATGTTCAGTAATTTGGATGATGAAAGGAATCCCTGCTAGGCTGAGCACTCAATTAACAACTTTAATTGTTATTTTTTCTTAAAAACTCTTAAAGTTTCCCTTTTAGAGTTATTTAAAGGGAAACTTTCTCTCCATGGTTTACCGCTGGAGTGGCTGAACTGCAGAAGTAACAGGTGGTTTTTCCTCAACTCCTCACAGCAGTACTACAGCAAAACCAGGGACTGATCTCCAATTTCCTGAGATCCTCAGCAGTGCATCCTCCTTTTCAAATTCAAACATCCTCCTTTTCTCTCCTTCTATCACATTGTTTTAGTTAAATGCACCCAAAATGGCTGGGTTTTGTTACAACATGCACCAGAAAGTGAAAATGCAAAAAAAAAGTCAAGCTACAGCTTTTTGTGCCTCAAATTTCACACACAAGTTTAAATTTCTAAAGGTGCAAATCCAACCTTCTGAGAAAATTTAACTAGAATTAAGCCAAAATAAACTCCCAGCTGATATTTACCAGGCAGCAAAGTAGGCAGGTTTTCTTTCTCTGAACACTGTAGGACTTTTTTTAACCTTCACACGTGCAAAGTGAGGGAAGTGAATTGGTTTGTAATGTGAGATAGCAGAAGCAGTGCTGGCACGAACAGCACAATTACCTTTTACAGTCAGGTGAGCACGAGATTCTGCTTTTTCTGCTACGAATTTGATCTCAGCTGCATCCTCGACCTGGACACGTGCATACGTCAGGGAATAGGTTTTTCCTGGGAACAGACACACAAACACAGCTCAGATATCCCAGAGCAAAACCCCATTATCTAGTCTCCCATGCCAGTCCCTCCTCTATCCCACCCCCATTCTGTGGTGGTTCCAGCTGTGGGTTTCTCTGGGTCTGGATTGAAGGCACTTGAGACAGTAGTTCATGTTCACACTCAGGTGTTTATTATTTCTTATCAGGAAAACAGTCTCACTGCTGTGAGCTTGGCAGTAAGGCACAAAATGGCCAACAATCTCTTGTTCCAAGGGCTTTTAAGACTAAACTATCCAATTTAGAACTGACACCTGGATTATTTTCCTTTTTAACCCAATAACTGATCCCACAGATCTGCAATGGGGACTTTTCTGCCCAATTACAAAATGCCACCCAAACCCATGGAGAAGGAGGAAGAAGCAGCATGAAGAAGAAACCCAGGATGACACCCTGTGCCCTCCATCTTGCTGCCATCCACAACACACTAAAAACCCCAAAACCACAATTTCTCACCAAGTGACACACCTACACTGCTCTCTATAATCTATTGCACACTTTTGTGGATTCTGGTCTATCTTGTAGTCTGGGAAACTTTCTCCATGAATGAGGGTCAGAGTCAGTGCTGCCCTGGGGGTCAGGGCACCCCAGAGCAGACACAGAAATATTCCCAGTGCCCTGGGTTTCCACACCATTCCAGACCAAAATCCCCTTTTTTTCCTCCTACCATCCTGCCGCATTTTGATGTTGTCGGAAGTCTTCAGCTTGTTGTCATTTTTGTACCACTGGGTTTCCACCTCGTCGTGTGAGATCTCACAGATGAAAGATGCACTCTCATATTCGTTCACTTCCACATCTTCCAGTGGTTTTACGATCTTGACATCTCGGGCTGTGAAGTCATAAAGACAAATATTTATTTGGGAGTTTCTCCATAAGTGAGAATGGTGTGGTTACTTTCTGTATAACTACATGGAAAAAAAGGGGATTGTATTTATTGTATTCTAGACCAGCCTTTCTTCCTGTTCTGGGTAGTTTCTCTCTTCAATACAGTGAATACTTTTTATGGCTGAAGCTTACTGTAAGAGGATTTTACATATGCTGGAACTTCATGCAGGTATATGAGAAATACTCATATTAATGAAAGCAAATTCGCCAAGAAAAACTAAACACAAGTCTACAATCTTAGGTCATTATAAACTGCCTCATTCATTCTTCAGCTGCAATCTGTTTTAGATAGGAGACACCTTTTTCCAGAGTCTCCTGAACTGAGTATAATCCTCTTTAACTCTGCACCTTGGCACTCCTTTTGTCAGGACTGATCTATTTATCTGTGCAACTGCAGCCCTTTCTCTTAAGAAAGGGCCTTAATACACCTTGGATCACCTCAGGAGCAGAGCTGAAATCCAAACAAAACCCATTCCAACCCAAAACCAGGGAGAAAAGGGGGAATCCATGGGGCAGATTTTCATGAAGATACTGCAGAACCCAAGTGTCCACATGAGGACAGCATCTAGTAAGCAATGAGAAAGATGCTCTGTCTTTCACTAAGAAAGAGCTGATCTGTTTTTACCATGCCCCTTTAGAAAATAGCATCTGCCAGGGCACAGGAGAGCTGTCTGTTGAGTAACTTGCCTTTATCTCAGAGCTTATCTCAGGTGCTTCAGAGCCTGGTGACAAAACACCAAACACAGACACCTGGTGCTTCATCAGTTGCTCAGTGCAAAACTCAGGTGGAAAAACTGCCCCGAGCAGAAAGGAGAGGTTCAGGCAGAAATAAGTACCCTTTCCTTAGCATTTACAACCTAAAGATGAGGGCACTTCTTGAGCTTATCCAGTCCCTGTTCAGGAAAATTCCCCCCATGACAATGGTGCCACCAAACCACATCAGCACCAGCCACTGAATCCCTGCTTTGGGCCAGGCTGCCCGGTATTTCCTAATGTGCCAATCCAGAAACACCATTCAGATTCCAGAGAATAGAAATCACTTATGAGAAATGGAAAACTGAGTTAGCACCTCTTCCAAAAATACAGCAAGGATAGAGCAAGCACGGGACAGGTTTGCCAGCGTTTTCTCACCGAGAAGAGAAACTTAACCAAAACAAGCAATTGTGAAAAATAAACACTCCACTAAGAATTTCTTGCAGTGTAGCCAAAAATGCTGCAGTAAATGTATGTTCCTACTTCAGGCAAACATACCATGAACCTTTAGAGTAGCTGATGTCTTGTCTTCAGCTGCTTGACATGTATAGGTTCCCTGGTCTTCATATTCACACTTGTGAATAATGAGGCTTCTCTTATTTCCTTGGGAGACAATCCCAATGTTTTTACTTTGTCGGATCTCCTTCCCATCCTAGAAAGGGAAAAGGTCAAAGTAGATCACCCTCAATTCCTGTAGATCTGCAGTGAGCAAAACAGACATTCAGATCTGTGCTTATTTCATCCTTCTCATTGGACTGAATGGAAAACTGTGTTTAAAGGAACGTGTTGAATATTCATCAAAGGGCAAAGATTTCAGGAAGTTGGAATAGCTGAGGAACACACAGAAATTTTGGATCATCTCCAACATCTTTTTTGAAGGCTTAAAACACCATGCAGGGTTGGCAGTGAGTCCCTTCAGACACAAATGGTTTTCAACTAAAAGAGGGTGAAATTTAGGCTGGAAAAAAGGAAGAAACTTTTCACCATGAGGGTGGCCAAACACCAGCACAGGTAGCCCAGAGAGGTGGTGGATGCCCCATCCCTGGAAACATTCAGGAGCAGGTTGAAAAGGGCTCTGAGCAACCTGATCTGCCTGCAGATGTCCCTGTTCATGGCAGGAGGTTGGAAATGAGATGACCTCTCCAGCCCAAATTCCACCTTGAAGAACTGCTGCTACCCCAAATCAAGGAAAGCACCACCTGAGCCCCAAGGGAGGCTGATGAAATGCCAGAGCTGATCCTCAAAATGACTGTAGGGAAAAGGAACTGTATTCCCTTCCCTGCCAAAGGAAATTGAGGCTTCCCTTTATATCCCATTCCCCAAAAGGCTGTAAATCCTGGGTGAATACTGCTTGGTGTGAAGTCAAGCACAGCACTGCAAATCTGTAACAGCAGTGCTCACATTCTGTGCAAGAATAAAAAAGTTTAACTTTCAATCCAGTTTATAAATACAGTAAATAAAAACCTGAGAGCGATTAATTGGGAGAGTAAATGAAGATAAGGACAAGAGAGCAATGCTAAGAGCTTTACTGCAAAGGCTCAGGCTCTTATTCCCTGGAAATAGAACTAAAGGCTCCCATTCCCTTCCAGAGAAGTCAGAAATTAAAATATCACAATCCATTAAGTGCTGTACCTTGAACCACTTCACATTGGCATTGGGTTTGGACAGCTCACACTCAAATGTGGCCTTGAGCTTCTGAGTTACACTGACATCTGCCAAAGGCTTGCTGATCCTCACAGGCAATTCTGGGAAAGAAAGACAAATGGGGAATGGGGTCACACAAGCACCGATGGATAGGTTGTCATGATAAATAAAATTTGTATTGGTTTGGGCACTTTATCATTGTTTTGTGGACAGCGATGCCACAATGACCCTGTTGGCATCAGAAGGAGACATTACTGGGCTTTACATCCCTTGCAGTGACCAGGAAAATTTGCTGCCCTCTTTAGTTTACTCTCCAGGTCAGGAGAAGACAATGGCATCCACCCCAAGCAGGGCTGGAGCCTCCTGTGCCCCTGTACCTTTCACAGTGAGCCTCCCTGATGAGCTGATGCCCTCTGCTTTGAAGGAGATGACTCCTGCATCTTCCAAAGCCACTGAGGACAGAGTCAGCGAGTGTTTCTTGCCCAGGACACCGAAGCTGACGTTGGGTGAAGGTTTCAGACGAACACCATCCTTCTGCCAGGTGCTCTCCACGTCCTCGTGGGACACCTCCACCTCGAAGGTGACAGTCCCCTTCTCAGCCACCTCCAGGGGCTGGAGGCCTCTCACCAGCTTGATCTGCCTCACTGGAAAACAACAAGGAAAAGTTGGAGATCTCACACCTGTGAAATAGCCTGAGGACTTCCAAAATGGATTATTTCCTCATTGCTCACGTACCTGCCAATTAGTTGGTATTTGCCAATTAAACAACCACTTTTACAGGAAATAAAACCTGTCCATGACCACAAAGCTAACATGTCTGCTATTTTTTAAATGGGTACCTTCATGAGAAAAACAGGTCAAACAAATATGACAGAAAACACCACTGGCCCCTTTTCTATTGAGGTCTATCAGAATTTAGTAAAAGAAAGACAAATAATTACATGGCAGTACTGTGCAGTCCTTCAATTAAGATAAAATAAGGATGGGCAGAAAAAGTTATAGCAAAAGGAAAAAAAAAAAAAAAACCATGACTGGTGCAAAAAGTGCTGACACCTCACAGGTTGGTGGCCAAAGCTTGGGTGGACATTACCCATTCCTGTGAAAAGACATCCCTGCCCTGTCATCCAGTAAAATGGATTTAGTGTTTAAACTTGTATCACCACTAAAAGTAATTAAGTTGCCAATTAAAAAAAAAAAACCAAAAACACAATGAAGCCTCCAAGACCTCTCCAGACAACCTATTCAGTCCTCTGACCATTAAAAAGCCTTTTTAGAATATAACCTAGATCTTTATCACTGCACCTGAAGTCCATTATTTTCTGGCATCATGGAGATTGTTCCCTTCCACTTTGTAAGACATGAAGCACCCAAAAGACTGTTTTAAAGTCTTTCCTCACCTATTATTTAGAACCAGCCCAGCACTAGTTGGTGGCATGGACTTTATGGACAAAATTAGACAGAGTCTTTGAGTATTTAAACCCTGTTTTCAAATACCCTGTGACAATTATTACAAAAAATAAAAAAAAAAAAGTAGGAAAGGGACAGAAGCACAGGGCTATGGATGAGGCACAATTCATTTACTGAAGAGTGAAACACCCTCAGAGAGAAGATCTGGTTTTGTATTTTTTTAGACCTTGACTGAATATAAAGAGACATTCTGAATGAGGTGGTTTGCAGAGAAAAATCAGGGCAATGGATGGCTGGGGAGGGATTTTTGGTAAAAAAATCATACCAAGGACAAACACAGAGCATATCAGGGAGTGAGAAACAGAGGAAAGAGAAGAATCTTTCCAGCAGCTTAAAGGTCAAAGCTGGTGGGATGAGATGGAGGAAACAGGAACCTGTCAGACATTCTCTGCTCATGGCTTAGCTTTCACCTCCTCTTGGTCATTTGACTGGCTTGGTCCCTGTGTCCCCATGATAATGCAGGGACCAGAACCCACCTCCAGACCCTGCCTGGGGTATTTATAGAGCTGAGGGTCACTGAACTCACTTTCCACATTGATCTTGGCCTGGGTGGTGTCATCAGGGCTCTCGCAGCAGTAGAAGCCCCGGTCTGCGAAGGAGATGTCCTTGACCACCAAGGTGTGCTTGGTTCCCTCAGCTTTGATCTCTACCTTGTCACTGGGCTTCAGCACAATGCTGTTCCTCATCCACTTCACCTCTGCAGGCTTGGTCAGCTCTACCTCCAAGGTCACTGTCTCCCTCTCTTCAACTGTTTTGGGCTCCAGCTTCTTCTTGAAGGAGATTGAGGCCTCTGCAGGAGAGGAAATAATAGTGGGAATGTGGAAGATCCAGAAAACAGGGTTTGAAAGAATTTTGAACCAGTGGCTCATGAACTCCAAACCCAAAGCATTCTGGGCACTCCTATTTAATAATGCATAAGCAGAAATTCTCTGCTGCTAACATAATTAATTAGAGGGAAAGCCACATAAAACAACATCATAACAGAATGGCTTGGGTTGGAAAGGACCTGAAAGACCATCCAATTCCAAGCCCCTGACATTTCCAGCCTGTCAAAGGGGCACTGCCACCTCTTACCTCTGACTCTGAGGTTGGCTGTGCTCTCCACGCCCTCAGCATTGGCAGTGATTTCAGCTGCATCCTCCAGAGTCAGGTCAGTGATGGTGAGGCTGTGGTTGGTGTCCTTCTGAGAGATCACGTATTTCTTGCTGGCTTCAATCTTGGCGCCATTCCTGAGCCAGGTGACCACAGCATCACTAGGGGAGACGGTGCACTTGAACACGGCCTCTTTTCCCTCCTCAGACACCACACTGTTGAGACTTGTGACAAATTTCACCACTCTGGGAGCTGATGGATAGAGGTAAAATATTCAGGAGCATGTCCTTGAGTACCTCCAAACAGCCAAAAGCTTCCATGGCTTTCTTAGAAGCAGCAATTTGAGTACAGCATAATACTGTACTGAAAAACAGGAAACTCATTAAATACAGTAATAAATACTCAGTAAACATAGTAAGTGATCATAAAAGTGGATCATCATATTTCCCATATCTGACTTTCTTGGAAGCAGCAATTTGAACACAGCATAATACTATACTCAAATAAATACAGGAAACTCAGTAAATGCAGTAATAAATACCCAGTAAATACAGCAATAAATAGTCAGTTAATACAGTAAGTGATCACAAAAGTGGATCATCATATTTCCCATGTCTGAGTAAATTTTTTGTGCAAAGAGAAGCAAAAAAAGAGGGGAAATAAAATCCCATCTTTTATTTGGGAAAATGAATTCCAGCCTCAAATGCAATATGAAGAGACCCGAGCCAGGTCTCACAATCATTATGTTCTTCACAAATAGAGGCTCCACTGACTCTGAGAGAGGAATTCTATATTTTGTTCTCAACACAGGAGTCACCCCAGACATATGGAAAAACTCAGCTTTGCAGGGTTCTAAACACTGAGGACAAAACCCAGGGCCCCCTGCACACTATCACCATTAGAGACATACGTTTGGGGACGATGGTGATGCTGCTCTTGTCATCCCTGGACTCGCAGGAATATTCTCCCTCGTCCTCAGCCCGGATCCCCGTTATGGTCAGGATCCGTTTGGTTCCCTCCTCACGGATCTGGAAACGCTTGCTGGCCTTGATCTCCACGCCATTCCTGCTCCACGTCACCTTCCCCTTGGCGTGGCTCAGCTCACAGCTCAGGGACACGCTGCCACCGAGCTCGGCTTTCCCGGCCTCCAGCTTCTTGGCAAACTTCACCGGGATTTCTGAGGTCCGGGAGAAGGGGAAAAGCGTGAGGGAGGGAAAGAGAAGAAATATGTTGCAAGAAATTGGTTCTGCCCAATTGTGGGAATAAATAAATAAATAAATAAAATGGCCCTAAGCATTTGGGGCTCAGGGGAGACAAAATCTAATCAGAAATGTGGAAATTCAGGCAGATTCCTTTGACGTGGTGTTTTCAGATCCCTGTCATTTTTATAGGAGGACACAGAAACAGGAGGGGAGCAAGCACCAGAAGCACTCATCATAGGCTTCCAAACTGGCCAGCAAAAGACAAAAACTGAAATTCTTTATAGTTTTTTTTAATTTTTAAGAATTTTTTGGGTTTTTTATGATTTCTACAATTTTTATTGTTTAAAAAATGTTAATGACTTCAAGATTTTTTTATGATTTTTACATTTTTAATGACCTTTAAAACTTTTATTGCTTTTAAAATTTTAATGCTTTTTAAAAATTGTTTACGAGTTTTAAAAATTGTTTACGAGTTTTAAATTTTTTTATGTTTTTCAAAAGTTTTTCAGAAAGTTTTTCAGAAAGTTTTTCTGGAAGCTGGAGAACTTTGCCAGCCCACAATGGGGCATCCAGAGAAGGTACAACAAGCCTTGAGGTTGGAACAGCTTCCAGAAGAGTTTGGATTCCACCTCCGCCCCACCATGAGGGAAGTGCAGCTGCTGGGCTGGGCCGTGACCTGGGCACTGCTCACCTTTCACCTGGACCCTGAATTCCTGCTTGTCATCCTTTGTCTGGCAGGTGTAGAGGGCAGAGTCTGTGCTCTCAGCTGCGTTCACTGTCAGCGTCCTGGAGGCCCCCTCACTTTTGATCACACATTTCTTGCTCGCCTTGATTTCTGTGCCGTCCTTGAACCACCTCACTGCAGCGGTTTCAGGCGTCACTGAGGTTGTCAGGGTGATGCTTTCGTGTTCTTGAACAATGAGAGGCTCTTTCTGGACAACTTTCTTTTCAAATTTAGCCTCTGGTTCTAGAAAAGATAACAAGCCAGGAAAATTAACAACTTAATGCTCAAATCCTTGAGCAGTTTTTAAAAAAAGGCAATTTAAAAAAAAGGCATAAAACAAAGGAGTTTTATACTGCTCTCTCTTCACACCACCAGCTCATCCATAACCTGTAATAATCCAGGGAATGTGGCTGGTATGATCTTTTCCTGAGCAAGAAGAAAGAAAATGGTCTCTCAGGAAACCCAGAGCTTTTGTTTAGAAAACAAGCAGAGGAAAGGAAATGCAAATATTTATAGTTTATCTGCTGCCCATAAAAGGTTTGTTTCTTAGAAGTAAAATTACTTATATAATTCTTTCCCTTCTCCTTTTTAGGATCTTAGATAAAATTAAGAAGAGACATTAATGGGCTGAATTTCTGGCCTGTTTTCTATTTGCTCCATTGGCAGGAGGGCTGGAACTCAACATTTAAGGTTCCTGCCAACCCAAACCATTCCGTGATTCCAGTCTCTTCTTCTTGGCCTCCTTTCTATCTTGTATATTAGTTTTTCTGGGTCTGGATTGAAGGCACTTGATACAGTATTTCATGTTTGGACTCAGGTGTTTATTTTTTCTTATCAATAAAACAGTCTCACTACTGTGAGTTCTGCAGCTTTTCACTAGCAAGGCACAAAATGGCCAACAATCTCTTGTTATAAGGTTTTCTAAGACTAAACTCTCCAATTAAGAAAGGATACCTAGATTATTTTGCCTTTTAACCCAATAACTGATCCCACAGAGCCTGCAGTGCAGACTTTTCTGCCCAATTACAATACATCATCAAACCCATGAAGAAGGAGGAAGAAGAAGGTGAAGAAGAACAACTTGCCACCACCCTAAAACCTCCATCTTGCTTCATATTTATTTCTATATTCTAAAATCCCAAACTCTAAGTTTTCCACCCTGTGATATTACACACTTCTAACCAACTACATACCCATAATCTCAGTAGTATTAATCAATTTTGGAAGCTTCTCCACAGCCTTAGGTCAAATGCAGTGTTCTCTTGTGGGTCTGTGCCTTTAAGCACAGAAAGTTTAAAATTCTCAGCGTCCAGGATTCCAACACCTGTACAACCTTTTGCCACAAATCCAGGCATTTTTGGGGCACACACAAGCAGCAGAGCAGGTTTTCTGAGTCACTTTTCTCCACAGCTCCATTGCTACTCTGCAAACTGCCCATGTCTACTTCCAACTCCCCATCACTGAAAGAGGTTGGATGATGTGGTGTGTAAAAGAGACGGGCAAAAAGCTAGGTAGCATTTCCATACCCCCCAAAAAGTACAAATTTCCCACCTCTACACTGCTAGATTAAGAATTAATGGGTCATGTAGCTCACTGGTGTTTCTCCAGGTGAGGCAGTGGCTGTGCCAAGGCTGCTGTGACAGGAATACCCAGTTTTCCTCTAAGCCACAGGGACTGGTTCTTCCCACCACAAAGTGAGCACTCACCAGTTGCTTCCAGTTTGAAGGTCATTTTCTGGCCTGCAGCCTCACATATGTATTCCCCAGCATCCTTCTTCTCCAGCTGCCCCACCACCAGGCGCCGGGATTTGCCCAAGGTCTCTATTTTGAATTTCCGAGAGGACACGAGCAGTTTTCCATCCTTGTACCACTTCACTTCAGTTGTGTCCTGGGCTACCTCGCACATGAGGGTGGCACTTTCTGTCAGGACAGCCTTCACCTCCTTCTGGACCTTTTCCTGGTTTATAAATGCAGGTTTGGGCTCTGAGCACAGAAAAGGAAGAAAATAATTGTTGACAGGTTAAAATTAGATTAATCGTACAGATTTCTGTGGAGAGGTTTGGAAAATATTTAGGTTGCCACTTGGCACAACCAATTGCCATCACTGAGCAGTGTCTACCCTTCTGTGGGATGAAGTTGCCACTTGGAAAATTGGGAAATAAGAGCCTAGGAACAGAAAGGACCAAGAGAAGCCTTGACATCAACTCTACAGTTGCAAGTCACTAGGTAAAAATATATTTCAGTCAAACTTTCCCAAAGAACATCTGTCCTGCATATCACTGCAAACTCCAGAATTCCCTTTCCCTAAGAACTCAGACACAATAAAGTAATTTCTTGGAGTATTTCACAGCAAAGGAGCATTTAGCACCTGGCAGGAATAGTAAGACACCTCAAAAAACTGAGATCTCAATAACACAATACCCCCCCCCCCCAAAAAAAAAGTGCTCTTTACAATCTGCTGCTGATACTGCAAAGGACAAAACACAACCCAGACTCTAAATCTTCTAAAATGGGATTGCAAGACTAACAAGGAAGGGATTCTGCAATGGGTCTTTGCTTTCAAGAAGTTCAGTGTACAACTTTGGGATCGCAAGAATGGAAGGGATCTGAGTATTAATTATTTCTGTTATATTTATAACTACTATTAAACCTGCTAAGTATGAAACAGAGCTTGTACCATGCTAAATCCAAATATTCCCATTTCCACAAATCCAGGCAACCAAGCACAGAACATCAAGTGGAGCCTGCAGGCTGCAACAAACCCCAACTATTGCAACTGAGTCATGGCAGAGTAGTTATTTCAATCATTGCTGTATTGGCCTCTACTGAATTCTGACAAAGAATCTTCTCCTACCTGTGACATCGATCCTGAAGGTGAGTTTTTGGCCAGCAGCCTCACAGGTGTACTCCCCTGCATCTTTCTTCTCCACCTGACCCACCACCAGGCGACGCGATTTGCCCTCCGACTCCACCTTGAACTTCTTGCTGGAGCTGATCAGTTTCCCGTCCTTGTACCACTTCACCTCTGTTTTCTCCTGGGCCACCTCGCAGCTCAGCGTGGCATTTTCTGACAGTGCAGCCTTCACCTCTTTCTGCACCTTCTCCTTGTTTGCAAACACAGCTTCTGGCTCTGGAAAGAGAGAGAAATCCAGACTTTCTCCAAAATATGATTTTGCTCAAACCCGCTATTGTGGCTTACAGGTAACACTGGAAAAAACCCCTCTGACATGACAGTCAACATCTAAGTCTATCAGAGGAACATACAAAGGACCTTGTGGTGTTTTTTTGCCTTTTTTGGGTTTTTTGACAGCAGTAATCTCTCTATGGTTCATAAGAACGTTGACTGGCAGGACCCAGTCAAGGTAGGACATGTTTTGGTTGTAGTTAATTGCAAACTATCAAATTATCAGAGGAAGGAGCTGTTCTGTGTTGCATTATAATCCAATAAAATTTATTTCTTTGATTTTTAGCAGCTGCTTCTTCTTAGATCATTTTGTGAAGTGAGAAAGGTGCTAGACCAGCAATGACATGTCCAGGACCCTGTTATTTGTTCTGAGTGCAATCTTGGGAAAAGCTCAGCTCTTCCAAATGACGAAATCCCCTTGTTCCAAATGGCAAAATCCCCCTGTCCTCCAGAGACACATCAGTCACACCACTTGCAATTGGATTGGGAAGCTGTGAGGGAGCTGGGAAGCTGAATCTATTTCACCTCTTCACAGTCCCAGTAAGGAAACACAACTGGGATGAGTCTCCATGACACCTTCTTTCCTTACTTGCCATTTTCTTGACACTTTAATGACCTTAATATATATCAAGCCCTACTTCCACAACTCCCTTCAGACTGAAATGAGCACTTCCAAGGGAAAGAAAAGGAGTGTGGACATTGGGCAGGCTCTCCACCATCACCCTGCACTGAGAATGAGCTGTGGTGCAGATTTGTTCTTGTTGCACCATGACAGAAGGAAGGAGATGCACAATCAGTACCTTCTTTATTACAGACTTTTTCCTCCATGGTGTGTATTTTCCAAAATTTTCCAGGGATTCAGCTCCCTGTTTTAAGGATTTAAAATATTTTACAATGTACAAAGAATACATGAAGAAAACTCATATTTGTACCCATCCTAGGCCATGCCAACGATGTAATCCAAAAATTTGAAGCATAACACGAAGAAGACATACAAAATAATGTTAATTTTTCTGAAGTTTCTAGAAATAACACCGATGGCCAAAGAACCTTCTCCTACCTGGGACATCAATCCTGAAGGTGAGTTTTTGGCCAGCAGCCTCACAGGTGTACTCCCCTGCATCTTTCTTCTCCACCTGACCCACCACCAGGCAACGCGATTTGCCCTCCGACTCCACCTTGAACTTCTTGCTGGAGCTGATCAGTTTCCCGTCCTTGTACCACTTCACCTCTGTTTTCTCCTGGGCCACCTCGCAGCTCAGCGTGGCATTTTCTGACAGTGCAGCCTTCACCTCTTTCTGCACCTTCTCCTTGTGGACAAAAGCATCTTCTGCCTCTGCAATCGAGGGTACAAGGGCAAATTTTGAAAATTCACAGATCCCTTCCCAAATGCACACATCACCTTTTCAATTCTGGTGCTGAAATTAATTTTCCATTCACATTCCTTGCTGCCATCACCAACTGAATTTTTAACATTTGAATTACATCACGTGCCAGTGAAGGAGTCATTCTCTGATAGCCCAAGACACAGCCTCAAAATTGCTTTAATTTCCACCACTACCTTTCTTCAAAATCTGAAGAAAGTAACATATCCAAAAATCCAGCAGCACTAAGGTGGATGAGGTCTCTCAGAATAAGGTTTGCTGTAAGAGGACAAGCATTAAATTGCCCAACCAACCCAAGATTTGTAATTTACTTTGCCAACAAAACAAAGATAGTGTTGGGAAAAACAAACTTTGTGAACCTATTCTGTGTCTGTATCTTTATTTCCCAACTGTTCTCAAGATGTGAAATTTTTTTTTTCTAATGAATGAAAATTAGCCAGCCCCAATTGTATTTGCACCATGTCATGGCCAAAAATAAATCTAATGTATGAACTCTTCAATTTGCTTTAAATTCATTGGGATCCAACTGAAGGATGTCAAGATTAAAAGCTGTCTTGAATATCAAGGTGAAAAGAGCTTTTCTTCATTTTTTTTTCCCTCATCTCCTGCTTCTGAGAAGAGTTTTGGCATTTCCATCCAGTTGACAGAGGCCATATTATAAAGGTTTCCTCTATAATAAACTATATTTCAGAAAGGAGCTTTCACAAGAGAACACCTGTGCTCAGATTTGCTGCACCCTTTGATTACTCCAGTAATTTTGGCATTCCCAGTTTGCTATCAGTGCATCTCTCCAAGATTTCCAGGGATTTTCCCCAGAGATCTTCACCATGACCTGAGTTTGGGGCTACAGAAATGCACTGCATGCTCAGTTTCTAAAAAACAAAGACAGATCTAACAGCATGAACACAATTTCATGAGTAAACCACCAGTTAAGTGATGGACTGTTGAGACGGAGCTTGACAAGCCATATAACCTTCCCCTCCTTCAATTTTTCAGGATGAAAACCAGGAATTTTGATTTTTCAGGGTGTAAAACAGGGATGCAGCACATTCTCTCACCTTTGACATCAACCCTGAAGGTGAGTTTTTGGCCAGCAGCCTCACAGGTGTACTCCCCTGCATCTTTCTTCTCCACCTGACCCACCACCAGGCGACGCGATTTGCCCTCCGACTCCACCTTGAACTTCTTGCTGGAGCTGATCAGTTTCCCATCCTTGTACCACTTCACCTCTGTTTTCTCCTGGGCCACCTCGCAGCTCAGCGTGGCATTTTCTGACAGTGCAGCCTTCACCTCTTTCTGCACCTTCTCCTTGTGGATAAAGGCATCTTCTGCCTCTGAAATAGGGAAAATACATAAGATGTAAATATCTTTTGTCTAGAAGTTCCTACTTGTATGAGGTAGAGCTGCTCTGTAGGATCTTGGACTCGGCAGAGCTGGTTTCACCACTGGGCATGATGATCCTAAAGGTCTTTTCCAACAGAAATAATTCAATATTAAGCTCTTGTAAGTTACCCCGCTTTGCAGTTCTATTTATCATATAAATAAAGCAATGTACCCTCAAAATATAGTCCATGTAATTATCATCCCTCTCTGACTTGTCCTCATGAGCAGCTCAACCACCCCATTTCCAAATTTCTTACAATTAATATAAAGATGAAATTCTCTCTTGTGTCTTGATGATATTTCTACTCCCCACATTTGCAATGAGCCAAATACAGCACAATGGTGATTTGCCACCTCCACTATCACATTATTCAGAGCATTTTACCAGGTATTTTAGACTGGGTGTTGCAGAAAAAATACCTTGTAATCCAAGCCCAAAGACAGGACAAAGACACAGTTATCAATATGGAAAAGCACTTGATGAACATTACACAAAAAAACTAGTATATAAAATTTGAAGTATGCCACCATGATATTTTATGAAAAATCCCTTCACCAGGATTTCCTCTCCTGGGACGCTGGGAAGCTTCAGCTTCTCTCTGTTCTGCTGCTTTGGAATGTGATTTGGAGAATTGTTTATCCCAGCATGTGATTTGTTTTTAATTAATGACCAATCCCAGTCCAGCTGTGTCAGACTCTCTGGTCAGCCACAGGTTTTTATTATTCATTCTTGTTTAGCCTTCTGATGTCTCCTTTCTCTTTCTTCAGTATAGGTTTAGTAGATCATAAATATCATATCACATATATCATATATATAATATATATAAAATATATATATATATCATATAATATATATCATATTGTATCATACATGTAATGTAATGTAATGTAATGTAATATAATAAAAAATAAATCAGCCTTCTGAGAACATGGAGTCAAATTCTCATCTCTCACCTCATCCTGGGACCCTCACAGCACCACAGAAGTGTATTTTTATTTCCTAAAAATTCTGTGATTTTCCAGCAAACTGGCTTTCTGACAGGAGGGTGCAGCCATGGGGAAGTTGGGCCCTGCTCCCCGAGAACAAGAGCCAGGATGAGAGGGAATGGCTCAAGCTGGGCTAAGGGAGGGTCAGGTTGGACATCAACAGGAATTTCTTCATGGAACGAGTGGCCAGGTGCCCAGGGAGGTTTGGAGTTCCCATCCCTGGAGGTGTCCAAGGAACACCTGGACATGGCACTCAGCGCTCTGGGTTGGGGACAAGGCTGGGCACAGCTGGGATGGGAGGGCTTTTCCAGCCTCAGTGATTCTGTGACCTGGGAGGCTCTCGGGGATGCTGAGCCACTTCCATCCCCTGTGCTACCTCCTTCCCCTCCCCAGTCACCCCTGCAGCCTCCTGGGGCCATCCTTGGCTCCTCCTGGATGATTTTCTCCTGTCTCCATCACGTCTGTGCTCCGAGCAGCAGCAGCCGCCTGGGAGGGTGAGGAGCAGGGTGAGCTCAGGTCGAGTTCCACATGTGCTCCTGGGCCACATCTCAGCCCTGCTACGAATACTGCACAGTCCACAGAAAGAGAGGAGTCCTGCAGGGAGCATCACAGAGCAGGAATCCAGCTCAGGGGCTCTGAATTTGAGCTCCTCTGTTTATATTGGCTGTAGAAAGGGTGTGAGGAGATGCTGTTATCATTTAGAAGGCACAGGGTCTGTGCTGGGGGATGCAAACCTCCTCAAAGGGACATGTCAGCAGCATTTTGACACCTGAAAGGGCTCGAGCACACACACCAAGCTTTGCATTCAAAACTGATTGCAAAAATATCAATATTTAAACTCCCATCTACAACTCTGAGTGTGAATATGCAGAGTGTATTCAAAACAGGTTATAAAACAAGTCGGTGTCAATGAGAGCTGTATTTAAAATGCCAGGTTAGCAGAGCAGGAATATTCCAGGCTGATCTCACTTGTCCTTTACATTCTTGACCTTTCATATAAACCATTTTTACACGGATAGGAAGTATGACTAAAACTTTTAATCAGCTTCCAAAGTGATTTACACCAGTTAATAATTTCTTTTAGAAAGTTATTTTAAATTTTAAATTTAAACAACTATTCAGTGAAGATGACATTTCCAACTTTAAGTGGAACTGGGCAGTGGAAATGATGAAAAATATTTTCAGGACATGAAACCTTCATTGAATTAAAATATGGATTCCACTGCCTACCCTGCATCTTGAAATACTGATATTTCAGAATCAGCTCTTTTTCTACATGTCCAACTCAGTCCCAAGGTGTGCAGCAGCTGATTTTTTTTAATATTAACCCAAAAACTACAGTGGCATCCCAAAACTCAACACTGAGCATCTAACCTTCAACCTGTCCTTAAACAGGGAAAGTTTTGTGCTTGCAGTGGAGCCCTGGAGTACAGCAACCCTGAAAATCTTTCCAAGTGCAACGGCACCAGGATAAATTAAGACCCAGAAATCCGCTGCACTCTGGGATAAACCAGTAAGAGGAGGATTTCTGCAGCAGGAGAGCCAACCGCTCTGAGTACGCATAATCCCTCCTGACTTTCACACTGGATCACTTTCCAGCCAGGGCTGGACGGGCACGTCGTGCTACAGCTGTCCCCATGAGCAATACAGCAATGGTAGCTAAGGCAGGCTGGTGGCACAGGGCAAAGGGTCACATTACCCTGTGCCACCATGGAAAGAGGGCTGGAAACCTTTCTGGGGCAAACAGCCCCCTCAGAGAGAGAGGTTCGTGTGTAAAACACTCAATTTCTGTTCTCTGGCTACACCTCTGTAGTAATATGTGAACCAGTGTCAGCAGTGAACAATGAATTTAGTTTATAACAATTTTGCCTGGAGAAGCTTTTGCTGTCCCATTCCTGGAAGGGTTCCAGGCCAGGTTGGAGCACCCTGGGATGATGGAAGGTGCCCCTGCCCATGGCAGGGGGTTGGAATGAGATGATCTTTAAGCTCCTTTCCAACCCAAATTATTCTGTGTTTTTATGATGGTCTATCAATGCCCATATTGATTTTTTTCTGGAAAACACCTCTCAAATCTATCCTTAATTATCCTTCCTTCCTTATCTAAACTCCACTGAAACTGGCAACTCCCTCAGCCAAAGAATGAGCTACACAAAGAATAAAAAAGAGCCAAAATGCCCCAGCTCACAGCCTGGGTACCCCACACAGAATGGAGTCAATAGATTCCCAACACAGTTGTTCCTCTACACTACTGATAAAATGCCAAATCTCTGTTTGGTGTTAAAAGAAAACAGAGGTGAAAATCGCTTCCCTGTTCTGATCACGTCTGCATATGAGACAAGAATTTTAATATTAAAAAAGAGAGATTTGGCTGTAAAGATGGTGGAGTGCTATAAATATTAAAACAAACCACCAAACCCTTTCTTAACATCAAATTCAGAAATGATCACTCAGAATGTAGCTGATATACACAGCTGCCTGGAACCTGAGATAAATTCACCAAATATCTTGTAAAATATACTGAGACCAAAGAAATCACAGAATCATTTAGGCTGGAAAAAACTTGGAAGGTCGCTGGGTCCAACTGTTCCCCCAGCACTGTCAGGTCCCCCAAGTGCCACATCCACACAGCTTTTAAACATTTCCAGGGACGGGGACTCCATCACTTGCCTGGGAAGCCTGCTCCAATGCCTGACAACCCTTTTGGTTAAAAATTTTTTTTCTAATATCAAACTTAAACCTCTTGTGGAACTTGAGACCATTCACTCTTGTCCTACCACTTGCAAAAAAAAGAGGAAGGAAAACAGTGATTTCCCTGGAAGAATGCCTGTAACAGGAGGAGGAGAACCAGTACTGGTGATCAAACTGAAGAGATTTTGGAACACAGTGGTTGTTATTGAGAAATGTATTTGAATATATTGAGAAATCGTGTTCAGTTCCTCAGCTGAAGGAGACATAGGGAGGTGAGGAGCTGACATCAGGATATGAAGAGGTCAGCTCCAGATCTGCTCAGTCCTACACAACCTCACTGAAACAGCAGCTCAGACAGTACTCAAACCGCTTTTCTAATATTGCGTCAGAGAAAATGGGGGAAAACACCCAGATACAAAGAAAAGCCAAAGAAATGCAACCCAAAATCTGTCTCCCACCTGTGACACTGATCCTGAAGGTGAGTTTTTGGCCAGCAGCCTCACAGGTGTACTCCCCTGCATCTTTCTTCTCCACCTGACCCACCACCAGGCGACGCGATTTGCCCTCCGACTCCACCTTGAACTTCTTGCTGGAGGTGATCAGTTTCCCGTCCTTGTACCACTTCACCTCTGTTTTCTCCTGGGCCACCTCGCAGCTCAGCGTGGCATTTTCTGACAGTGCAGCCTTCACCTCTTTCTTCACTTTGTCCTTGTTGATAAATGCATCCTCTGCTTCTGTGGAGTGGGAGAAGTCATTTTAAAATCACACACAAGCTGATACTGTCCAAAGTGATCAAACCCAAATTAAAAGCCTGACAACTTCCACATCTCTGTTATTTTTAATGCGCAGACAGGATATGGGCTTTTGTCATGCCTGAGGACAACACATCACCCATTTCTTAGAAAAATGATCCCGTGCCTCAGGATTTCAGCTTCCTCCCATCTCCACAAGAAAACCATTGCTTTGTTCTATAATGTAATGGATAAATAAACACCAAATCTCATTTGCCACTGGAACCCCTATGGAAGCCTTGTTCATTCTAGGAGCCCTGTTTTCCTACTTCTTCCAGACTTATTTTTCCTACATATCCGGGAAACAACCTTATCTTTATCATTATAAAGGCATGGAATGGAAACTTGTCTATCTTTCTATTATTGGGAAACCAGAAAACACCAAGGGCACTGAGAGGGATCATCCCATGAATGAAGATGTCCAGCTGTCAGCATCAATGTAGCAATGGATGGGTGGTTGATCTCCATCCCTACTCAAAGAAGTTTCAGGCTGAACATAAACTGGAACCCAAAGTGTGGTACATTTTTCGGTATTAAGGGACCTTTCTGTGATGAGAATGAACAATGTCCCACCTGTGACATCGATCCTGAAGGTGAGTTTTTGGCCAGCAGCCTCACAGGTGTACTCCCCTGCATCTTTCTTCTCCACCTGACCCACCACCAGGCGACGCGATTTGCCCTCCGACTCCACCTTGAACTTCTTGCTGGAGCTGATCAGTTTCCCGTCCTTGTACCACTTCACCTCTGTTTTCTCCTGGGCCACCTCGCAGCTCAGCGTGGCATTTTCTGACAGTGCAGCCTTCACCTCTTTCTGCACCTTCTCCTTGTTTGTAAACACAGCCTCTGTCTCTGAAATAAGGAAACCCCAACAGTCACACAGAGCTTTTTGCAGTCACTGTCTCTGGTGTTAAATCAAGTTTCTCCTACTTCACTGTACTTGCCTCAACAGGTAATAGCATGAGGGGCCATTAGTGCAAGAAAGGACCTTCATTTCTGTCTTGAAAAGAGGTGAACAGTAATGGGAATTTGATAGGAATTTTGGGGTAATGTGAAAAACTCTCAGTTTTAGGACATATTTAAATGTAGGACTTGAAGGACCACCTTCCATTGCCTGAACTGTCCTCCCTCTTCTCTTTTTCTCTCCCTATGTCTCTCCAAGATTCCAGTGAATCAGAAGGGAACAGCACCTGTATCCTCATGTCCATGAACCATTCTTTCCTTTGCCTATTTGAGATAATTCTATTGTTTTCCATTTAATCATGGAATGGTTTGTTGGAAGTGACCTTAAAGATGATCACAATCCAACCCACCTGCCATGGGCAGGTTCCACTAGACTACATTGCTCCAAGCCCCATCCAATGTTTAAGGCATGGGATCTAATCAAACACCTTCCCCTTTATCCATCCCTCTCTGCTATGACCTCACACTATTTTTCCATGGGAGTTTTTCTGCAGATGCACCAGCTAATTGTGAAAGGAGAATGAATCTCTATCCTTTCCTATGATTTTTTTTTTTTGTGGTCACAACCAGTCATGGGTGCAGATCCATGTGTATAAAATATTGTTATGAAAATTGCCAAAAAAAAAAAAAACTGAATACGATGGTTGAGATCTGCATTGAGATCTTTCACCCCAGTGAGATTGTGAGATGATCACCTGGATGAAAGACACCACTCAAAATGGAATTCTCCTTTACCTTTGGAATCCCTGGCACTTTCTCACCTCTGACTTTGACTTGGAATGTTGTTCTGTCATCCTTTGTCTCACAGGTGTAGCTGCCTTGGTCTTGCTGTGTCACCTTCTTGACGATGAGCTTGCGTTGTGTCCCCTGGCAGACGATTGTTGTCCTCTGGTCCTGCTTCACCTCAGTCTGATCCTTCCTCCACACCACGGCCCCACCAGCAGCTGACACCTCACACACCAGCTCCAGGCTCTCAGAAGGACTGACTGACACCTCTGGAGTCGTTTTGGGCTTGTTGACAAAAGTAACAGCTTCATCTGGAGTGGAAAAACGAAAAGGGTTTGTGCCTTGGTGCAGGTTTGTCTGCACAAAGTTAGTGGTTATTGATCTTTATTCCATTATCACACACTCTTGATGCCTCTCTGACAGATGGTGCAAACCCCTCTGATCTTCAGATAATTGCTCTCAATTACAGGGAAATCCCCTTCATCTGCCCTACATCCTCCTGGATCTTCCAAATCAAACTGAGATGCCCTCAAGTTGCTCACACTTCATTTACCACTCCTTGATACCAAAGTCAAGCAAGATCTGGGGGATTTGTGTTGATGTCTGAGGGCAGAAACAGCTTTGAAAATACCCTGAAAGTCTCAGAAAATCTAGTTAGAGGTGATGAGGAGCCTTTTTAAAATGTTTCTGAGCCCATTCCTGCAGCTCCTTGTTCATAATACCAATCCTACAGGACTAATTCTTCTCCAGGCCAGGGCACATATGGGAAAATCTCATTGATAAAATATTCTCCAACTTAGGAAAAAGCTCTGAGCAACCCGGTCTAGTGGAAGACATCCCTGCCCATGGCAGGGGGTTGGAAGGAGATGGTTTTTGAGGCCCTTTCAAACCTAAACCATTCCATATTTCTATGAATAGAGGCGTCCATAATCTCATACAATTTGGTTGAAACTGATCTTCCCAGCAGAGAACTCAAAACTGCTCACACAGCTCAGTGGAGGTTCCTGCAGGGATAGCTCAGCCCAAACCCTGCTGGCAGCACAGAAATGGGCTGTGGGTATTTGTCATGTAGGCAGCAACAACACAACGTTTTTATCAATTGCAAATTGATATCAATTGCAGTTTTACCTCTTTGCAAAGGTAAAAATAAAAGATTGCCTGTCTGAGTGTGCAATGCAGTTTCTCAGCACTGTGGAAAATGTTTATGGTGACACATGGAACAAGGAGGAAGCTGCTCTGGCTAAGGTGTTGTCACCAAGTTGTAACTCAATCCTTGCTCACCAAAAATTTGTGGGGATAGAACATAGCATAACAACTTCAAACTGCCAGAGAGTAAGGTTAGATAGGATATTAAGAATAAATTCTTCCTTGTGAAGGTGGGGAGGCCCTGGCACAGGGTGCCCATAGCAGCTGGGGCTGCCCCTGGATCCCTGGCAGTGCCCAAGGCCAGGCTGGATGGGGCTTGGAGCAACCTGGGACACTGGGAGGTGTCCCTGCCATGGCAGGGATGGGACTGGATGAGCTTTGAGCTCCCAACTCAAACCTTTCTGTGATTCTGAGATTTGGCAGACACCAGTTTTCTTTGCCTCAGCCATGTGACAGGAGTTACAGGTGAGATTCATCCAACCTGCCCATGGCCAGCAAGATGTTTATACCAAGCTGAGGCAATCTCCTGTACGTGATGCTCAGACAAAAGCACAACCAGAACACTTCTAAAACCCATCCTAGCTCTAATCAGACAGCATAAATCAGATTGCACAAAGTGCCTTTTGAGGGGTCAGTTTGGGCAGAGCCTGGTTTCAGACCAGTTTTTCAATTAGTAAAGTCAGGGACTGGGAATTACACTCCAGGAGAAATTGCATGACATTGGATTCTCAGAAGAGAACTGCAGGCGAGATGCAGTTCTCACCTCACATCACTCCCTCCAGCTCACTAAATCTTGCAGCAATCCCTCCAGACAAGTGCTGTCCTAAATTAATCAGCCTAGCTGAGTCTTCAGTTAGCTCACGGACAGCATCACAGCAAACTGGATATTCTGTTATAGGCCACAAGCACTCAGTTGTGACTTCTCTTGAATTGCATTGTACTGCAGACATGCCAGGAGAAGCTTTCAGGAGAGTTTCAATCTTAAATTTCGGACCAGGTTAAAAATTAGGCTCCAGGCACAAGGCAGAAAACCCCATTTAGGAGAAAAGTTCCACACAAGCATGCAACTGGAATCAGTTGAATTTCACAGATATTGAATTTCACTGCTGAGTTCTTGTGTCATTCTATACTCTGGCTCCATCCTGGGCGGGAATGCAGTGGTGACAAGCATTTCTCTTCTGGGTTTGGCCTGACAGCCACGTGCTCTGTGTGATGGGCACGTGACACAGACTGATGGAATCACTCACAGCATGTCAGGGAGGGATCCCTGAGATCACAGTGTCCTTTGGGAACACCAGGAGATGTTTAACTCCCAAAAATCAGGAATTAAACTTGTCAAAGGAGTCACAGCAAGGCTTTGAACCCTTGACTGAGGTGGTCCTAAGATGATGCACAGGCTGAGCTGAAAGAATTGAGGCCAGATGTGGCTGCCAGCTGTTCAGCCACCATCGTGTTTGGGTTGTGCTCCAGCTCTGGAAAAAGCTTGAGCTGACTCAAATAAATCACAGCATTGTTATATTATTTGCCCATACTCTGCGTTTGCACCGTGATCACAACAAGGATCAGAACCTCTCCAAGTGTTGTGCAACCTTGGCCCATAAATCTGTCAATTTGTAAGGCAGGACAAATCTAAAGAACCAAATCCTGCATTTCCCACACAGACTCTGATCCCACACTTGCAGTACAGTCTTACCTGAGACTTTTAAATCAAAAGTCAGGGTGTCATCCCCGATTTTGCAGGTGTAAGTTCCTTCATCTTCCTTTGTCACGGCCAAAGCCACAAGCTTGTGCAGCTTTCCTTTGTCTTCCACGGTGAATTTCTTGCTGGCTGTGATCTCCTTCCCATCTTTGTACCACCTCACCATGATGTTGGCCTCAGAGGTCTCAGACACAAGCTCAGCCCGTTTCCCAGCAACGGCCTTGACAACCCCTCCAGTTTTCTCTTTGTTCACAAAGTTTGCAAGTGCTGAAACAAAACAGGGGCAAAGCCCTGGTAAAAAATTCTGTGCACAGCAGTAAAAATGTGCATTGACATCTACATTTGGTATTCATGTATCAGAAGACAAAAATCTATTTATTTAATTATGGATCTAATCACTAGATTCCAAAGCAGAAGCAGACAAATTTCCAACTATAATCCTGATTATCCCATGTCCAAAAAACAGAGCACATAGAGGGCACAAGAGGCTGAGCCAGGGAGAAGAAGCCCCAGGAAAGCTATTATATTATTTAAATGCATTGTTACTATATTATTAGTATTATTAAAATAATATTTTAAAGGGAGGTGAGAAAAGAAATAAACTAGAGGTAAAGCCAGGAAGGTTATTCAATCATTATATTGTAACCATCTACCAAGTAAATTCACTCTAGAAGAGGTTAAAGTATAACCTAGATAAATTAAATTACATAAAATTAATAACCTATATGGATATCTCATAGGACTAAAATGAATATAAATTTATTCCTGGAAATTAACTGGAGCATAGAAAATAAACATTAAATCTGGCATTTTATTAATGTGGGATGAAATAATTGAGTCACCAATTGCCTCAAAGCAAAAAATTCAAAACCCACCAATATCGGGATGGGATGGGATGGGATGGGATGGGATGGGATGGGATGGGAAGGGAATTGCTGAGACATTCTTTCCCCAGCACTACTGAAACTCAGTCCACAGTTTCAAGGTTGTGGGAGGAAGAAGAGGGAGATGAGCTCATTCATTCACCTTTCCCTTCCCCAGAAAACCAGAGTGCAAAACACAACCAGAGCAGCCTGAAGGAGCCGTCTCAGATGTCCCTTGTCACCATGGGAGGGCATGTGTCAGAGGGTGCCTGGCAGAGGAGCTCAGGGCTCTGCAGGGGCTGCAGTGACAAATGGCAAATGCATTTCTGGCTGGTTTGGGCAGGAGGCCCAGGCAGTGACACACTGGCCATGGCTTGGCACAGTGGCCCCTCAGCAGCCACGTGAGGCCCACGTGCCACACACAGCTGACCTGCTCCTCAGATGATTCCCTGTGGCTGATAAAAGGTGGTGGTGATGGAAGGTAAAAATGTTGATACAGAATTTGAGGGGTTCATCCCACAAGGATGAGAGGTACCAAAGGTGATTCACCAGGAATCAAGCTGTAAACACCAGGAATCACGGCTTGTCAATGTAGACTGACATCATCATCATCATCATCATCATTATTATTATTATGTTTAATATATTTCATGTCGGTTTATTATGTCATTATTATATTATTACATTTTTATGTTGGTTTACTATGTTCTTTTTATTATGTTTTTATGTTGGTTTATTATGTCATTATTATGTCTTTTTATTATGTTTTATGTTGGTTTATTATGTCATTATTATGTTATTTTATTATGCTTTATGTTGTTTTATTATGCCATTATTATATTATTTTTTATGTTGGTTTATTGTGTCATTATTATGTTATCTTTATTCTGTTTTTATGTTGGTTTATTATGTCACTATCATTATGTTATTTTAAATAATAACATTGATCACTCATTTGATAGGCACCCCACCGTGAAAACCACATGGAAACATCCATCAAGTAATTCAAGGAAATGTGGGCCGAACTGTCAGCATGAAAAATTATGCTAAAGAGGCAGAGCAAGAGAGGAGGGAAAGAAAAATCAAAATCAAGAGCAGGTGCCAGTTGTACACAGAAATTCCTCTCCATAGAGATTTAGTCACATTTTGAATTTTTTTTTCAGCTCTCTAAAATTTGCTCTTTGAAATGACTGAATAAGTTGTGAAATGAGGAAAAAAACCCACTAAATTCTCAGGCTTTGTTGTTTTTACAGGGACTAAGGAGGGTGAGGTGCCAGCAGAAGATGATGATGAAACACCTCAGACTTTCTCCATGCAGGAATTGTGATCATGCCTGGGAGGAAGGTGAGGGTGAGCTGTGGGACAAAGCATGGAACTCAAATGGTTCTACAGACTGAACTTGCCAGTTCAAAGAAAAATAGGTTCTGAAATCCCTCCTGAATAGTTTAATTTAACAATTAATTAAACAACTGTTTAATTGGTAAATTAAACATTTAACAATTGTTTAATACAACTGTTAAATTGCATTAAACAATACAAAGTTTAAAATTATTATATAACTGCAGTCAGGGGTTTTGTTTGCCTTTGCCCAGGGGAAAGGAATTGAAGTTTCTTCTCAAAGAACTGTATCACCACTTGAGGCCTGATGAGTTTAACACCTCAACAGACTGGGGGTAGCACAGGAGATATAAAAAAGAAAACAACCATCAATGAACATCAACTCCAGACAGCACCCCTGGCATGGTCAGAGACACCTGGTCTCAGAAAAGATCAATAAGAGAACACAGAATGAGAACCTAATTAGCATTGAAGGCAAAGGGATCAATAACCAATAGGAAACCAAACACTAAGAACTGCAGAATTTTGGACCAATGAACATTGCACCAATTAATTTCTCTGGGTTTTGACTGTGTAAGTAAGTGAAAAATCAAGTAAACATCATGTATGATGGCATGATTTCCTCTGCACAACCCAGGCAATGTGTGGATGAAATTATTTCTGTTGCACATCCTGCCCAGAAATAAAGTGATGCCTTGATTCTCTAACTAAAAAATGTTGTTGGAGAGTTTTTGTTTTTCCCTCACTTTTGGTGACAGTCTGACAACAGGCTGGACTGGATTTGGGTAAGAATTTGTGCTCTAAACCTCAGCAGACATCTGATGATCCATATGAGGAATATTCTGGGGATAGACTGGGGGTTTTGGGTAACACCTGATCCCCTGCAAGGCAGAGACAGCTTTGCTCTAGTTCATAAAATCTTGCAGAGATGGGAAGGTTTGCAAGAAGGAGGCCTAACGCTGTTGGTTTCAGGGTAAAGGTAGAGACTGCCATGAAAGGAAGAACAGTTAAAAAAACAGATCAGCTGTAAAACAGTGCTGGTTCAAGAAATATCAAAATAAAGTGCCACCTTGCTGTTTTTCTAGACATCTGAACACCTTGTAAACAGGAAGGGGTTAAGCCATCCAGTGTGCCCCAGAAAGGTCTTTTCTCTTGTCCACCAAAGAATTGACAGAAAATAACAAAAAAAAAATCCTCAAGCTAATAGTAATAATAATCATCATCATCATCATTATAAAACAAAACAAAAATGCACAAAAAAACAAAAACAAAAAACAAATCCCACAATGCCAAGATGATCTTGTACAACCAGACCTGAAGTCTCTGTACAACCAGAACTGCAGGACTTTGTGTTGTGTCCTGCCCCTGGGGCTGGATTTCTTCATCTCAAGAGCACTTTTCCCTACCCACCACCCACCCTCACCAAATTACGCCAAATTCCCTGGAATATCAAGATGGAGTGAAAGCACAGCTCTAGCACCTGGCCAGTTGCTGTATTTGCTCCCCAGTTCTGCTGTGGGACACATTATCAAGGCTGGATGTTGATGGACAATCACCAAACTCCCTCTGGAGTCTCCCTTTGTGTCCTTGATGGCTCCACAGGTTTAGGGCAGGAACACCATCAGTGCAGAGCAGCCCAGGCAGCCACTCACCTTTCACTGAGAGCTGATAAACCATTTTATCCCCCTCACAGACACACTCGTAGACTCCAGCGTCCTCCTCAGCAGTGCTGCGGATTTTCAGGATGTGCCTCTTCCCCACGGTTTGGAACTCGTATTTGTCACTGGCCTTGAGCTCCTTCCCATCTTTCATCCACTTCACAGTGGCCTCTGTGTCTGAAAGCTCAGCCTGGAGTTTGGCTTCCTCCCTCAGCCGAGCTGAGACTTTTTCTATGTCTTTGGTCTTGTTGGTGAATCTCACTGCAGCTCCTGCCAGGACAAGAGGCTTGGTTATTTTGAGTTATACCATGATAACTTATCCCTGATACAGGCCTGCTGTAGACTGTGAGGTCTCTGAAGGTGTTAGATCCTATTGTTGCCCTCACACTCTGTTGGAAAACTGATTGCTGAGAATTTCAGATTTCTGTGCTGCCAGGCACTGACCCCCAAGAGAACACTGCACTGACCTGAGGCCGTGGAGAAGCTTCCAAAATGGAATGACAGAACTGGGATTGTGGGTGTGGAGTTTGGATAGAAGTGTGTGATATCACAGGGTAGGAAACTCAGAGTTTAAGGGTTTAGAATGCAGTAATAATTATAAAGCAAGATGGAGGTTTTGGAGTGGAGGCTGGTCCTCCTTCTTCACCATCTCCTCCATGGGTTTGGGTGGTTTTGTGTAATTGGATAAAAAAGTCCCCATTGCAGCTATGGGTGGTTGGTTATTGGGTTAAAAGTAAAAATAATTTAGGTGTCATTTCTTAATTGGACAGTTTATCCTTCAAAGGTCTTGTAGAGAGAGAGATGGGGCTGCATTTTTAGCTTGTTAGAGAAAACTGCTGTAGAACTCAACTTACATGAGACTGTAACAACACTCATGTCAATACTGGGCATTCTTTCTCAGTTCAGAAAACTCAATCTGTTTTTACTGCCAGAGTCACTAAGAAAAAAATCCGAACACGTTTTTTTCTACTGATAAATAATACACGAAACATGATTCTGCAAAGATCTCTTCCCAAGCCAGACATCCTTCCAGAATAAAGGCTCATTATGAATTCATTATATTTTGCCTTGCCATGTGGTAGGTACAGATGTTACTGTCATTTCACAGAGGAAACCTTGATCTTAAATCAAGCTCCAGCATACTAACTTCATATCCCACACATGGTGGACTAAAAAACCTGCAAGAAAAGCTTTGTTAGTAATGAATGCTCTTTCACTTTTGAAAGATTATTACAGTCAAAGAGACTGGTCAAAGCTAGAGCTGAAATTACAGCTTTAGGGTGAATTAGTGGCAGAGTTGGTGACAGAATCCACTGGCAGATGGTTGTGAATGACAAAAATTTGACAGAAATTCGTGAGCTGATGTGAAGCAATCTAGTTCAGATGCCACCAGGTGGTACCAGCTGGTACCACCTCTGAGGTGTGAGGTCATTACCAGGACACACATTAATCACATGACACAATTCCAGGTGCTTCCCACAGACCAAGGAAAGCCTCCAGCCCAAGTTTTAATCCTCAAGTCCCAGCAACCACCCCCTGAGTGGGAGAAGAATGGATGACAATAAATGACAATCACAATAAATACCTCTCACTCTCATCTTGGTGCTGGTCTCAACGTCATTGGCAACAAATTTCACTTCTGTCCCATCATCTTTCCTGGTGACATTTTTAATGACCAGGGTGTGAGTGGTTTGGGTTCTGTTGATGATGTGGGTCTCACTTTCCTGTAAGACTTTGCCATTCAGGTACCAAGTGCCAGAACATGTCTTGGTCAGGTCAACAGTGAACAGGGCATCCCCTCCAGGTGCAACTTCGGCTGTTGTCAGGGGGTTCTTCACAGCCAGGACGGGTTCTAGGGAAGAACAACACACACCTCTGAGAACAAGGCTGTCATGGAGGATAACTCCTCTTAGGAACCCAATTGTCAGGGTAAACGAGATGTGAGAATTAATTAATGCAGCTTTATAAAATTCTCATGCACTGAAGAAAAGGCATGGTTGGTCTAAAGGATTTATTTCCTTCAGCTGCAGGTAATTGACTTCTGGAGTCCTGTTTTTGTAGGTCTAGAAAAACAGACATATTTTACAGATTTTTTTTTTTATCCCTAAAATGTATAAAGGTATAGGCCAGAAACACCTAAGTCCCATACAAGTGTGTTGTTTATTGAATAGCCAATATTATTCTTAGATTTCAGAAGACTTGTAGTTATCCCTATGAGTCTGTTCCAGATATTCTAGGGCAATGCAGACATGTTCAGACAGTGCGGGACAAGGATGACACAATCAAGACATGCTATGATCAGAGTTTGTGTGGGTCTTCAATATTTTTACAGATTTTCCTAGTGCAGTGATTCAAATGAAGAAGATCATTGCACCCAATGATTCTATAGGCACATTGGCACCCTAGAAATAAAGCAAAACCTCTAGATTTCTCCTAGAAACTCTTAGATTAAAGAGAGACTGGCTAGAACTTGGTTTTCATGATGGTATGATCACCCATAAATATTCTCTATGCGCAAGATCGATATGTCTATATATTGAAAATTGTACCATAAGGCCATCTCAATTTTTCTTTGAACTGCAGGGGCAGAAGAAGCATTTACAGGTTTAAGGTCCAGAGCAGGGAGCTCTGCCTCTCCCACAGCCTGATGTGGGATATTGGAACATGAACACACAGTTCCACCACAGAAACCCAACCACCCTCACTGAGGTGGGTTTGGGCTTTTTCCTCCCTCCCTTTGCTGAAGGTCAGTGTTGGCACAAAGCAGGAGAACCAGCAGGCAAAGAGGATTTGCTGGGCTATTTCTCCATCCTCAAAGCCACGGGAAATATTTTCAAAGCACCCACATGTCCGACTACCCTGTTTTGCGCCGATTTCGTGCTCACCAAGGTGCAGGCTCCCAGGGAACTCCAGGTAGGGGCTCTGTCCGTAGGCATTGACAGCAGACACTCTGAACTGGTAGTCAGCCTCCTCTGGCAGGTTGCTGACCGTGAGCTCGGGGCTGGGCACGTGGGACTCGTGGCACCTGACCCAGGTGAAGCCGGTGAGCTTCTTGCGCTCCACGATGTAGCCGTCCACCGGGATGGGCCGCTCCATCCTCGGAGGGGACCACGCCAGCATCACTGAGGTTTCTGTTTTATTTTTCACCACAGGGTCAGAGGGAGGTTGGGTGGGAGGTTTCTTGGGAGCTGCGCAAGGGAAGGAAACAAAACCAAGCAGAGAAGTGAGTTACATCAAAGGGGAAAAGCTAAAATGGTTTACGCTGGGCTAAAAGCTCATCTTGCTTAATAAACCTCAATAAAACCTTGATGTGAGATGGAAAAGCAAGAGAATGGATGGAAGATGCTTTGAGGAAGTTTTAAACAAAGATCATAGACTCATTATCGTTCCAGATCAAGTTCAAATTTGGATGTCCAATAATTGTATTGCACAGCTAAACATATGTGGTTTCTACACTGTCGCAGACATCTTTTATGGAAAATCCTTTCCTTAGGATTTTTCCTCCTGAGAAGCTGGGAGGCCTCAGGAAGGAAATGTAAACATTGATTATCTGCTGCTGTGGAATGCAACAGGTGCATCTGTGATTGGGCTCATGTGGTTGTTTCTAATTAATGGCCAGTCACAGCCCAGCTGGCTCGGACAGAGAGCTGAGCCACAAACCTTTGTTATCATTCTTTCTTTTTCTATTCTTAGCTAGCCTTCGGATGAAATCCTTTCTTCTATTCTTTTAGTATAGTTTTAATGTAATATATATCATAAAATAATAAATAAAATAATAAAGATAAAACTTCTGAAATATGGAGTCAGATCCTCATCTCTTCCCTCAACCTCGGACCCCTGTGAACGTCGTCACACTACACAATATTAAAACTGTCATCACAATCAGAGAGTCTTCAACAAACATTTTGTAGGTTTAAGTCTTCAGTGCTGGATACAGACCCACATTTTTGCCCTTCACAGCTCCTGGGCAAAGCAGACTAGCACTCAGCTTCTTATTTTCACTCTGCTGATGGTTTTACCCATCTTCTAAGGTTTTTCAGGTCTTTTAAGAGTTATGGAGAGTCTGGCTTGTTACACAGGCTTGGATGCTCCCTGCAGCCCCTTCATTTGGGTATCTGTCCTACTCATTAATTTTATGTTACCCCCACTCAGAAGCTGTAACTTTGTCTCCCAAAAATGAAATCATTTAGGATCTTTGTTTTAGTAATTTATGCAGAACCAGTTTTTGGGACTTGGAATTTACTTCAAAAGGAAACAACAAAGATGTGTTCCCACCATGAGAAGCTACAATTGAGGAGATGCGCCTATTTTATGGTACCTGAGGCTACAAACATATTCCTAGAGGTATTTGCATAATGAAGCTTATTTTCACCCTTTCATTCCTCTTGAACCCTTTAAAGAAGGCTCAAGTCACATCAGGATTATTCACTATGTGCTGCCACTTATATGGTCAAGAGGAATTACCTGATGTGCTCTGGTTACACCTCTACTGGCATGGCCCAAGATTAATTTAATTTAATTTTGGCTATCTGAAAGGTGTCTGGGTGAAGTCAGTCAACCAGACTCCAGCTGTGATCCCATGAGCAGCACACTCAGGAGCAATTAATCCAGTTTAAAGAAGGTGTGGGAGGGGGGTGAAACAATCACACAGTGGACATACTCAAGAATTCCTGACTGTAGATGGAGTCTGTTGATGAGCCTAAACTAAAAACTGAGCTCTGGGACAACTGATCTCCTTCCTGCCTCAGTTTCCCCATCTTTAAAAGGGCAATGGTTTTGCATTATTTGCCATCTTGGATTAACAATGCAAGATGACAAATAATACACAAATACTGCCTGTACATTATAAAATATATCAGAACCACCACCAATCCCACCCAGCTAATTGAAAAAGATGTGGACGCAGCACAGAGGATTCTCCAGGCAGTAAATCCGATATGCACAAAGTGTAAAAATAGGAAATCTCAAGGCGATACGCTTTTCCTTCCTTACAGAAATAGACACAGAAGTGGTTTGGGGTGCACAGTTACCAGCCTGTCAGTAACTGCTGGTCACAGATAGATGTCAAAGGTCCCATTAGGGTAACATTAAGCTGAACACTAAGCCCTGGAATGGGATCTCTTGACCTTGCCATCAGAAATGGTAATGCAATGTTTTCTTCAGCAATATCTGTTTGTGGGAAGACAGTTTCTTATAATTTCTATTCCATGAATCAACCCTTTCTTCATAATTTAAACAGCAGGGTCTGAAATCAAGCTGAACTTTATTGTCCCCATTGCATAGGTGCTTGTTTGGATGGAATAGCTTCTCAAATACCTAAGAAACTGTCACAAAACCAAATGTGACACTTTCCTCATTTTTTCCTCATTTTAGTTCAATGGTTTCAGAATGCCCAAACCAAGTTTATGTAACTCAACAGTTATATATCTGTTAAATAAAAGATTCCTTTTTGACACTGATCGATTGCAGTGGTGGAAGAAAAGATTTACTCTTCCCAAATTGTGAGTGATTTGTTCATATATGAACCAGAACTGCAACAGAGCCAGAAATCACATGTATTTATGTCTTAAATAAAGCAGATTTCACCTGGGAAATGCAGTGTCATCAAAATAATGCCAAATAAAATTAGGCAACTTCACCAAAATTTCATTTCAGGTCCAGTCTTGATGATGTTGCACCTGCTGCTACTGCTCTGTCAAGTAAGATATGTTTGTGCCATGCTTTTACCAGAGAAACTGTGGATGCTCCACCCCTGAAAGTGTTCAAGGCCAGGCTGAACAAGGCCCTGAAAATCTTGGTTTCATGCAAAGTGTCCCTGCCCATGGCATGGGGTGGAATGAGGTGATCCCATCCAACCCAACCCATTCCATGACTCTACAGATATTCTCTCTGTTTGGATTCCTTCCAAACACCTCACAACACTCAGGATGTTGGCTTTTTGCGGCAGACATCAAACCTTCAGCTGGTTTTGGACACCAAAATTACCACTGTGGCACTCAAAACAAGAATGGTGCCATGGGAATACAACACCAAGGCTAAACAAAAGAGAAGCTCACTGGTCACAGTGAACTGGGTGAAAGTCCTGTTTGGATCCCTCCAAACACCTCACAACACTCAAAAACATGCTGTTGGTTTTTTGCGGCAGACATCAAACTCTCATCTGGTTTTGGACACACAAAATTACTATGGTGGCACTGAGCAACAGCGCCATGGGAAGACACAACACCAAGGCCCAACAAAAAACCAGAAGCTTACTGGTCACAGTGAACTGGGTGGAAGTCCTGTTTGGATCCCTCCAAACACCTCACAACACCCACAGACAGGGTGATGGCCTTTTTGTGGCAGACATCAAACCTTCAGCTGGTTTTGGACACCAAAATTACCACGGTGGCACTCAAAACAAGAATGGTGCCATGGGAAGACACAACACCAAGGCCAAACAAAAGAGGAGCTTACTGGTCACAGTGAACTGGGTGGAAGTCCTGCTTTCATCAGCCAGGAAGGCAATCTCCCCAGCATCCTCCACCTTGCACTCCCGGATGGTCATGGTGTGCTGTTTGCCAGAGCGCGTGATGGAGATGCGGTCGCTGGGCTTCACTTCCTCTCTGTTCTTCAGCCACCTGACGTTCTGGCAGTCGTTGTCCAGCTCCACGCAGAAGGTGGCTGTGTCCTTGATGAAGACAGCAGTTTTCCGTGGGAGTTTTTTAATGATGTTCCCTTCAGATAAAATAATCATGGTCAGAAAATGGCATATATTAATGCCACCAAAACAGGACTAGCCCACACCCAGTCAAAATATTGTAGACACCATGTAGACACCTGAAAGTAAATTCCAAGGCTATGAGTCACACAGAACAGATGACCCCAATGACTCATTTTGGCCTGTAAAGAGAGAAAAGCAAATCTTATTTGCCTGCAGTCACTCAGGTTTCTTGTCTACTAAGCAGAGCCAGATGCTGGGTAAACACAAAATATACATGTTCTTGCAAGAGAACAGATTTTACAGCTTTTATTGTCCCCATATGCTGGAAATTCAAATTAAAACTTTGCACAAGTAGGTCAGTCTTAAGCCAGACAGGTCTCTCCTTTGCCTTTAGGATTTCACCTCCATCAAAGTAAATCACATAATCAACATGGCGGACACAGAAGTTACCCAAATTAATGGGAAAGACACTGAAAAATCTCAGGTTTCTTCTTAGTGTCAACACAGAAACTCACAATGAATGAATTTATGTCCTTTCCAAGTGACTGTGATTATCATCACTTACTAGGACCACCTCAAAGCTATAAGATGTGAATATTCGCAGAAAAGATTGGACAAACCACAAGGAGACCACCCCAAATGACCAACAGTGACTGGTTCCAGCTCCAGAGCAAGCCCTGAGAGGTGAAAGAGGCTTTGCCCAGGCAGATCAGCCAGAGCTGTTTAATGGACAGCAATGCTGAATTCCCTGATAAAGTAACAGGTTTCACCACAAGATTCAAGCTTGATTCTCTGCTTATCCTCCTCCTTGACCTCTCTGCCCTCAGCACTGTGCTCATCCCACAGTCCTTTACCTCTTGCCAAGTTCTCACACTGTCCCAACCCCACCTTGCTCTCTCCAGTCCCCTCCCAGGGCAGGCACAAGGCTCCCTCAGGAAGGCTCTGCCTCCTCTCCCTCCAGAAAGCTCCACCTGGCTCAGTCATTCTCTTTTGGATGGAACATGCCATTACAGCACAAACAAGTGAAAAAAATACCAGCTGTCCTACTGGGAGCAAGCACACAGGGGTGGGCTGGTCCAGACCTGACAGAAGGTGCAACAAAAAGATGTCAGGCTGAGCTCTCCCATATCTCTGGGCTAAATTTTCCCTTCTGTATCCACCTCTGTGCACTCTCAGCTTTTTATTGGTGGTACAAAAAGGAATTTGCACGAGGATGCACATCCCTCAGCTATCTAGTAGCAATTTATATATGAAGAACTCCTTCTGATTTCACTGGGAGTATACTGAGGCTTCAAATGAGTCAGGACAAGATGAATCCTTTAGTTGTGGCAGCCTCCAGTGCCTGCAGCTCTGGGGTTGGTGTACTCACTGAGAGACACCCCCACCATACCAAACTACACCTAATCTCACTCCAGCCTGAACCACCAGACTCAGGACACCTGGACATGGCCATCCACACTTTGTCCTTTCCTTGTCCCCTTCCCAAACTCCAGAGAGCAGCTCCAGCTGCCAGGGATCTGGAGCTGTGTTTTCCAATTTAAACCATGCTGGTGTTGACTGCAGCCTGCACCACACATCTGGCCACAGCTGTCCCTTTCCACTATGGTCAGCACCACTCCCAGACAAAAGTCACCACTCTGTTCACTGGACACTGGGCAAGATGGGTGTGACAATGCCAAGGGACACATCTGATGCTTGGGGTCATGTTAAGGTGATGCCTTAGGATTTAGATTTTATATTTTTCAGATCCTGTAGTATATAACTCTAAAACTCCATAGCCTGTCAGCTCCTGCTCTCCCATTTTATTCAGACAAAACAATTCCTCTCTGAGCCTGAAACTCAGGGACACCTGACTGTCTCAGGCCCTGAGAGATGTAAACAGTGAATTCCCCTCAAGCTGCACCAAGGGAAATACAGGTTGGATATCAGAAAAAGTTTTTCACAGGAAGAGTGATAAAGTTCTGGAATGGCTGCCCAGGGAGGTGGTGCAGTCCCCATCCCTGGGTGTGTTTAACAAAGCCTGGATATGGCACTGGGTGCCAGGGTTTAGTTGAGCTGTTGGGGATGGGTTGGACTCCATGATCTTGAAAGTCTCTTCCAACCTGATCATTCTGGGAATTCTGTAAATTGGGGGAAGAAAACTTGGAGTAAATGACTTCATTATCTGAAGCTGTAATTGGAGGATTAACCCCTGGTATGTAAATGGACAAAACTTGTAACTGTATGAAAAACTCATGACCATCATCCATCCTGGGTGCAGCCCCTCTCAGAGGTTTCTGACTGCCCAAGGTGAACCTGTTGAAGGCCTTTAATAAATACCCACTTTTATTCTCTTAGTCTTTTCCAGCCTCTGCTTTGGGTAGCCACCCCAAGGCATCAAAAAGAAGTCTACAGAGCCAGGCCACAGCTGGAGGAAGCTTCTTCCAGCATGGGTTCCCACTGTGTGACATCTTTTACAACACAGCCTGCTGTGTGGCCCTGTGTCCAGAGACACCCTGCCAGGAGCCCCAGGGACCACTGACCACATCTTCACACCACGAGGGACTCTGCTCCTCTTCAGTGCCCACATGGGTATGGCAAATCCTGCTCTCAAGGTCAAACCCAGAGTCTCACGTGTGACTCCCACACTTTTGGCCAATCTGAAATACCAAGAGCTGCTCTTACCTAGAGCAATGTGCCCCCCCGTTGATGGAGTGACAAAACTATCATTTGTCCCCTTAAAAAGGAAATAAGCCCAGAAGTTTCTCTCCTCAATTAGGTAAAAAGACATCTCAGAGGACCTCGGGGACGTCACCTCAAACTTAAGGATAGCTCATTGGACAGAGGCCAAAAAGGTCCTGCCTGAGCAATTTACTAGAAAAAAAAAGAGAACAGAGAAACTAATGGCTTTTGTGAGGTGTTTTCCCAGAAGCAAGGAACTCTTGCACCTGGCTTGGTTTTTCTGTAAAGAGTTTGTTATTTTGCCTTTTATTAAAACCTTTTTGTTTTCAGCACTACCATAGAAGCCATCCTGCTGATTTTATACCTTCTGCGGTACCTGAGCTATCTTGGGTGTGAAACAGACCTCCAAGAGCTGATGAGACCTGGCTTGAGGAGGCTCCTATTTCACTTACCTTGGACAGAGAGCTCTGCAATGGTCCTGCTCCCTTCCTTCATCTCGCAGATGTAAACAGCATCATCATCCGTGGTGACGTTCTGCACGGTGAGGCGGCGGTAGGTGCCCTCCTCCTCGATGTTGTACTTCTTGCTCTGCTGCAGCTTGGTCTCCTCTTTGAACCAGGCTGTCTCTGTCCCAGCCACGGGCACCTCGCACTGGAACGTGGCAGATTCCTTCTCCCGCACCTCGAGGTCCTTCAGCTTTGCCTTGAAGGGTATGGTGGGTTCTTAAGAGGGTAAAAAGAGGAAGGAGAATGAGAGATGAGAAGAGATATAGATGGGAATTTAGGAAGAAATTCTTCTCCGTGAGGGTGGTGAGGCCATAACACATATCGCCCAGAGGAGCTGTGTTGTGATGTTGTGGGTTTTAGGATGAGGTGAGAGATGAGAATTGACTCTAAGTTTTTAAAAGGCTGATTATTATATTATACCATATTATACCATACCATATCATACCATATTATGTTATATTTTCCATATTATATTTTCCGTATTATATTGTACCATATCATCCCATACCATATATTATGGGTGTGGTGTGTTATACTGCATGAAACTATTCTATATGAAATTATATTATACTATACTATATGAAATTATACTATACCTAATCATACTGTATGAAATTATACTATATTATACTATACTATATGAAATTATACTATATTATTTTACATTAGATTATACTATACTATATGAAATTATACTATATTATTTTAAATTAGATTATACTATATTATATGAAATTATACTATATTATATTAAATTATACTAAAGAAAGAGAAAGAAGACATTAGAAGGTTAGACAAGAATGATAATAAAAACTTGTGAGACTCAGAGAGTCTGACACAGCTGGCTGTGATTAGACATTAAATTAAAACAATTTACATGTTGAGTAAACAATTTTCTAAACTATATTTTAAAGCAGCAAAACATAAATAAGTTGAAGGTTCTCAGCTTTTTAAGAGAAAAAAAATCTTAGTGAAGAGATTTTTTCATAAAATATCATAGGAACAGAGCTGTGGCTGCCCCATCCCTGGAAGTGGTCAAGGCCAGGTTGGAGCAAAAGGCCTTTAAAAGGAATCCTTCCAGAATTGGTTTAATTGTGACCATGTTCACAGGGGTCCAAGGATGAGGGAAGAGACAAGGATCTGACTCCATGTTTCAGAAGGCTTGATTTATTATTTTATGATATATTTTATATTAAAGCTATACTAAAAGAATAGAAGAAAGGATTTCATCAGAAGGCTAGCTAAGAACAGGAAAAGAAGGAACGAATAACAAAGGTTTGTGGCTCAGACAGAGAGTCAGAGCCAGCTGACTGTGATTGGCCATTAATTAGAAACAACCACATGAGACCAATCACAGATGCACCTGTTGCATTCCACAGCAGCAGATAATCAATGTTTACATTTTGTTCCTGAGGCTTCCCAGCTTCCCAGGAGGGAAAATCCTAAGGAAAGGATTTTTCATAAAATGTGCCTGTGACATTTTAATGACAAGCTGGCCATGGGGCAGAGCACAGGGCAGTAATTCCAGGTGGGAGTGAGCGGCTGAGCTGGTGCAAGAACCAATGTTTTAAGGGTCTTACAGCAGAAGTGATCTGAAAGGGCACAGAGAGCTGTGAGGTGGCTGTGCACAGTCAGATATGGGGGAAAACACAAAAAGCGGTGTTTTCTGCTCTCCCCACCAGCACCAAAGGCTCTGTAGCAGCTTTTGCCCACAAAAATAAAAGAAACAGAGACAGAGCCCCAGTCTCCCAGCTGCCTGAGCTCTCCTCCAGCAGTGGGGCTGCAGTGCTCTGGCTGAGGGCCCAACCCAAGCATAGATCAAAGCCACCAAGCAGCTGCATGGCAGTGAGGGAAGTCGCTTCATGAGCTGAACAATGTCAAATTCCAGCGACAGCTGCGCTGTGACATCACCCTGATACCCCAGGCCTGAAGTGGGGAAAGGGGAGCTGGACTGAAGAGCACAGCTGGGGCCAGGGCCTGGTGCCACAGTCATGTCACACACTGGATCAGCAAGGGCTGGAACACTGCTCATGATTTGCGAGAGATCATGCCTGGATATGTCCCTTCACCTCCCAGTAATGGCTGTGCCAGCTCCCAGCTGGTTTTTTGTGACTCCATCCTGCCTCACCACCCTCACATTAAAGAATTTCTTCCTAATATCTGTTATAAACCTCCCCTCCTTCAGTTTAAATGGGGTACCAGACTCTAAAGTCTTGACAGGACACCTGAAGGGAGCAGTGCCATGGACTACCTTTGTTATCCTGAGGGCAAAACCTGACTGGGAACCCATACACTATGTCCAGGAACAGGAAGGTGACACTAACCATGTCAACTTGGAATTTTTTTTTTAATGTTATGCCTAAATACACCTCGGTTTAAGGCAAGTAAAAGCCTTGCCTTGAAAAGTCTTCAGCTATGGTTACACAGATCTCTGTCACAGACATCTTTTATGAAAAATCCTTTCCTTAGGGTGGTTCCTCCTGAGAAGCTGAGAGGCCTCAGGAACAAAATGTAAACATTGATTATCTGCTGCTGTGGAATGCAACAGGTGCATCTGGGATTGGCCCATGTGGTTGTTTCTAATTAATGGCCAATCACAGTCCAACTGGCTTGGACAGAGAGCCGAGCCACAAACCTTTGTTATCATTCTTTGCTATTCTATTTTTAGCCAGCCTTCTGATGAAATCCTTTCTTCTATTCTTTTAGTATAGTTTTAATGTAATATATATCATAAAATTATAAATCAGCCTTCTGAAACATGGAGTCAGATCCTCATATCTTCCCTCATTCTTGGACCCCTGTGAACACGGTCACAGATCTGCTCTGCCCACACTCCAGATGGTGATTAGCCTTTTTTTCTTTTTTTCCTGATTTTTTTTTTCAGGGTTAAATAAGATATTATGATGAAATTCTTTATTCTGAGGGTGGTGATGCCCAGGCACAGGGTGCCCTGAGAAGCTGTGGCTGTCCTTGGATCCCTGGAAGTGATCCAAGGACAGGCTTGGAACAACCCGGGATAGTGGAATGTCTCCCTGCCATAGCAGGAGTGGAAGAAGATGAAGTTTAAGATCTCTTCCCAAACATTCTGGGATTCTGTGAGGCCAAGCTTTGAGCAGGGGGATGCAGCCCTCTGGCAGCAGGGAGGCTGGAGCTGCCACTGGGAACACTCAGAGCTGCACAAGGGCCAAAAAGAAACACAAGCTGCACCTGAGAGGCACACAAGTGTATTCCCATATTGGAGCAGCTGCCATATCATTAACCCCTCTCCCTTTACAGTCACTGAGCAGTACCTAAAGTGAAAAAAAAAAAAAGTAGAAGCTATTCCAGGAAAAAGCTCAAGCACAGCAGGGTTGGCTGACTCTTAGGAGCATGCTGCAGTAACAGCACTGCTCTCCCAGCCAGGGAAAGGCAGTGCAAGGCTATCTTTGGCAGCTTGGGGTCACAGATATCCTCTGAAAACAACTCTGCTTTAGTCCTGCACACACATCTTATCTCCCTCTGAATGGAGCTTCGGAGCAACAGCAGCTGATAAACTGAATTGAGGCCCGGGATGAACCCTGTCCTGGGCTTTTGGAGATGTCAGAGTGGTTCCAAAACCCACCAGCCTCCTCCTCCTGAGCATCCCTCCATGCTCTTTACAAGGTCTGGAATGTGCCTGGTCAGGTTTATTTGGGTCAGGGGACTACAGAAGGACCAGAGGTGTCCTGAGAGCAGGCATCCCAAACCATCTGGCCCATAACCAGCACCACCATTTTCTGTTATTTGCACCCAGGTCAGAGATGTGCAAATAAAACAGAAAATAACAGAGCTGCCAAAACCTGCTCACTAGGAAAAACGTGAGAGGCACAGCACTGCAAAACACTGAGGGAGCACAGAGCAAAAGTAGCTCATGGAATTAGCAGGAAACTGCAAGAACTTGGATCAGAGACTCATTTTGCTGCCTATCCTGAGGAGCTATTTCTCCAGTCTGTCATAGGCTTTTCTGTTTGGTCCACAGCAAGCAAACTGGCAATGAGAGGCTGTTATTTTTAAAAGGCAAGTCCTGCTAACACATATTTTGCTAAGAATAGGTGCAGCCTGCAAAGAAGCCCAATGTTTTCTTAACCTTACCAAGGCACATCTGCCATCTGAACCTCCCTTTTTACTTGCCTAGATTTCCCCTTCCTTATTGCTGGAATTCTCACATTTATTATTCCAGAGGCAAGTTTACCCTCTGCCTAATGAAAATGATCCAAGAAAGGTAAGAACATGGAAAAACCTCCCAGTAAAAGCTGGCTAAATGTGGATTGAAAAGCTTCCACCATCTTCAGCCTTTGATCTTCCTAATTACTGTGCTTTCCCAATTTCCTTTCTACCTCCTCATTTCTCAATTGCAATTCTCTTTCAGACCTCCAATGTGACTGCCATGACAGTGACCATCCTAAATCCCATCTGATCAGAGGGAGAATGAGGTTGCCTCAGCACCAGGGTGTTTTTCCCATCCCCATCCTCTTTGGCTTGCAACCTTTAACCTTCTCATCCAGTATCTGGTTACTTTATTCAGGGACTCCAGCGAACACAGCTTGGCCAAGGTGGAGACCTGAATTCTGTTCTCACCAACTTTACACATGGCCCAGGGAAATCTCCAAAGCCTTCAGCAAACTCAGGCTGGTTATTTATGTTCCTCCCATCCTCCCCACTCCTTGATTTGTTAAAGGTTTATTCTTGGGCAATTCAATTGGGACAATTCTCCCAAATCCTTTTACAGCTCACATCTCAGTGTATGGATTGTGATTTTATCTCTGTTCCAGGCACATTTCTGAATCTAATCAAGCTCCAGTTTTCCTTGTTTTGGAGAGTGATTCTCTGCCCTGTAGCCTTTCTTTGTTCAAGTCTGATTCACTAAATCTCATTTAGGAACAGCTTGAAAAATTCTTTTTTTTTTCTTCCAGCTCAGTGATCTTTAAGGCACAGGCTCAGCAAAGAGTTCACAAATGTTGGGTTGCTGGGTCCCTAAGTTCCTAGGATGTAGACTGACAGAACATAGGAGGTTTTCTATGGATGTCCCATCCCTGGAAGTGTTCAAGGACAGTTTTAACAGGGCCCTGAGCAACCTGACCTAGTGAGTGCCATCCCAGCCCAGAGCAGGGGGTTGGAACCAGATGTCCTTTGAGGTCCCTCCCAGCACAAACCATTCTGATCCAATGATTCCAGGGGTGGCTGCTTGGAGAATTCACCCTCACCTACACGGCTGAGCAAAGAGAAGTTTGCATGGCAAGATGATCTCCCTCCCTAAGCCTGACAGCAGATGAACCAATACCATCACCAGTGACACAAACAACAGAATTAAAAGCTTTTTTCACCTCCTGCATCATTCTGACCTGTCTTGGGAGGGCTGAGAAGAACTTCTGGTGACACAAAGGAGAGTCATTTATCAGGGCCTAATTATAACCAACACACGTAGATTTTCCATGGCAGCCTCGGCCTGGACAGGGAGCCAAACATGGCACAGCATGAAAAATAAACAATCCATAAACATTTCCACTTCAGCCTCCTGACTCACAGGCAGCTCTGGACAACGGACAGGGATCAATAACCCTTTCCCATGGTGCTTGCTCCCAGACTGGCTGCTTCCCTGGCTTTCCTCACCTCCTTTGGAACAGGTTGCAGCCATGAGAGCAATAGGATAAAAACAGAGGGTTTTTATAAAATATTTTTTATGATTTTTATAAATTTTTATGATTTTTATAATTTTTATAATAAAAACAGGCAGAGCAGGGGACGTTTGTTTTTGCAAGGTGTTGTGCAGGGAAATGAGTTTGATCCATCCTCAAAGTGATCCCCCACCAGGGTGAGGGCCAGGATTGATCCCCAGCTCTGAGCCCCAGCTCATGAGGTAATCCCAGCTTTATGGAACAGGACAAATGCCCTTCCCCACGCCACTCAGCACCTCCAAGGGACAGCAAAGGGTGGGACAAGTGCCAGTGAGTTCCACGGATCAGGCATCACTGATGGGCACAGGGACTCTGAGCCACTTTCCAAAAAAGGGAAAACAGAAAATCAAATAACACCTGAGAGGCTTAAAGACAAGTATGAAACACAGATAATTCCTACTTAATTGTGTTTCTAATTTATTTTGCTGCCAATGAAAAATCTTTGAGTTTTACCACTTGAGTGGCAAAATCTTTTGTCTCCGACAGCTCATTTACAGGTGCTACCTGGATTCCAAACTGCCTGCTGTGCCCATGCCAAATGGGAGAGCAGCTGGAAAATTTAGAGCTTCCTGCATTGTTCAAGGCCAGGTTGGATGGGGTTGGAGGAACCTGGTTTGGTGGAAGGTGTCCCTGCCCATGGCACAATCTGATTTTGTGGAAGGTGTCCCCGCCCATGGCGGGTGGTTGGAATGAGATGATTTTTAAGATCTCTTCCAATCCAAACCATTCTGAGACTCTATAAACACTGTGTGTCACACTTTGGTTACCATTCTGAAGAACTAGGACTGACCTTCACAAGTGTGGAGTGACCCTCTGAAGGCAAGTTCTTCACCACTGACTACGGCAAACAAAGGCATCCTGGACCTGGGAGGTTTTCTAGGATTCAAGGAGCACAAACTATCCAGCAACCCAAGCTGGGAAAAGGCTGAAGAGCCTGGCAAGATCCAGGCTGCTGGTGGGTCACTGTACAGGAAAACTGAGCTGGACTGTAATTAGAGTTGCAGTAGGTCCCCCAGGGGATCTGAGGCAGCCTGACATGCTCATCTTGTAGGGAGGGGTTTCCACTACTACTACAAATGGCACGTCTGAGTAAACTCCATGGTGATCACAAACCCAGATGTGACTAAAGCCTAGAGGGTGAGACAGGGCATTGGCAGTCACTGACCTAGAGCATGGGAATGGATATCTTACATCACTGTGAAACCAGGACTGACAGGAGCCTTAGGGACCTGGTGCACCCCAGCTGCCCCACAAGCAGCTGATGCCTTGTGCGGGCTGACCTAGAACAGAGACTAGACGGAGCTAAGGAATAAAGTAGGGATTATTAGGAGGCTTCAACAGATCCACCTTGGGCAGCACAAGAGCCCAGCCAGGGCTGCACCCCAGGGGAGCTTAAAGTGGTTACTAAATGCACAACCACTCAAGGGGTCTCTCACTTTTATCAGTTTTGCTCCATTTGCATATTGGAGTGAATTGTCCAATTACAGCTTTAGCCCATGAAGTCTCATCTTTTTTGTTTTCCTCTCCAGCCCACGGTGTTTGTGCTCTTGGGCTGAGATTTGGATCATTTGTCCTTGGTGCCCAGCTAGAGAAGGAATTGTTTTGTCTCCCTGCTCTGGGCACAGAGCTCACCACCCCCTGATACGAAGCTCAGACCCACACACTAAAGCAGCCCAGAATTTGAAAAATAAAAAAGCTAAAACCTGAGGCATAACAGCCCGTTCTGCCTCATCCACCCCTGCCTGGCACCTCTTTACCGCCCTTCCTAAGAACCACCAGCAATGGGACTCTGTCCCCAGGTCATCTACTCAAGTGCCCAAGCCCTTTCCACCAGGAAAGCTTTATTCAGCCTTTCCCAGCTTGGGTTGCTGGATAGTCTGTGCTCTTGAACACTCCTAGAAAACCTCCCAGGTCCAAGATGCCTTTGTTTGCCATAGTCAGTGGTGAAGAACTTGCCTTCAGAGGGTCACTCCACACTTGTGAAGGTCAGTCCTAGTTCTTCAGAATGGCAACCAAAGTGTGACACATCTAGCACCCTCCCACGCAGCAGTTTGGAGGCAGATGTTTTGTTCAATGTCCTCTTGAATGCTCCTAGAAAACCTCCCAGGTCCAGGATTCCTTTGTTTGGAATCACACACAACAGAAGTCTGACACATCTAACACCCTCCCCTACAGCAGTTTGGAGGCAGACATTTTGTTCAAACCAAACCACCCATCCTACCCCAATTCAAAGGTGTGTCCTTGCAGGCACACCCACCCTGGTGACAACCACACCCACCCACCTTTGACAGTGACCAGCACAGAGCTGTAGGTCTGCCCCGCCAGGTTGGAGGCCGTGCAGGTGTACAGCCCGTTGTCCGTCTGCTTGCAGAAGAGGATCTTCAGCACAAAGTTCTCCTGGTCATCCTCATAGATAACGTGCCTCCGGCCTTCCACAATGACCTCGTTGTCCTTCTTCCACACAATCACGGGCTTGGGCTCTCCTGTCACGTAGCAGCTGAGCTTGGCGTGCTTGCCCTCGGTCACGCTGCAGGTGCGTGTCAGGGCCCCGAGCGCGGCGTTGCGCGTGCCCTTGGCCAGGCCCGCCGCCCGCTCGTAGTCCCGGGACAGGCCGTAGCCCAGGCTGGACAGCCCCTCCACGGCCGAGTAGGCAGAGTCCAGAGTGCTGTGGGAGATGTCCATCTTCCTGATCTCCTCTCGCCTCTTCTGCAGGTGGGACAGCAAGGAGGCCGTCTTGCCGCCGCTGTCGGGGTTGGAGGAGCCGCGCGTTTCCACCACCAGCGCGGCCGAGGCGCTGGCGGAGCCGATGAGGTTCTCTGCCCGGCACGTGTAGGTGCCACTGTCCCCCAGCTGGGCACACTGGATGGTGAGAGCGTTGGACTCGCCAGCAGACTCGATCTGGAAGCGCCCAGCGTCCGCTTTGTTCCTCAGGTATCGCCCGTCCTTCTCCCAGTTCACCGAGAGGGGAGGGCTGCCCTGGACTTTGCATTTGAACATGACGTCTTCTCCCAGGGTTACTTTGATGTTGGTAGGTTTCTGGATGAAGTAAGGAGCCGACTCTGTGACCGTGGTCTCCTCTCCCACCTTGATGCTGACAGCAGCAAAGGCCTCCCCGATGGTGTTCTTGGCCCGGCAGATGTACTGGCCGCTGTCCTCCAGGCTCAGGTCGTAGATGGTTAGCCGGTACAAATCCCCATCCTCTGTGGTTTTAAACCTTCCCCCAGACTGCACTGGAAGTTTATCCTTCTCCCAGCTCACCACTGGGATGGGGTTTCCAACGATCTGGCAGCTCAGCGTGGCATCCTTCCCAACAGACACCATGAAGGCCTTGGGCCGGGTCAGGAAGCGCGGGACCCCGCTGAGGGAGCTGTAATCCATCCTGGCTTCCCTCCTGCAGGGGCACAGAGAAAAGGGTCAGCAGAGAGCAGGGCAGAGGGTGCACCCAAAAAATCACTGCAATCCCCTGGTATCAGGGTGTCACCTGGAACCCCCACGTATGATGATGCTTCCCTCATCTTCAGGATGAGGGAAGAGATGAGCATCTTGATTCTATGTTTTAGAAGGCTTTATGATTTTATGATATATTAAAAGAAAATTATATACTAAAACTATACTAAAAGAATAAAGGAAAGAATTTCATCAGAAGGCTAGCAAAGAATAGAAAGGAATGATGATAAAATCTTGTGACTGACCAGAGTCCCAACACAGCTGGACCTGTGATTGGTCATCAAGTAGAAACAATTCACATGAGACCAAAGATGCACCTGCCATATTCCACAGCAGCAGATATTTTAAAAATATATATATAAACAACATTATTATTGTTTACATTTCCTTTCTGAGGCCTCTCAGCTTCTCAGGAGAAAAATCTTAGCAAAGGTATTTTTCAGAAAATACATCTGTGACACCCATGTTTTCAATGCCCGTCTCGTTATGGGTGAGGCAGCCTTGGAATATTATTGGTCTTGAGGGTTTCTTCTATTTGAGGTTAATAAACTGTTCCATAAGGCAGCTCACTACCCCACAGAGCCTCTGGGCAAAAAAGAGCTCTTTGGGCAGTTAATACAGAAGGAACATGACAATGCCTTTCCTCTTCGGCACTCAGAAAGTGACCTGCACTAAAGCTGTGGGACAGATGGGCTGGTTCTGCAACCACGAGGAACAAACCACATTCTGAGAGATGTGTCTGCCCATCAAGGTACTGCCTTCATCTCAGAATTTGGGTTGGAAAGGACCTTGAAAATCATCTAATATCCAACCCCCTGCCATGGGTAGGAATGCCACCTCCTAGACCAGGTTTTCCAAGAAGATTTGAGTGCACTGTTTCTCTTCAAGCTGTTGTGATAGATGAGTAATGCCATGACTGACTCTCACAATTAATAGACAAATATCATGTTAAGATAAGTTTATAGATTTATAGTTGTTGTACCCCTCACGTGGTTATCAAGGGACAGCTGGGGTTGGGACATCTGGGAGGGCTGGCTTGTCATTATGGAACACCTGAGCTCCAAATCAGGATTTGAGGAAGAGATCTCCACCACTGGACAGCAAAGAAGGGGCTGATGGACAGAACTTTGGGAGGGGTTAAAGGGTTAAAAAGGGAAAACTTCCATTGTGAGGGGGCTGAGGACATGGCAGGGAAAATCTTTTGCTCCCGGCGCCATAACCTTTTTTCTTTATTCATTCTTCTGTTGTATTTTTGATAAGGTTTAAATAAACCTTCCTGAACTATGAAAAGTGAATATCTATTTCTCACACTGTTTAACCTCTTTGGCCTCATGATGCCAGACCCCTCTGTCCTGGCAGCTCCTGCCTGACTATGGGAATGGTCCTGCTCCAGATGAGCACATCCCTGCTTTTTCACCTCCCAAGTTCTGCACACAGCACAAGGACCAGGGCTCTGGGTGCTGTAACTCAGAAAGGAAATTAAACCCAGTCAGTGAGACAGAAATATCCTTCTTAATCCTGCAGCAGTTTGGCTTCCCTGCTGGCCACACACCCACCCACTCTCTCACCCAATGGCAGGTGCTCCCCCCAGCTCCAGCAGAAATCAATAGGAACAGGCGAAACCCCTGCTTTAATTTCTCAAATCACCATTTCTCCATCCTCCTCCAGCTCCTGTCAGTGCATTTTTGTTAATGCACAAATCACTGATGGCATCAGGGACTGAGGGTTGAATCAACTTGCTGCATGATGTTGGGAAAAACCACTTCTTTTCCCAATTCCTTGTCTCCCCTCCTACTTCTTCATATCAAGACAGTGATGGGCTAGCAAATAATTATGCACACAGAGTATACATGACAATGTACTTGCTGAGGTAAATTACAAATAGTGCATGAAAATTAATAACAGATTATAAATTTCATTCCATTTATGCTGCTGGGGATTGAAAAATACAAGTTTACCATTAAATCCCTATACTGGAAAAGAGGTGGCACAAAAATACAAAATGGTATTTGTTATGAGAGCCCAAGAAACTTTTGGAAAATTGCTTCAGGTACAGGGTGGGATTCTTGGGGTTGTCCTGAATGGTCTTTGTGGGTCCCTTTCAGCTCAGGATATTCCATGATTTTGGGAACATTATTATCATTCCAATAGTATTGCTGAGCCAAACTTGAAACTTCATCTGTGTCGCAGATCTAAGGCAAAACCAAATGTAACCTTTCTACATTTAACAGAAAATACACCCCTTGTCCTGTCCTGTGTCTCCCACTCCAAAGAACACACAAAATGACAAGGAGCAATGAAAGACTTTTCCTTTTAGATGAGATCGATCTTTTCTAAACTAATTCAATTATGGTTGCTTTTGTTTCCTGCTATTGAACAAATTTCATTATTCTGCCACAAATCTTTAGAAAATAAAGAAACAGGTTTCAACCATTAAATCTGGGAGGGGGAAAAAAAGCAGCAAGGAAAATTTACTTTTAGCACATGCTAAGATGGTAAAGAATTATTGACTTGCAGTCATCAGTGCTATGACCAACTGACTTTCTGTCAAGTGGCCACCTTCAATACACAGATCTCTTTTTCTCTTGGCCTCAAACTGGTCTAGAAATCCCTGAATTAGTTTGAACTTCTCTGGATCCTCTTACAACCCCAACCCCTGCCCTCAGCTGAGCTTTGAAATGTGTTTTCCATAAACGCTTGTGCAGCTGCAAGCAGAGAAGCTGCATGGAGGGTTAGAAGGGGCAGATAGGAGCCTGGGGCTCCAGCCAAAGTACACTGAAGTCAGTGGAAATTTCCACTGAAGTCAATTGATTGACAATCAGAGTCTCCTGCTCATCTGGGGAAGGATCATTTCAATGCTCAGAAGGGGATGCTGAGGTTCAGCTCAGCTCTGGAGAGCCCAGCAGAACCCTTCACTGCATTAATTAAGAGTTAACAACCAAAACACAGACTCAGAGCTCATGTCCTAATATTTCCCAGCCATTATTTGAATTTCAGGCTGCACTGAGCCATCAAAACACTTGGATTCACCTTCAGAAGACACTGCCATGTCTCACTCTTCCCGGGTTCCTGTTGTGTCCAATAGATTCATCACTAACTTATTTCCAGCTTTGCAGTGTCAAAAAGAGCAGAAAATTAGAGTTGCTCCACTTCTCCATCAAACTGGGCTCTGCATGACATGGACAAGTGCCTGGAGCACTGAGGTGGCCACAGAGACACGAGAGGAGCTGCCAGGGACCTCTCAGCAACCAGGGGCTTCTCTCAGCCCACCTGAGTGCCATTCCCATCACTTCCACACCTTTCTGGGCAGGGAGGAGCAGGGTGAGGGCTCCCAAAGCCTGGATCTCATGCTGCTCACTTCCTAAAGTGCATCCTTCTCTCACTGCTAAGCTGTGCCCAAATAAACGCACCCCAAATGCTCCCTGGTACCTCTGAGAGTCAGGAGCAGCCAAAAACCAGTCAAAAAACAGAGTCAGGAATGGCCAGAAGACAGCCAAAAAACCAGCCAAATACGAGCCAAAACAAAACAAAAAGCCAAAAAAGGAAAAAAAAAAAACCCAGCCAAAAAAAAAGCCAAAAAAACCAGCCAAAAAAACCAGTCAAAGCCAAAAAAACGCCCAAAAAAACCAGCCAAAAAAAGTCAAAAAGCAAAAAAAAAAGCCAAAAAAACCCCAACAGCCCAAAAAAAACACCAGCCAAAATAAAAAACAACAGCCAAAGTTAAAACAACAGCCAAAATAAAAAACCCAAAAAACCAAAAACACAAAAGAAAAACCAGCCAAAAAAATAAAAAACAGCCAGTCAGAAACAGTCAAAAAACAGAGTCAGGAACAGCCAAAAACCACCACATGCCTGTTGATTTTGCTGCTGAACCAAAATGGTGCAGCAAATCCAACCAAGTGGCCTCCAGGTCCAGCCTCCCTCTCCCATGGCTCCCAAAAACTCATCTGGTGTTTGCAGATGATCCTCCCCATCCAGTTCAAGCTCCTGTGTCCACAGACCTCCTAGTGTGGGGTGAAAACCACATCCCCTGCTCTTACTTACACCTTTCACCATGTGAATTCACATTCTATAAGGTTTTTACGCCTTCATGAATGGCCAGAATGCCAGGAAAAACCCAGGGATCAATGAAAACAGTGCGTGCTCATCATTATTTTAGATATTTTTCTAGCATGGAAAGAAAAACCAGGGTTTATTCCTTTCTCTGCTGCTGGCTTGCTTTTATAATTATGATATAGATACTCCAGAGATGGGACTATCTCATAGTCCCATCTGAAAAAGAGGGGGGAAAATTTGTTTTATGGTTGTGGAGAGCATGAAATGCAGTAAGAGGCATGAAATCCTAACCTGCAGCAAGGATGAGGCCGTGTGTGTATCCAACACATCTAACAAATTAGACGGCACAAGATAAATTATATTTTATCATTTCAAATGGGATAAAACACATCACACTGGATTGTGATGATAAATAGATTTAGGAGCCAGGAGAAGACAGATTTGTGAAAGCACTGAAAGGACAAGATTTCATATTTCTACTGTGCAACCTGCCAATCAACTTATTTAATAATTACTCTGATCTCAATTATCTACAGGTTCATTTAAACTTCAAGAAGCCCAGTAACTCTGAAACTTAAATTAAAAAAATATTAACTCTCTGCAAGTGCCAGGGCAGCTCCCTTGGAAGCAACAGGACCAGCAACAAAACATGAATAACGCCAGTCAATGCAAATGCCCTTTCCAATAAATCTCAGGCATTTGCCAGTGTCACATTTCCCCATGTAATCCCTCTGTGATGAATCATTTGCAGCAGAGATCACATTCCCATCCTGGGCATTTCTGAGCACGCCAAAGGCAAACTGGCAGCAATTATAATTTTGCTTTATGTCTTTATTCATTCGGATTTTCCCTGGTTTGCGTTTGGGGGAAGAGGC